AGATAAATAAATGGTGTCTTGAGAACGGCTTTTACATTTTCTAAATCCAAAACTAATGGAATACATTTCTGCCGTAAATACAAACCGCATAAAGACCCTGAACTATCTCTAAATGGCACACCACCCATCAAAGTTGTGAAGGAGGCCAAGTTCTTGGGAATTATGTTTTACTCACACCTTAACGTTTCTACCACATATTAAGTCCCTAACAACTAAATGCCTGAAGGCACTTGACTTGTTGGAAGTCGTTTCAATTCTAAGTGGGGAGGGATCTGCTTACCCTCCTACATCTATATCGATCACTGGTACGTTCCAAACTTGATTATGGTTCCTTCATTTATGGTAGAGCTCTGCGAAAGCAACCTCAAACTATTAGATTCTGTCCACCACCAAGGTCTAAGACTTTGTCTTGGGTCCTTTCGAACTTCTCCTGTTGACAGTCTCTACGTCGAGGCCGATGAGCCATCTCTTACACAACGCCGTATAAACTTATCCTTGCAGTATGTAAAAAACTATATTCCTAATGAGTCAAATCCTGCATTTAACTGTGTTTTTAATCCTCTTTATGAGGATCTGTACAACAAAAAGCCTTCTCTTGTTCCGCCTCTTGGTTTGAGAATTAAACCATTCATTTCTGCTGCCGGCATTGAGCTGGAAAATATATCTCCTTCCCGTCTTCTTTCTTCTCCTACTTGGCAACTGGTGAGGCCTGAAGTTGATCTAACTCTGACAAAGTTCACGAAATCGGTAACTAATGAATTAAATATAAACAAGAATATAATCAGTTAAAAAATAAATATAATACATACAAATCCTTATTTACAGATGGATCCAAGGATGGTGGCGCGGTTGCTTGTGCCACTGTCATTGGATCCAGAACAATATCTTCTCGACTACCAAATAACAGCTCTATTTTCACAGCAGAAGCTAACGCCATATTAACAGCTCTTAAAAGTATTAATAAGGCAGCACTCAACAAATCTGTGACACCACTTCTGATCCCATACTCTGATTACAAAGCTGCTATTAGATCTTATATCCGTGATCTGATGCAACAGAAGTGGGACAGCCAAGTAGGTATCAATAAATAACATGAAATAAAACCAACTATCGCTTACACTTACTTGAGTTGTCAGTCCAGATTTGAAGAGGTCACCATACGACGATGTCGTATTGGCCACACAAGATACACTCATGAGTACCTATTAAAAGGTGAGGATCCTCCGTTTTGTATCCCTTGTGATGAAAGAATCATGGTCCAGCATGTCCTGCTTGACTGTGTTGAATATTCCACCACAAGGGATATCTATTTCAAATCACAAACTATGAAGGATCTTTTTAGTAATATAAGTTCTCATTTAATTATTGCATTTTAAAAAGAATTAGACTTGTTAACTGATTTGTAAATAGATACATATTATATTATTGGTAGTTTAGATTAGTAACTGAGATTGTTAGTGGCTGTACCCTCAAAGGGGGCTGAAGTAGCGTAAAATTATTGTCCTCCTGAGAGGGTACGTAAGACCTGAAACATTCAAAGGAAATATACATTTACCAGCTGTTGTAAATGTAGTATTCTTGTCATTTTAATATTGGCTAAATTTTACTTCAATCACCAGCGGTTGAAGGGATGACATAAATCCAACTAGGGTTCATGCAGGTAGCTAAAGTACTGTAAGTCCCCATGGTTCCTAGTATGGTGATCTACCTTCAATTGTTGGCGATCTATAGCCACTTTTTATATTGTATTGTCCAAATAGTGCTATTAGTTTTAATTTTCCACACTAGTTTGAGTTGTAATTGTGATATTCTAGCTGTTTTACTGTCCTTCGTCGACAGGTTTTTATAATATACATCAATTCCATTTCAATGTCACATATGTTCTTGTCACGACATGGCTGAATTATTGCCGATGTGACGTTAAATAATAACTCACTATTTAAAGCCTGAAACAGATTCTATTTCTGTTTGAAGCTGTTGTTCCAGCACTTGAACCAGTCTTCAATAAGCTCGGCTATGGAATCATTCCACGAAAATCCGTTGCCTTCTTTGCGACGATCACGGATGAAATGATGAAACAGCGTCGAAATGATAAAACACACCACCAAGAGGTTTGATTAAATCTAATTGCTTTTATCAGAGAGAGATACGCACATGAACATGCACGTCAATGTGCATGAGAGAGATGCATCTCCGTGTTATTAGAAGATGAGATGTATAATTGTCTGTTATGTGAACATATCAGATATCTCGCCTGTCATCTAACCATAAATTATGAAATATCGTATACTGAACCACGAAAGAAACGTCGCTTTGCAAAACCAAATGCAAAATTTTGTTCTTGCAAGGTGGTGTTTTTGTTATGTTTGTACCGTTTTCTTGACATGTTTTTCAATCCAAATTGACAGTTATTACCAACATCAGTGTGTTTTCTGATGAAAACGCATATCGACCAAACGCACCGAAAACGGCAGACATGGTAAAGGTTCCGTATGACATTCGTGAAAATGAAAATGCACGTGCATTCGTGACAACCCTACCAATGAAAGCGGGTCCCAAGCTCGCCTGAAATCATTTTTGTTTTGACACAACCACCATGCCACGTCTTACGAGAGATCAGAGGAACCAAGTCGTGGGACGATTGCAAGTTGTCAAGACTGCACAGAGGGTAGCCAATGATTTTAATGTTCATGTTAGGACAGCAGGAGTGGTATCAGGTCACTAAGAGCATTCAAGACCGTCAACGCAGTGGGCGACCTTCAGTAACATCAGAACGTCAAACATGACAGGATGGGCGCAACCATCTGCAGGATCGCTTCCCCAGAGCGACGGAAACAGCACGCCAGACGTTTTCTGACTCAATACAGACACATCAGTGCCGATACAGTGCGTCGACGTTTGCGCGGAAGAAACGTCTGCTGTCACAGATCATATCGCAGTCCTGTCCTCACCGCTCATCACCGCCAAAGCCGACCAAAATGGCAACTCAGCATCGAAATTGAGGATATCGACAATCCAGAACTGTGTTGTTATCTCCTGAAAGCCGATATTGTGTTTCGACAGTCGATGGCAGAGTGCGAGTATGGCGAGGGCGTGGTGAAATGTTTTCCAATGAGTGTATTGTTAAAAGAGACTCGTGAGGTGGTCCAAGCATAATAGTGTGGGGTGCAATCGGTCTGAAAAGTTAGCTGACACCGTGGTGTTCCAGAAGCTTGGTCCAGGATGAGGAAATGACATGACAATTGCTCGCTATATTGATTAAATCATAAGACCCCACGTTGTACCACATTTTGGACGTTACAGAAATCACATCTTCCAGCAAGACAACGGTCGTGCCCACACTGCCAGAGCATCATTGGACTTCCTAAGACAACATGGCATCCACACCCTACAATAGCCTGCACTCAGTCCGAATTTAAAAGCAGTAGAACACCTTTGGGACGAGATTCAAAGAAGACTGAATGGCCTCCAACCAAGGCCGACAACTGCGCCAGGACTCGATCAGGCATTTCGCAGAGTATGGACCCAAGTGCCTATGGCCTTCATCAACCGGCTAATTCATTCCATGTACAGACGATGCAACGATTTCATCGATGCCCATAAAGGCCACACACGATACTGACTTTGGGGTATCTTAATGGTACCATTTTGGTGATTTGTTTGTGTGAAATCTAAATGTGATTCCCGAAAATGTGTTAACGATAACTGTCAAGTTTGAACTCAGTCCTCCTATTTGATTGTTAATTAGAGTGAATTAAAGCGTGTGCTTTAAGAAACCCCTATCAGTGCGACATTTCTTTTGTGGTTCAGTATATATATTGTGTTTCGTGCGAGGGCAGTTACGAACATTAAGTTTTCAATAATTACACTAGGGAACAGACTTCCTGCAAATGATGATGGATGCTTCGATAGAAGAGGGGAAAGACAACAACAACGATGATGGTCAAACGGTCAAACATTCAGTCAGGCGTAAGTAGGCACTTTTGGGAAAGAGCAGACCCCCGTTTATGAAAGCGCTGTTTTTCTTCTACTTGTTTGCGTTTCATTGTCACGACCATGCATTCACCCGGCAATGACCTTTTTTCGATTAGTCAGATGTATTTATTGTACGTAACGTCATCGGACTTTGTCGAGGAAGTTAGTTGTTTGCCCTCTCTATGTTTTACTGATGTTACAGGGTATACATTATTTTGCAAGCAAACAAAATGGAACACATAGACTATGTATATACTCAAGACAACTAGAAACCTGACACCACTTCATTGGTAACAATTAGGAGGGGGTCAATTTATTTTAGGTTCCTGTTCTGCCATACACATGGGCATGACATGGTGGGTGTTTCAGCGTGGTCTTGGTGACCGATATTATGGATTGGAAGCATTTTGTTCCAATGGTCGATTGACACGAGATTGTCCAATCATGCTACCAAAGAGTATTTGTTGTGACTCCTTCTGCTTGTATATGGTCCTGTACTGACATTTTAATATGACAACGCCACGTCCAGTACTACCGTTCTGACGTTATATATTAGTTTACTTACATAAATATATATAATAATGCATTATTTTATTATAACTATGCTGTCATCTACTTTTCATCGTCCGTGTTGTTACCTGACGACAACAGTATGACCACAGATATTTTCATAAGAATGCACAACTGCTTCTGACGTAACTTTTGTCTCCTGAAAAGTTTTTAATTGAGTGGAGTATATGTACTTCAGAAAATTAAAAACACTAAAGTTAAATTTTACAATCATGTGTGTCTAGAATGACATATCCAGGATAATTATAGAACGAAAGTGATGTGACAGATGCTCATTAGACTAGTGTCAAATCCACATTTTACAGGTGGTACGAGTAACAAAAGTTTCAACTTACAGATCTATCGACGGATGAAATAGTTGCTCAGTGCATACTGTTTTTTGTCGCTGGTTACGAAACTACTGGGACCGCGCTTACCTTCATATCTTACAACCTGGCGATGAACCCGGATGTACAGGAGAAGGCCTACGGTGAAATCAAAGAAATATTGGGAAATGTCAGTATCAAAAAGTACAAGTTGTCTTTAGGTAAAGGTGGACTGACAATTTCTGTCTGATGTTTTCAGCCTCGTCTATGATATTTGTTGTCTTTGTCCATAGTTGGGACTGTTTCATTTACTAACATTATATAATAAGGAGTCGCATAAGTATTACAGCTATTTATGTTTTATTGTGCTTCTAAAATATAATATACACCATAGCAATGTGACACAGTAGTTCGGAAATGACTTGTTTGATATTATTCTCAAACTCTGTAACTTCCCCTGCCCTCCTTCTAACTCTAACGTTATAATCACTCTTCCAAATACGGGGGTGTCACCCGTGTGTTTGTCTGCCTCCAGGAGGAACCAAACTATGACAACATTGGGAAACTGAAGTATCTGGACAACGTGATCTCAGAGACGCTCAGACTCTACCCGCCGGGCTATGTGTAAGTGACACATGTTTAACAATAGGGATATAAAGGCAATATAGTCTAATCTAGTATTGTTTATAGCATAAGGCTACTCGTGTTTGTGTGTGTCGTTGTACCAAGGCTGATCAGATCTTTGATCACAATACCGGACATGTCCTGGATCGATTATTACATAGTATTAGTCATATATAGCTGGATGGTTGCGTTCCAACAACAAACAAACATTAGCATATCACCCTACTATCAGAACTTACATACACCGAACTCACAGGCCTTGTAAGCAAAGCAGTATTTATTCTACGTATCTTCCCACCATAATATAACTGAATGCTAATCCCAGCTCAGCCATTCACTGACATAGCATGAAAAGTAGGTACCAACTGTAATGAACAGTAAGATCTTGAAACTTACCGAGTACCTGATGATCTCAAATTATATTTGCAAGGAACCTGGTACAGTTTAGCATGTTAAGCTTCGATGCATAACAACTAAATCACATTAACAACTTCTTGCCTTTCCCTAAGCTGATCCAAAAGTATTCTTCGTTTAAGATTGGACCGATGTGTTTCTGAGACCACTCAAATCAAAGGCCTAACTTTCTCTAAGGGTCAAACTATCTTAATTCCTGTGATGGCTATACACAGAAATCCTCAGCTCTACGACGATCCTGATTCCTTCAAGCCAGAAAGGTACGGGCTGACATAATGATATTCTAGCTGGTGATTTTAAAACATGCAAAAGAATCCATTCCCGAAAATATTGTTAACAAACATAACTGATTCCGGAAACTGCTGTTACAAAATATAACCCAGCCACAGAATGTCAGATTCGTCGGCCTCCATTCAGGAGTCAGTTTTTTTCCCGTGTCGCATTTCGTTTCGCATAGTTGGGACCCTGAGTAGGTCAGAAACATGATTCGAGTATTATTCGACAATCGCCAGAACCATAGAGCTATATTCGTGGCAGTAACAAGAAGTAAAAAGTAAACATCCTACAGTTTTCGGTAAAGTAAGTTTTGACTTTATTGTTAACTGCATCACAGTAGCGTACATGTGTTCTTAGCGTTGCCTTGAACATGATAGACTCAAATATTATAATCGAGTAATTGCAAGAAACTACACTTCAGGTTTGAAGATCAAGACAAAACTATTGCCTTCCAAAGTTTCGGATTCGGCCCCAGGGCCTGCATTGGGATGCGGCTAGCTCTTGTTGAGCTTAAAGTAGCCTTGGTCAATGTTCTGAGGGCCGTGAAGTTTGATCGTACGCCCGACACACCGGTAGGATTATTCCATTATATAATTTTACAACCATACATGTGTCATCTTTCTATAAGAGGTTCGAATGTTCCAATGTTTGAATAAAGATATAGAACATCAGTGGAAAATCAGTCTGTAAACAAACCAGACACAAAACTGAGCAATGGAATGGAAAATTCACTTAAATAATTTGGAAATATGACTACGGTGTATGAGTGCAAACAATCCTATGCTTATATGCCTTAACGTTTGGAAAATAGATTTGATTTACAACAATCAGAAGGTTCTTCATTGACCATTGCGTTCTTGTTTAGACCATAGACAAAAACCACGTACTCCCATTCATGTTACAACTGCATATATACAAATGTCTTGGCTTGTTTACAGGAAGTATTGACGTTTGCACAGAATCCAAACTTTCTTCAAACAGACAAGGACATCATCCTGAAAGTGTCTCCAAGATGTTGAAAACGGCGAAAATGCAACGGCAGTTCCAAGAATGTATCTGAGAATATGTCTCTTAATTGTGTACACACCAATAATTATATATGCTTTGCCACTTTAAATCAGTGGGCATCGAAAATTGAATGTCTCCCATCTTGAATTGTTATAATTTTCTATCATACGAGAAACATTGCACTTCCCTGATGAAGTGTTTTCAGAGAGAATGAAACACTTACAATATTTCCATGCTAAAATTGCAATTGTGGCACATCTGTATTGCTTTTAAATCTTGTTCTCCTCACAGCAAATCCAAAGTGCTGTTAGACTCTCAGTCTGTAAGACAGTCTGAGCTGAGAATATGTCTCCAAATTGTGTACAAACCAATGATTATATATATATGTTTTACCACTTTAAATCAGTGGGCATCGAAAACTGATTGTCTTCCACCTTGAATTCTTATAATAATCAAACGAGAAGCGTTGCACTTTTGGCACATCTGTATTGCTTGTAAATGACGCTCACAAAATGAAAATCATATTCAGGGACAATCATGTATTGGGACCCTCGACTATTGTTTGTTGTTGTTTTTACCTAACTTTTGGGCGCAAATTGTACAATTTCGACTCGTCTGCCCATGTCCCCGGTATGAGCCAATGCCGGCATTCAGATGTATATATTTCAAATACTTTCCTGCTTCTGCATAATACTGCAATTTCTACATCTCATTATAACTTCTGAATAAACTTTACCATTAGTTACTGTAATAATACATGCCAGGAATAGTAAAGGCTATATTTCATTTTTTCAGCAATGGAGACTTGGGGAGTAATGTCCAGATATTTTTGTGTCTAACCTACAGTCGACGCAGTTTTGAAATTGAGTCTACATGCGACCAAAGACCAAACGAAACAAATCTTTCTCAATTTATATATGTCCTAAACTCTATGGTAACATAAAAAAAAATTGCACTCAAAGCATCGGATAATTCCGAAACGAACATGAGTCTACCGCTGACAGGTAACATGTACTGTAGATATATAATTGTACCTAAATGTTTGGGCTGTTGTTATGCGAATGCAATGAACATATTCTGACTGTTTAAACAGGCTTCTGTACATGTGGTGTAATAGCTGCAAGCATCAAGTATTCATTTGCGCTGAATAAACATAACAATCAAGGCAATGTCACTTTTGTGCTGTGATCCAAACAATTGGTATATAAAAACACATATATTAGTTGTGAGAAGTAAAATACCAAAAACATAGTTTTGATAGCTGAAGCGAGACAATCGGGACGCACATGAAATAGAATTAAATGACGAATGTACGTTGCACAAGGAATCACTCAACTATTGGAAACATGTGAAAAACCTTTTGGCGATATAAGGAGTTTGAGAGAGAGAGAGACCTATATCTGTGTAAAAACCTAAGAAACACAACTATCGTAATATCACAATTATGATAAAAATCAGAGCTGACAAACCTGACCAGCGAGATTAGTTTGAAGGTGTTTACATTATGTGAGTGCCTTTGCGCTGGTTCTTCTTAGTTTTGACAATTCACTTGCTCTGAATAATCTTAGTCTCTCTCAAGAGCAGGAAATGCAATGTATCCATACGAAACGTCAGCACACGGTCAAGCTGTCTCCATTTAACAACAGATGGTCAAGCTGACACGTCCCCATTTCGCAACAAGTTGAACAACTGATGGTTTTTCTTCCGCATAATAGGAGTCTTTTACTCATTTAGTCGACATGGAGATATTGGGGCTTTTGGACGTGCCGCTGTATCTCCTTCTGTGTTTGGCGGCCACAGTGTTGATCTACATGTGAGTAAGAAACTTTGTTTGTGGAAAACAGTTAGCACCGTCGCAGCATATCTAGGAGGCTTCATTGTGTAACAACTTATATTTAAATACAATTTGACATGATATTGTCGAAACAATACTATTTAAGAAATGAAATGAATCCATTTTGTAAAATAAACCAGTGATGATCCACATCGTAATGGTACCGTGATCAATTGTAACAAACCTTTGGACTAAAGACAGTGTTTGCAAGGCACGTCGTCTTCCTGTGACTGTCGACGTGTAGACATTCATCAGACATTTTTTGTGACTGAAATGTGGTAAAATATTTTGTATGAACGGCTTTGTTGAGAAATAGTGAGTGAGTGAGTTAAGTTTTACGCCGCGCTCAGCAATTTTCCAGCTATGTGGCGGCGGTCTGTCAACAATCGAGTCTGGACCAGACAATCCAGCGATCAACAGCATGAGCATCGATCTGCGCAATTGGGAACCGATGACATGTGTCAACCAAGTCAGCGAGCCTGACCACCCGATCCCGTTAGTCGCCTCTAAAACAAGCAAAGTCGCCTTTTGTGGCAAGCATGGGTTGCTGAAGACCTATTCTACCCCGGATCTTCACGGGTCATGTTGAGAAATACACACCTGTTAATTAACGTGCACATCATGAAAAGCTAATTATCAAAATTTGGTATTTTGACAATTTGACTCTGAAATCTTTAGAATAGTAACAAACCAGATAAGCGAAAACATCAACTTATACAACTTAATATTAAACTACTTAGTTTTGTTAAAGGACCAGTACTTCGATCTCCAAATAGTCTTCGTCACATTTTGTGCATCCTTTGAACTCATGGGTGAGTGAGTGAGTAATTGTTGCTTTAAGACGCATCAACAATGTTGCAGCTATTCGCTGCTACCTTTGAAATATCCAAGGTGAACGGAACGTTATTATTAACCCTTATCCCACCAAGTGGGTCATTTGAGTATTCAATGTATTCCTGAAAATTACAATACTGATTGCTGTAAAAAACATTCAATTTAATTATTTTCAAATAATTACCATTAATTTTAAAAAGCAAATATTATATTGCATTAACTGCTTTGCCGGGCCTCTAAGGCCCGGTCACCCCCCTTAGCTTCCAGTCAACCCCACTTGATAAAGCTTCCTTATGAATACATTGCATAGTAACTGCCAGTCAAAGATGAATCATCGAGCAAGAGGAACACCTTGTATGAAGAGACAAATTCTTTACTGCAGTGGATGCGACGTTTCTGTGTAGAACCTAACACCATTATCAAGCAAATGATACACAACACATGCACAAGGAGAAATATATACATGAAGGGTATTTGGGTTTATATGTACGAGTCTCGACATTTGCATTGGATGTAGTAGACAACGCCTGAGGGATCTTCTTTGTTGCTTGTAGCTGTTTTACTGTTGGCTTGTAGGATATGCTGAATTGATGTTCCTCTCTGGAACACAACATCTGTGATGGCTGGCTTCTTTAGTAATCTGCGGATATGGTGGCTGGTTGTATCAACATATGGTATGCTGGTGATGAACGGGGATGATTGTTGACGTGGTGGTTTGTCTTTTGGTTTGATGGTTCTGTTGACTAGATTAGCTGGGTACTGATTAAGGTTTATGAAGACATGGCGAAGGTGTTCTAACTCGACTTCAAGGCCTTGGGTTGTGGAGCTGATGTTCTTTGCTCTTCTGGCTAGGGTGGCGATTATACCTCTCTTGACTTGCAGTGGGTGATTAGATGAGAATTGAAGATATTGGTCTGTGCGGGTTGGTTTCCTGTAGACACTTGTTTGGAGTTAGTTGTTGTCTTTTTCTACTTGGACGTCGAATTTCATGCGTGTATTTTGGGCATTAAGGTGTTTGAGAAGGCAGATGGGATCATCGGTGGGGTGACTATGACAAAAGTAACGTCTTCTTTCCGGAACCAGCATATTAGTGTGACGGGTAAGGTCAGGAGGGTCTTGTCTTCGGGCTCTGTCATGTATATCTCGGTGATGATGGGGGAGAGAGGTGACCCCATAGGTAGACTATGGGTCTGTTGGTAGATTTTATCAGACCAGGTGAAGTATGTTGATCTTATATAGGAATGGATGAGGCGGATGATCCTTTCTACTGTGAGATGGGTGTTTAGGTTTAGCGCGGATGTCTTCAACTTTTCTTCTAATGATGGCTAGGGCTTCGTCTCTTGGTACAATGGTGAATAGATCAACCACATCATAACTCATTTTTGTGCCTGGCTGATGCCTGGTGATGGTGCTGATCGTGTTGCAGAATTCGTGGGAGTGCGAGATAAGGGATTTAGTTAATTTACCTAGAGGGGCGAGAAGGCGGGCGAGATGCTTGGTGGTATTGTAATGGACTGTGTTTCTGGAACAGACTAGGAGATGGGCTTTGATGGGGTCTTTGTGGACCTTGATGGTGGCTCAGGCATAGGGTGGTCTAGGATAGGGAACTGTGAGTTGTTTGTGTAGAGTCGGACCTATCTCGTTTTGTCCCTAAGTTCTTACGGGATGGTTTTGTGGTCTCGTTGAAGCAAGGTGGTGGGGTCTTTCTGTGTCGTCTACTTTCCGGAAACATCATATTGGTGTGACGGGTGAAGTGTGGAGGGCCTTGTCTTCGAGTTCTGTCATGTAGATCTCGCTGATGATGGGGGAGAAATGTAATCCCATAGGTAGGCCATGTGATAAGAGCACTCTTAGAGGCAATCAACATCAAACGGCTCAACCCGACAGTCAACAGAGATCAACGTTATTACATCCCTACAGCTTACGATCAACAAATCAAGAATAACCCACCCTTTCTCTACTGGCTTCAATCATTTCTTATCACATCAAGCCTCATGTCAACACACATCAACTTAAGGAAGTTTGAGAAGCAGTTTTCGCGATGTTTTGCTCCAACCTGCTGCTGCAGATGATGATGGCAGTGGTGCTGATGCAGTACCTTCTGACAGTGGATCAGATTCCGAGTTCGAACCTCCCCTTGAAGAAAGTATTAAGGCTTGTTTATACGGCGAAAATATACACATGTGCAAATTTGCATACATGAGTAAATTTACATAGGGAGTGTAATTTGCTAGGGTGAGCAATTTGCTATGCGTTCATACGGACTTTAGGCAAAGCGGTAGTAAATGTTGATAATAGTTCATGTCTGCACTAGCAATGGATGGAGTAAGACGCGCGATAAGAAGAAGGTATAGGCCTTTCCCATATTACATCAGTGTTGGTCTGATACTGGGATGTTCCAATGATCGAACTTCTAGAAGAAAGCCAAGATCAAGTCATTGGTATACGGAAGTTGTTGGCAAACATTTCACTGATGCCGAATGGTTAGAAAATTTTAGAATGCGAAGAGAAACGTATGAATTGATCTGCACTCGACTAAACGATGAGCTCTCTCCTCTGAACATACAGTTGAGGAACCATTGGATGTGAAGAAAAAGGTTGCTATAACAATCTATTGGATGGCTTCCTCCGCAGAATATAGAACTGTGGCCAACCTTTTTGGTGTCGGGAAGGCAACCGTATGTATCTGCGTCCATCAAGTGTGCGAAGCCATCATGAAACTTCTCCTGACTGAATACGTCAGGTTCCCCAAGGGAGACGCATTGAAGGATGTTATCAGGGGCTATGAGGAGCGTTGGGGATTTCCAAACTGTGTAGGATCTATAGATGGCAGTCACATCCCTATCATAGCTCCTAACTTTTCACACGGTGACTACCTGAACAGGAAAGGTTTCTATTCTCTTATCCTTCAAGGGGTATGTGACCACAACCAGATGTTTACAAACATCAATATTGGCTGGCCAGGCAGAGTGCATGACGCCCGTGTCTTTGTGAACTCAGACATTTATTTCCTTGGTGATGATGGTTCTCTTACCAAACTGGTCGAAGAACATCGGAAATACACAGATGCCGTTGGTGCTCCTTGGTGATGCAGCATACCCCTTAAAGTCATGGTTATTGAAGCCCTACACTGGCAGAGCTAACCTCACTCCAGCTCAGAGTACCTTCAACTATCGACTCAGCCGAGCCAGGATGACGATTGAAAACGCGTTTGGTCGCTTGAATGGACGCTGGCGGTGTTTGCAGAAGAGGATGGACGTTGACGTCGAATTTGCCTGCACGGTAATTACATGCTGTGTTGTCCTCCACAACATTTGCGAGAGTGTACGCGACCTCTACAAGGAGGATTGGGACACCGAAGAAGATGGAGAAGAAAATGACTACCAACTGGATGTACAGGATGGGGGCGACGAAGGGATCCAATGTGCGAAAGCTCTGCGTGATGAAATCGCGCTGGCTTTCTGCAACGATGTGTTTTAAAGACATTATTCATTTGTGAAGACATTTACTTTGAGTAAACCATGTATAGTTCATATTGGTGATTATTGTAAACATTTAAACTTGTACATGCACGTGTTTCAAAATTCAAATTAAATTATTTTGTGAAGATGTAAGCAATCCTTTCTTTTATGCCAACACACCAATACAATATTGCAACACATTGACCATAACCTCAGAGAACAATTTGACATGACGTTTTGCATTAGCTATAATACACACTTTCAATAGCCTCAAAACCAGGATCATGATTTTCGAAACGGTAAGATACGCAAACATTTGACGTTATTAGTGAATGACAAGTCATGGTTTCAACAGCATTATCCTCAAAGCTGTAAGGATAATTACGAGAGCTTTCAGTAATTATTCAAAGCTGGTAACAGAGGGTGAAAACCATGCTTTTTCTTCTTTTCGGAAAAAGTGAAATGTGCACTAAATCTAAAAATCCTTTATTCATAAGAGAACATGAATTATTACAAGGCTTATATCTAGATGCTGTCTAGATTGCTCAAATGAACATTGTGATTACAGCAGCACTAAGAATATGGCTGGACAAACACCAGAACGGAAACGTCTCAAGACACACACTGGAACTAACTCGAAGGATGAAATGGAAACCAAACGCCAATGAACTTCATGGCGGTTGATGAGAAAACAGAATTGAGCAATAGTTAAAATAATCATGAATGTATCATTTATAGTCTTGTGTCATTCATGAAGTCTACAAATTGTAGAAACTTGTTCCGTCTTCAGTATCAGTTATCCAAGAATCGTCGTTTGAAGATTGTTGGTTGACTGTCGAGGAATAGCGTGATGAAGGGCCCGACCTCTTACCGATTCACCTCCATCATACTGAGCTGTACGACCCGTGCTGTATGGGACAGGTGGGGCTGTTGTCCTGTCCCCCGTACAGCTCTCATAATCATATTCATCATGTTGAACTGGTGCTGTCTCTCTTCACGCTTCTGTCTTTCATCTGATTCGATCTTGGCTTTCTCGACATCAAGCTTTTGGCGTTCAAGTTCTATTTTCTGGCGTTCAAGGTCAAGAACCTTATCATCAGCTCTCTCGTTTGCTGCACTAAATCTATCCATCACAGATTTCAGTGCTACTTCCATCCTCGTCTTCCGAGCTCTTTTCTTCTCGCTTTTCACCTTTTCATTTTCCCCTTCAGTGGATTCCTTTCTTTTATTCTTTCTGCTTTCCGTGTCAGATGCATCCTTTTCATCCCTTTCAGTTTCATTATCAGCAAGAGGTGTAATGTCAGCACAACTGTCACCAACAGCCTGTGTGTTTGCCTGTGCTGTATCATCAGGTTCACAAGAATCCCCCCTCCTTCATCTTCGACTTTCTTGGTCAATGTATCTTTAACCTTCAGAGGCGACGAGGCTGGTCTGGTACCAAGAATGGCGTCCAGTTCTTCAAAAAACTTACAAAGTTTCCTTCCCTTTCCACTTTTCTTCAGGTTTGATTTACACTCTCTGTATGTCCTCTTTAAGGTATGGATTCTCACTTTACATTGGTCAGATGTCCTGTTGAATCCTTTTGTACCCATTTCCGTCGCGACAGTATTGTACACCGAAACATTGTTGCTTTGGGGGGTTTTCCAGTAATTCCTCTATACTGTTATCTTCCCATATTGCCAATAGGCATTTTGTTTCCTCGTCATTCCAAGCGGAACCGCGTCTTTTGGCACCTCGAGTTCCTTTCCGGTTCGCCATTGTCGTGTGTCTGTTTTTAATGGAAGCTAGACATCAACTGACAGATATGTGACCAATAAGGCGCGTAAAGTATACGCGGGAAACTACCAAAATAGCCATTATGAAATCGAGCGGGAAAAATACTCACCCTGAGTAAATTTGCTATGCGTTTATACGACCAGATTTGCTTAGGGTAGCAAAAAATAAGCATTTACTCACCGGTAGTAAAACATTTGCACCTGGTCTAGGCCAGGAGTATTTTTGTTTGGGGTAGTAAAATTTGTATATGTGTAATTGCGTTTATACGACCAAATATACTCCTGTAAGCAAATTTACACATATGCAAAAAATAAACACATGTGCAAATGTCGCCGTATAAACAGGCCTTTAGTGACAGCAGTGACTGTTCTAATAGTGAAGAAGAACGTAACATCCTGTCAGGTCCTTTGATATAAATCAAAAGGGGGTGACCGGGCCTCACAGGCCCACTTGGCGGTAATGGATATGAAGAAAGCTTGGTTGGATAAGGGTTAATAAACAAAACTCTGTTCTTATGTGTCACACGACCGTAACAAACAACATAGAGCAAATCAGTCGGAACATCTGTTGAAACAAATCCCTTGTGAAAGGAACCCCACATACTCATTCCAAGTAGAAGTGCATTCATACGATGCTGTCGTCTGTCGCAAATGTAATTATGCTATCTGATAACGATGTGCAACGACTCCCTCAATGTGTCCTATCACATATTTTCAAGCACCTTGTGTACATTGCACTATGACTGCAAACCTCTGAAGGTTCATCAGGCCAGTGAGGTCCTTTTGGGTTTATCAAACCAGGGTATTTCAATCGTTAACTGTTGGCGTATTTTTTTATTTATGATAAATGATGATGATAAAAAAAAACACTACCAAGAGGTTTGGTTAAATCTATCGTTGTTATGAGAGAGTGAGTGAGTGAGTTATTATTTAACGTCACATCGGCAATATTTCAGCCATATCGTGACGAGAACATATTTGATTTTGAAGTGGAATATATGTATAATATAAAAACCTGTCGACGAAGGACAGTAAAACAACTAGAATATCACAATTAGAATTAAAACTAGCGTGGAAAGTTTAAAACTAATAGCACTATAGGGACAATACAATATAAAAACAGGCTATAGATCGCCAACAACAGAAGGTAGATCACCATACTAGGGACCATGGGGACTTACAGTACCTTTGCTACCTGTGTTATGAGAGAGATACGCACATGAACATACGCATGAATGTGTACGAGAGAGACGCATCTACGTGTTATTAGGGTCCCTAGAGTGGTGGTCTACCTTCAGTTGTTGGCGATCCTCAGCCTTTTCTATATTGCACTGTCCTAATATGAAATCCTATTTTGAGATATATGCTAGTTTTATTTCTTGATATTGTGATATTCTAGTCGGTTGTACTATCCTTCGATGACAGGTTTTTATAATTTACCATATATTACTATGTATAACAATTAAATGTTCTCGTCACGATATGGCTGAAATATTGCCGATGTGACGATAAATTATAACTCACTCACTCACTCACGTGTTATTAGGATATGAGATGTATCATTGCCTGTAAGGGGAACATATCAGATATCTCACCTGTCATCTAAGCATACATTATTTGATATTGTATACTTTATGTTTCTTGCGACGGCAGTAACGAAAATTATGTTCTCGAAATTTATGAAAGGGAACAGACTTCCTGCAAATGATGATGGATGCTTCGATGGAAGAAGACGATAATGTAAATGATCAAACGGTCAAATATTCGGTCAGGCGTAAGTAGGCACTCTATGTCAAGGTATGGGTGTCACCCTGGAGAGGGGTACGTCACGCACAATGGTTTGGGGAACATTGTCGTCCCGGGACATATTACCACTATACAGTACTGGGACAAGTATTGACTCCAGTCCTTCTGCCATTCATTCTTCTAAGTGGTCCTGGACTGTCGTTTTATCATGACAAAGCTACTTCCCATGCTACAGTTCTGACGTCATCGAACATTAAGCACTATTTTACTAATAAAAGTACGCTACCATACTACTGTCAAGATATTAATTTGGTTGAGTGTACCGTTTTCATTTCTCAAAATAATAAAACAATAACTAAAATTTGCATGATATGTGTCAAACAAGTCAGCGAGCCCGACCACCCGATCCCGTTAGTCACGTCTGACGACAAGCACCTCGTCACCTCGTCAGACCAATTCTAACCAGGATCTTCACGGGTTCTTCGTCTGATAACCTCTCAGCAAGGACATTCTACAGAATGTCTCCCTGAACCTGGAATATTCTAAAGAAAGTTACATGGTACCGGAGATATATAATCCATTAAGGGCACATTACTGTTATGTGCAATCAGTCGGACCTGTAATCTTCGTATTTGTTGCCCATAGTAAGCTGTTAAGCTGCACGATGCTTTTATGAATTAGACACTCGGGTTTGGAACTATTTCACTCGCCCTCTTGTTCACATTTTCATCAAAAATCTCATGGGATAGTTTTTCCTTTAGTTTATGCAAACGGTTCTGGGGATACCAGAGATTTTTTCGAAGCTAGGCTCAAAACTTTTTGGGCACAGAAAATTGCATTTAGCACAGGAGATTACAAATCATCAAAGTTTAAAGAATTACTTGTATATCCCCTGTGAGTCCCATATCCTCTCAAACCGCATGCCGGGTTTCAAAGTGTGTACATGGTCGTAAATGCTAAACAACCTAGTTTCACACCTTTGCATATGACCCCAGCGAATTTGCCGTCATCCACACTTACATTCAATGTGGGCCACCCTTCCTATCAACCACTATCAAAGTGTGTACACGAACGTCACTGCGAATGCTGTCCCAGTTTCAGGCCTGTGCGTCTGACCCCAGCGTCAGCCACAATGACATTCAAGGCAGGTCACACAGACGGTGCTGGAAGCATTTGCTGATAATTTACCGTTTACGAAAACTGCTGGCTGCATCGCTGCTTTCGCTCTTTGGACTAGTGGAGGGAGGGTACGATTTTTCTAAAAATCCACAAACACGCGATGACCTAGCTATAGATTGAAGCTATAACAATAACACAATACAATAGATAGAGTCGATACGGCGATAGTAACACACGATACAGCGATGAAACGAAAGAAGAACACGTAACAGCAAGAGTGAGTGAGTTTAGTTTTACGCCGCTTTTAGCAATATTTCAGCAATATCGCGGCGGAGGACACCACACATGGGCTTCACAGATTGTACACATGTGGGGAATCGAACCCGGGTCTTCGGCGTGACGAGTGAGCTCTTTAACCACTAGGCTAAAACGTTGAGGGGAAAATGTTCTTGACGTTCTTGAAGTACAGAAAAATTTGCAACTTTACCAACGTACTGCGCGTTCACTCCACTGATGTTAAATACCGAAACGTGCACCTTTGTAAAACTTACCTGGGGTGCCCACCCTTTGTTACAGGTTCGTATAATGATACCAAATTCCTAACATAATAGAAGTTTGAAACAATTGTGTTTTCAAGCTGTTTGATACCGCTTTCTGTTTTGTGTATCAACACTAGCAAATGCTTGCGAGCTGTTGCTTGTGACACACCCGTGTAAACCAAGAAATACAAATTATGACATATCACAGCCAACATGATGAAAATATGAGCCGCAAACCTGACCAGGCGTAGAAGGCGACTTGAAGTAGCGTCGATATATGTGTGAGGCATACTGGGCGTTTTCAAATGGGAGGCACTCTCTTGTCACAGCAACAGAGGCTCCCTTTCCGTATTCAGAATATGCAGATTATTCTGTACAATATTGTGAATAATAGCCTTCTGGCAGCTAACCTAATCTCAGTTGACATTGACTGACTGACTGATCTGAGTTTAGTTTTACGCCGCTTTTAGCAATATTCCAGCAACATCATGGCGGGTAACACCAGAAATGGGCTTCACACATTGTACCCTTGTGGGGATTCGAACCCGGGTCTTCGGCGTGACGAGCCAACGCTTTAACCACTAGGCTACCCCACCGCCCCCCCCCAGTTGACATTGAGGGTAGGAGTAGTGGGTGTGCCGTGGCAGGGGTGAGGTAGTGAGAATTAGTGGTGGTCCAATTAATTGAAATAATCGAAGATTGGTCGTAGTGACTAAACGACCAAGCAATCGATCATAATTTCTCATAATCGAACACAAACAATTCTGGAACACTTGTTTTATTAACAATATTTTTCACATGGTTGGTTTTGTCTGTTACATTTCATAAGCACTACTAGCTCATTTCAAGTCATGATTGAGTTTATCTTAAAGATTCCAAGTAATTTATGTTCCTAACATACTAGTCATCCTTTAAAGATGTGAAATTTTGACAAAAACACCCCAAAAGAACACCAATTTTTCCCCTTATTTTTATGTGCATTACCAAATTTCATATATAACGCTAACCAATTCTTTTCGATGATTGATCGGTAGTAATGAACCAATCATCAATTATGAGATTTTATCCAATTCCCAACACTAGTGAGAATCAACTGGTATGCCCTATAGATGGTGCACATGTACATTCAAATGTGACATGCTCTGCTCATATTATTGAAGACGTATTTCTATTGAACCTGCAGTATGGGTAGTTTATGGTGCTTCTCTAATGCTATCACCAATCAGTGCTAATTACCCTGTGCCTTTCATTTCTCAAATGCTTATTACCAATCAGTGCAAATTTAATTCCTCGTTTCCATTTGTTCATTCGTACTTCCAGTCGTGGTTAATGACTACCTGGGGTTTTAAACAGGAATGTGAGAAATTATTTAGAATTTTACATTCACTATGGAAATACGAAAACAAAGGAGGATGACATTTCAAGACGTACACGTATGTATGTGTGTATGTCTTAGGTGTATTTGCACTTGGCATAATTTAGTATGGTGTAGTGTGTTTTAGGTGCGCTGGCACTTCGTTTAGTTTTATAGGTGCGCTTGCACTTGGTTTACATTATGTGAGTTACTCGCCTTTGCACTTGGTTCTTCTTAGTAGTGCAGATTCACTTAAAATAGATAATACAAACAAACGTACACCTAAGTCTCCCTATCTCGAACTTATCAGGCCACTCAAACACGAAATCGCTAGAAGTTTCTTTTGCCCTTGTTTGACTAGTTGAGATAGCGATATCTTACATCATGTAAACAATGTCTCATTCTCGAGTTGTCAACGTTTGCTCTGTACAAAAACACACGAGAACGCCAAACCTCGCCTTCTTGCACTTTTGGCGTATTTAGCTCGTTTCCAGAGATTGAGATTGCGAGATCGCGAAAATCCCTTTCAGTATCCATAGTATAGAGATGACTTTGGTCAACTGTATATTTACCCTAATACTGTTTTCACATATTACAGCAATGCGACATATCTTCACATGAGTAAGGGGCGGTGGGGTAGTCTAGTGGTTAAAGCGTTCGCTCGTCACGCCGAAGACCCAGGTTCGATTGCCCATATGGGCACGATGGTGTGAAGCCGATTTCTGGCGTCCCCCACCGCGATATTGCTGGAATAATGCGAAAAACGTAATCTCACATGAGTAAAAGTATCGGAGGTGAGAATAGCTCTACCCAGATATTTCACCGAAAATAGTAAAACAAGAAAAGAACCGATTTGGGACATCGAACATGGTTAATGAGTGGCACGCCATTGCGTAAACTACAGCCACATCACATCGAGACATATGTAGTCTAAATAATTCCAACAGTAAATAAAACCTAAACGATTCAAATGTGCAATGTCACTTCACGAACAAGGACTTGTTTGTCAACTGGTACGATGCTTACACATGCACTATACATGTATGCACTGATAAACCCATATACATCAGTCTTGAAAAGGGATCCTTACAAAGCAGGATCACAAACAAACCTAAACCAACCCGAAACTACTGTGTATACAACCGTACTTATGGCTGGAGTGCACTCGAGGTCATCCCCCTACCCGACAACCAAGGCAAGACATTATTATGCACTCAACGCAGTCAAGCTGGCTCGTTCCCATTACGCCATATCTAGGACACGTGATGTTTTGTTCGGTGATATAAGAGCCGTTTACTCGTTCAGTTGTCATATCGACATGGAGATCTTGGGGCTTGTGGACGTGCCGCTGTATCTCCTACTGTGCTTGGCGGCCACAGTGCTGATATACATGTGAGTAGGCAACTTTGTGCGTAGAAATGTTTTATCATTACGTCAGCATCTTTAACAGGCGACATTTAATAACAGAATGCATGTAGGGAGAAAGATTAATCTCAAAACAATACTATTTCTAGAATGAATACATTTTGTAAAATCGTGCAAAATACATGACAGGTGATCGTTGTTCAGTTGACGATATTACTAACGAGACGTTATTCAATAAAGTTTTAAATTATTGTTAAACGGTCACCCTGCTCGATCCAGCCAAACAAAATCGCTAAAATAAATTGCACATAAGAAAAGAAACGCTGACGCAGTTAAAACTCGCATGATCATAGCCAAAAAAGCACAAAACAAATATCCCGGATATGTGTGCATGTACGTATTTTGTAATTGGGTGTGTCCCCACGTGTGTATGTTTGCATGCATGCGTGTGTGTTCGTCTCTCTATCTTTTTCCTCTCTCTGTGTGTGTCCGTGTGTACCCGTGAAGGTCCGGGTTAGAATATTGATCTTCAGTAGCCCATGCTTGTCGTAAGAGGTGACTAATGGGATCGGGTGGTCAGGCTCGCTGACTTGAATGACACATGACTTCTGTTCCCAATTGCGCAGATCGATGCTCATGCTGTTGATCACTGGATTGTCTGGTCCAGACTCGATTATTTACAGACCGCCGCCTTATAGCTGGAATATTGCTGAGTGCGGCGTAAAAATAAACTCACTCCAACACTGTGTCCGTGTGCATGCATTTGTGATGTGCGTGCGTGTGTGTGTGTGTGTGTGTGTGTGTGTGTCCATGTGTATGCTCCTGTGTATGGGTGTGTTTTCTTGCATGCATGCATGTCTCTCTGTCCGTTTGTCTGTGTCAGTCACGTCAATGACGCATGCCATACAAGATGAATTCCTATACAAGACGACCGCCTCCGTGGTGTAGTGGTTAGAGCGTCCGCCCGGAGAGCTGAAGGTCCGACAGCTTCATACCAACACACGTTAAAATATGGTACTTGTTGGTCCCTGTCTTGCGCTCGGCATTAATGACTGCAACAAGGACTTGTCGGCTCGAAGTCAGTATAATGTCGTCTGAGTGGGGTATTCATGCATATCTGCGGCAAGGTATCTCAGTGGGCTAGCACTATAAAACCAGCTTAAGTCTGGGCTCGTACAGGCAGCCACACATACACACGCATGCACGTCGTCATATGAACGAAATAGTCTTCAGTACGTATTGTTATATGACAGGCATAATTACTGCAGAACAATATTCCATGTGTATATATATATATCGTATATATATCATATTCACTTAGGGGGCAGTGAAGTTCTATATTTACATAAGGGGAGCTAACCCTTGACTCGCATGTCAGGTTATATCTCAAGCTATTGAAAGAGCAACATTGCGTGTGACGATCATTATACTGTGGATACTCTGCAAGGTTTCAAGTGGGATTACTGTTGCTGTTGTCTTTATTACTACTGCCACTTCGCTTGGTTTATATCACCGCCTTTAGATCTGCACTGCCACTCCATTTCGTACTGCCATAGTGATGCCTTTCTAGCGATTTGTTATGATTTTAGAATACAACTATTAATTAGTGAACAATAGTTATTATTAATTGTTGTTTGTTAGTTTTCATGTATTTCTTATTTGTTCCCTTGCCTCTCACAACTATTTTCAGTACAACCCGTTTATTCAACAAAAATAAAACAAACAATATATGTTTTCATGATATTTGGGAATAAGTTTCCAACATTTACTGAACTTGTCGGCGTGCTTAAAACGGTATAAAGCTCCCTTGTTTCCAACAAGGTGGTGACATACTGGGTTATGACAAATTCTGTGAAATTTCCTTTATTTGAACCTTTCCAAGTCAATACTTCAATCTTGATGATATCAGAGAACGCATAATAGAGGGACGGCCCTCCCCAACAGTTTATCACTAACCATCAGCGCTGCGGCCTGGCATGCAACTGATACACATCGACACCCTGCTGCTAACTTCCCGCTACCGGTACACATGCGCAACAGATGCGCAGACATTCGCAAATGAGCACTCTGGTAACCACGTAAACAATATTGCGTAATATCCGGGCCGAGAGTTAATTCCCTTAGCGGGCACACTAGAAGTGTCCGGCCTTGTCATTATATGTTGTACTGTGAAGCATTTCGAGTCGGGGTGTCATCTCAAAAACAATATTTTTAAAATCATGAATCCTCGGAAAGACACGAGGGCCTGTGACTGGCTGGTGTTTCACTAAATGACGCTATTATAGTCTCTGATTCTAATTTTATATTATTTTGCATAATTTTTATAAAGTTTATAGTCCCAACACGATTTCACATTATCCAAGAGCGTTAATGTTTTTATAATGCCAGTTTGGGACTAGCAGTGATTATGCTTTGGGCCGTAGCGCTGATGGTTTTGCGCATTGGCTCGAGGGCAGTCCCTCTATTATATGGTCTCTGATAATATTGAATGCTGGAGATAGAAGTAAATAGTGTTGGCAGGGTACAGCTGTATGTGTAAACCTGTTCAATGTCTTTTATCTCATAAACACTCACGTGTTACTCAGAGAACCATGGCGGGATAGATATTATTTCGTTTGAATACTGTAGCACCACATTGTGAAACAATCCCCAGACATTCAGTACTACATTAAAGTATGCTCTGATCTTTAAAATATTCATGTGCTTCTATCGTTTGCTAATTATCAGATCGTGTTTTACAGATATGGAACATGGAACTACAATTACTTCAAGAAGCAGGGCATCCCGGGGCCAGCACCAACGCCTTGTGTTGGAAACAATGTTGGTCAGGTAGGTTCCATAATACTCCTTAAAAAACGTACAGCACACCATAAGTGTCCGTTGGTAAAGCTGCGGGGATGGAAACATCCATATTTCGGATTTAACAATAGCCTTGTCCCTTTTCTCTTTGTCTCACATCAGCGACCAACATAATGTTCTATTTATAGTCCTTCTCTGACTTGTATCCTGTGTTGCCGTGTTTTACGGTTAAACTTGACTCGACTTTGCATGTATTTGCGACAGGATATGTTCACCTTTTGGCTCACATCTGGTTACATCAATATTTGATAGTTATCAGTAAACACATGATCCTGAAATAGAAGGAATCGCACAATGGGTTTTAGCAGTCTGAGAGATACCTTACCCATCCTAGCATCTCAGTTCTCAAGCTCTTTAACTAACATTAAAACAATACAAAGAAAATGATTCATTGATGCCACAGTATGGAGACTGTCCTTCGACAAACTGATGACTAGACTGAGGTGAGAACTGAATTCTGCTAAATGAACAACAGGCACTAACCTCTAATGAATGCCATGGAAGCCTATTGTGATATTACTATACTGACACACATTGAAAACGCAAAACCAAATTCAAATGAGGAAAACTTAACAAACAACAATACTTGGATGAAAATTGTTCTACAGTTATGTTGAAAATTTCATTGTGCTTCATTTTCATAAAACATGATTGCAAGAGTTCCGCCAATATGACTGACACGTCAAGCGTCACACACAGACCCCCCTTACGTCCGTCAGTAGCGAGGGTGACCTCCCTGAGCCTGTAGACATGCACGGAGTCGACGTGGCATTGATTCGCACAAACGTCGAACAGGTGCTTGGGGGATGTTCTGCCACCCCTGTTGTAAAGCCAGGGTCAACTCAGCGACGTTGTTTGGCTGACGTTGACGTTGACATTGATGAATCCGGCGACCAAGCTCATGTTCATGTTGCTGCCTGTAGACGCGTTGTCTGCCATCTGCAAATGACACACAGAACCTGGACCCATTGAAAAACACCCACTGGATGGAGATTCATGGTGGTTGGAAGCTATGTTGCTGTGCAAACAGGAGTCTGTTGACTCGATGACGTTGCGTAATGACGTTTCCCGATATGGCCCCTTAGTGTCACAGCCTGCAGACGTCAAATGATTGTCATGGCGCTGATGTAGCGTCCTTTACGTCCTACGGTGTTTCGAGGTGAGTTTGCTGCTGTCTGAAAGCGGTTTCTTTGGTGAACTCGTCGGATGTACCGGTCTGGACGTGCCGTCGTGACAGGAGTTTGTCCTGGTAAGGGACGGTCACTGACGCTTCCAGTTTGCTGATGACGATTTTGGAGTCTGTTGATGGTGGATGGGCTCACTCCGAAGTGGTGGGTGACCTTCATTTTGTGATGTTCCCACCAACAGCATCCCGATAGCTTGTTCCCTCTGCTGTTCACTGAGCCGTGGCATTTTGTGACTGCTAGTGAAACGGTTGAACCATAGTGCCTTTTATGCGTCCAAAACCTGGCTTTGCATATGACCCCAGCGAATTTGCCGTCATCCACACTTACATTCAATGTGGGCCACCCTTCCTATCAACCACTATCAAAGTGTGTACACGAACGTCACTGCGAATGCTGTCCCAGTTTCAGGCCTGTGCGTCTGACCCCAGCGTCAGCCACAATGACATTCAAGGCAGGTCACACAGACGGTGCTGGAAGCATTTGCTGATAATTTACCGTTTACGAAAACTGCTGGCTGCATCGCTGCTTTCGCTCTTTGGACTAGTGGAGGGAGGGTACGATTTTTCTAAAAATCCACAAACACGCGATGACCTAGCTATAGATTGAAGCTATAACAATAACACAATACAATAGATAGAGTCGATACGGCGATAGTAACACACGATACAGCGATGAAACGAAAGAAGAACACGTAACAGCAAGAGTGAGTGAGTTTAGTTTTACGCCGCTTTTAGCAATATTTCAGCAATATCGCGGCGGAGGACACCACACATGGGCTTCACAGATTGTACACATGTGGGGAATCGAACCCGGGTCTTCGGCGTGACGAGTGAGCTCTTTAACCACTAGGCTAAAACGTTGAGGGGAAAATGTTCTTGACGTTCTTGAAGTACAGAAAAATTTGCAACTTTACCAACGTACTGCGCGTTCACTCCACTGATGTTAAATACCGAAACGTGCACCTTTGTAAAACTTACCTGGGGTGCCCACCCTTTGTTACAGGTTCGTATAATGATACCAAATTCCTAACATAATAGAAGTTTGAAACAATTGTGTTTTCAAGCTGTTTGATACCGCTTTCTGTTTTGTGTATCAACACTAGCAAATGCTTGCGAGCTGTTGCTTGTGACACACCCGTGTAAACCAAGAAATACAAATTATGACATATCACAGCCAACATGATGAAAATATGAGCCGCAAACCTGACCAGGCGTAGAAGGCGACTTGAAGCTCATGTTCATGTTGCTGCCTGTAGACGCGTTGTCTGCCATCTGCAAATGACACACAGAACCTGGACCCATTGAAAAACACCCACTGGATGGAGATTCATGGTGGTTGGAGGCTATGTTGCTGTGCAAACAGGAGTCTGTTGACTCGATGACGTTGCGTAATGACGTTTCCCGATATGGCCCCTTAGTGTCACAGCCTGCAGACGTCAAATGATTGTCATGGCGCTGATGTAGCGTCCTTTACGTCCTACGGTGTTTCGAGGTGAGTTTGCTGCTGTCTGAAAGCGGTTTCTTTGGTGAACTCGTCGGATGTACCGGTCTGGACGTGCCGTCGTGACAGGAGTTTGTCCTGGTAAGGGACGGTCACTGACGCTTCCAGTTTGCTGATGACGATTTTGGAGTCTGTTGATGGTGGATGGGCTCACTCCGAAGTGGTGGGTGACCTTCATTTTGTGATGTTCCCACCAACAGCATCCCGATAGCTTGTTCCCTCTGCTGTTCACTGAGCCGTGGCATTTTGTGACTGCTAGTGAAACGGTTGAACCATAGTGCCTTTTATGCGTCCAAAACCTGGCTTTGCATGTGTATGTCATGATAATCATGCACCCCAACAGGTCCAAGGAAATGCCAGAGTTGTGTTTTCATGAACTGTACCAATGCCAGAAACACGAAAAGGGTTCGAACCCAGATGTGCATATGGTTTTATTCGGCAACCTCACATAACTATATTTTCATGTGGTAAATGAAATTGCTTCACAAAACTTGTTAGAAATTGCCAAAATGGGTTTTACGTTTTCAATGCGTGTCAGTATATATCACACGCTTGTGTGTGAGCTAAATATATTCATGGCAATAATGGTTGTCACCCCTTCAAGTTTTTAATTGGAGAGGGGTGTGGGGTGGGGTGTGAAGTGTGTGTGGGTTGGGGTGGGGGGTGGTGACAACCATTATTGGCATGAGGATATTATGGTGCTTATATTGAAGTTTTAGCTTGATGTCGCTTGTGGTGACAGGTTTACCGATATATGATAGATGAAGGCAATCTATTCCACTAAGTTGACAAACTTCTGACTTTTTAACAGCATGTCTGGAAAATGGGTTCAGGTTTCCTTCGGTGGGTAATTATTATAATATATAACTGATAATCATATGTAATTTTTGCATTTCCCAAATGTAACTCCTGATATATTACTTGTTGTGGATCTGTAATTACCAGCAAAAATTTCGTATTAGTATTACTCCATAACATATCTTTCTCACCGGTATATCAGTCTGGCATTGAGTTTCAGATAACATAAAGCTCTTGGTTTCGAAAATACCAGAAGTATGCGTATACAATGCGTTCAGGAGCCTGGGCCTAGATTTTCGAAGCTCTCTTAGCGCTAAGATAGTCGTAAGTTAATGTTAATGTATGGCACTTACGACTATCTTAGCGCTAAGAGAGCTTCGAAAATCCAGGCCCAGGAGTCTTATAGGTCTGGAGTCTGTTTAACATTTGAAATGGTTCGATACGGAAACGTTATCCTTTCCATATTTTTACTTGTTTCACAGATTTCCACAGGACCATATTTGATTTGCTTTTGTATAGTTTATTCCTATGTTTGTGACGGCGCCAAGTGTGGGTAAGGATACCCTCACCTTTTCTCAAACATCATCCTTGTTTGACTTGCTTAGGAATTGCAAAGTTGACTTTTTAGGGTGTTGGAAGTAATTGTACGTTATCTTTTTTAGTTTCAAATTCAGAATTGGTAACACTTTATACTTCGTGGAGAACAAGAGACTTCCGGGATCCGATTCCATTTAACGCCGTTTTACGTTTGCAGCATATATTTTATATTCCTTTGAAGTTATCTGTCATATGAAAATGGTTGTGGCAGATAGGTCCAGCGGAGAGTATTTCAACATAACATAAACATAAGAATGCCACGTGAAATATTGCAGCAAGGTTTATTCACTTCACTTTTTGCAGAATTTCGGCCATAAAGTGTACGCATGGAGTAAGCTATATGGAGATGTTTTTGGGTATGTACATATGTATTTATATATAGATATATATACTGACATTATGCAAAATTAGTTGAGTTCGACTTGTAGTCAGACAAAGAGCAGCTTATAAGAATACGACGAGGAAGCACCTGTAAGTTAATAACCCGCGCTCGTTACCCATATGACGAGGAACATCAAAAAGCATAGTATTACGGATAAATGAAGTTTATTGTTTTTTAAAAAGATATTATTGTATTGCATTGTGTGAAACAAAACCGTGTGTATAACAGCACGCCTGAAAAGTATTTTGTTTGAACTTTTAACAGATATGAAGTGCCTTGTGATATTTAACCATTTATGACGTTGTGTTTTTTGGCAGTGTCTTCCTTGGAAGGACACCCGCCTATGTTATCTCCGATCTTGAAGTTCTGAAACAGGTTATGGTCAAGAGTTTTGACAATTTCAGAAACCGGACGGTAAGCAATGTGTTTTATTTAGTTATAAAGGAGGCCCCTGAAAACAATAATATCGGCTTTGTGTGCTTTTAATCTGATTAATTATAGCAATAGTCACGTGGTGGGTGATGTTCATAGCAACTGCTATTAAAACAACCCAAATCTGGATCTTAGGTTCGGAGAAAAGGTTTTGTAACACACAAATGAAAGAAAGGTTCACCTTTAATTATTTTTACTGTTTCTGTCTGTTTACCTCTTCTGTTTTCGTGGCGGCGGGGTAGCCTAGTGATTGATGGAATATTGCTAAAAGCAGCGTAAACCCAACTCACTCACTATATTGAAAAGATACAAACTCGATATTTCATAACTGATGCTGTGATATCACAATATACGATGACATTCCCTGTAACCTGGGGGGTTATCATTTTCTTTGTGGCAGTAAGGAAACATTTATTCACTTTAAAAAATGACAAGACTTCATTACATCATTATTTCCATTGTAAATGTTGGTGGGGTAGTGGTTAAAGCATTCGCTCGCACACCAAAGGCCCCGCTGTGATATTGCTGGAATATTGCTAATAGCGGCGTAAAACTAAACTCACTCACATTTCTGTTTTCAGGCATTGAAATTTCCCTTTCCCTTTAATTTATCATTGATAAACTTGGAAGACGCAGCGTGGAAGAGAGTGAGAAATACCATCAGTCCTACCTTCACTGGTGTCAAACTGAAGCAGGCAAGTGATTCTATTCGTCTTTATATCCCTATGGGTGAATGAATATGCGTTGAGTAGAATGAATATCAATTACAACTTGACGTATTCCATCCGTCTTTATGCTGCAAAAAATAAATACGCTTTGAGTAGGATGAAGACCAGAACATACCATTGTTGAAAAAAAGACCTGAACTTATAAGTAAAAAATTCCACACCGTGTACAATAAAAACTGTGGCCTATGAACTTGAGATGTCAAGAGGTTTGACGTCGAATTCAGTGTATGTAGAAAGGTGCATGCACGTCTCTGTGTCTGACTTCTTCCACGGGGCTGGTGTACGTTTTAGAGATAAGTAGTATCACAATGTTTGACTCTATAAGTATTGTAGAAAATATGGTTTTTCTCTTCTCTGTATTTAGATGTGTGGATCTATCAACGATTGTGGAAGGACTCTTACAACAAACTTCTCAAAGGTCATGGGGGAAAACCGTGGAATCAATGTAAAAGAGTGAGTGCATTGTTTGTTGTTTGAAGGTATATATATATATATATATATATTATTTTATTTTATTTATTTATTTATTTTAAATCTTTTTATTTGTTCCCATAATATTGAGTACAAGCATATAAAGTAAAGCAATAAATGCATAAATACATGATCAAAGTTCATTGGGTTCAACAAAAATGTTAGGTCAACTGATAGCATAGAGAGAATATACTCCAGTAAAATTATTCCCCTTTGATTAAAGATTACGTCAGAAATTAAATATTGAGAATAAAGGAAACCATTTGTCTGAAAATTTATCAGATTTATTGTTCCTTCTGGATATGAAATTTTCAACCGTATAAATGTCTTTCAAAATTTTTGAAATATTATTAACTTTTGGAATCATTTTCCTCAAAGTGCAAGTATATATATATTTTTAGCAGATAAGAATATATGATTTAGTAATGGCTTATTACCCAAAATTCCAAACCAAAGCAAGGTCTTTGTTATTTCAAATTTCTGTATATTTTGGGTTATCCAGTTTTCAAGTTCCTTCCAGAAGGTTTGGGTTACAATACATTCCCAATATACATGACATAAAGTTTCACTATCAACATTACAAAGGCTACATACTGCATTGTCAACCAGTTTCATTTTCATAAGTTCTTTTTTTGTATAAATAATTCTGTGCAAAAATTTAAATTGAAAGTCTAAAAGTTTTATATCTTTCACATTCCTTCTGCAAATATTAAAAATCATACGCCAATCAAAATCAATATCGTAAAATAAGTTTTCCCATTTGAGGCAAATGTGAGGTTTAATATTGTCAGATAAGAGTTTATCATAAAATAATCTTGAACCTTTTCTCAAATCCATAAAATCTTTATGAAGAAAGTTATCATCCAGATCATTGTTATGTATATTTCTGTATTGTTTTATGGTCAATTTCCATGATTCAGGTATGATATAGAAAACATATCGAAGATCCATATATGTACCTCTAAAATCAAATTTGAGCTTCAGATCTTCAAGAGACATAAAACCATCTTCATTACAAAGGTCCTTAATTGTTAAAATTCCATTTTTAGCCCAATGCTTGATAAAGTGATTTGGGTTTTTGAAATTATCATTCAGCCATAAAGGTTGTGCTAAAATTCCTTTAATGTTGTCTGCTTCTATGGTATTCTTATTACAGTATAATTTCCATGCCAATAATACATTTTTCCAAAAAGGATTATCAATTTCAACAATATTCTGAAAATTTGCTCCATATTTTAGTATATCATTTAATGGAAAATTGCATGGATTACTCATATTTGTTTTTCTAAAATAGAGTCTGAGTGAGAATAATTTCATGGCATGAACAAAGGTTTTAATATCTATCATGCGTAAACCCCCTTCTGTATAATCCTTTCTCAAAGTGCTCCGTTTAATTTTATCATTTTTGTCGTTCCAAATGAATCTGAAAAATAGTCTCTCAAGGCAAGTGATAAATTCATCAGGTGGATTAGGTAAAGAATTGAAAATGTGAACCAGTTTTGAAAGAGCCAATGTTTTAATTACAGTGATTTTGCAAATCAGTGTGAGATGTATTTTTCTCCATGTTGCCATTAATCTATTAATTTCTTCAAGTCGTTTTCTTGTGTTGATTACCCATAAGTCATTCAAATCAGGTGTGAATTTAATACCCAAAACTTCAAATTCCTTTCTTTGCCATTCTATATTCAAATCTTCACAAATCATATCTCTGCTACCTGCATTTGAGCCTATCCAGATTGCTTTAGTCTTATCGATATTTATCCTTAACTCTGACATATTGTAAAAAGTATTAATGGTATCAATAGCAGCATACAAACTTTCATCTGAACCATCCAAAAATAATTCAGTATCATCAGCATATTGTCCTAATTTATATTTCTGAACATCAATTACAATACTCTTTATATCATCATTTTGCCTTATCATACATCCAAGGATTTCAGCTACAAAAAGAAACAAATATGGCGATATTGGGTCACCTTGCCTGCAACCCCGCTCATTAGGGAAGAAATCGGAGAGATGTCCATTCTTAATAACACATGATGTTGTATCATAAGTTAATAAATTAATCTAGCGTATAATCTGTGGCCCAAAACCAAATTTTAGTAAAACAGAGATGATAAAATCTTTAGAAACTGTGTCAAAAGCTTTTTCGAAAACAATTAAAATCAGCAGACCAGGAATATCTCTTTTCTTTGTTTCAAATATAAGATCATATAATAACCTTGTATTTTCACTAAGAGTTCTACCCGGTATGAATCCAGTCTGGTTATTATGTATCAAAGAGTCTAAGGTGATTTTTAACCGTTTAGAGATACATGCACTAATTATTTTATACAAAGCATTTAATAAAGTAATTGTTCTCCAGTTCTTTAATAAGGCCATATCTTTATTAGCTTTAGGTATACGAGTGATAACTCCTCTCTTCATGGTAAGAGACATCTTATTTCTTCTTGAAACATCATTGATAAATCTGACAATCCAAATTTTGAGTTCTTTCCAAAAATCTATAGGAAATTCATCAGTTCCAGGGCTTTTGTTATTCTTCATACTTTTTACTGCAAATGATATTTCATTCATATCTATTTCTTTTTCCAAATTGTCTCTAAATTGGTCACTCAAGATTGGAATTATTACATTGTCTAAGTGGTCATCGTTTTTATAATTCTTGTCTGAAGAATGAAGTTTTTTATAAAATTCTTTCAGTTCATTTAATATTGATTTACTGTCAGTAATTTCCTCATTCTTATCTGTAATAACTCTATTTATTGCTTTGCTGACATAATTTCTATTTTCTAAATGGCAGAAGTATTTTGTTGCTGTTTCTCCTTCTTCATACCATAAGATTCTGTTTCTAGGTTGAATTCCTCTTATCTCTTCTTCTTTAATTTGTTGTAGTTCCAATTTTAATTTTGTAAGGTCAGATAGTAGGGATTCATTAATATTTTGGAAATCTTTTCTAATATCATCTTCACAGTCTTTGATTATAATTTCCAATTCACTGGTCTTATTTATTGTTTTCTTTTTGAGGAAAGATGAAAAAGAGATTGATTTTCCTCTTACTTTCATCAGAAAAGTTTCCAAGAATGAGCTTTCATCAATCTTCAATTTAATATCCGAATCATCAACATTTTCACCATTATGTTCAGTATCTAAATATTCTTCAGTTGTATCCCTCAAGATTGATCTTACTAAATCAGCATATTCAGGATGTAAGAGTAAGGAAGTGTTAAATTTCCAATAACCCCTCCCTCTTTCTTGGTTGATAGTGTTTGAAAAAGTAAAGCTACTGGCTGAATGATCTGTTTTATAACCAGGTATGATATCAGTCAAATATTAAAGGTATATATAAGGTATATTTTGTTTCTTTATAATTTAATGTGGAGAGGTATATCATACAATTCCCAAAGATTAATCCTTGTGCGAAAAAGGGGTTCACGAACCTAGAGATAAAATTGAAAAGAAAATCCGTGGAACACACCCAGAGATTACACCCCCATGTATTGTTTTATTATTATTGCTGGATTATTGCTGAGAGCAACAAACGGATAGGTCAAACTGTGTAAATAATCAACTCCGGGAGAGACAATCCAGTAACTACGAGAACAGAATATGACAAATCTTCAGAATGACAAACCAGACATGGGAAAACATAAACTTTAACTTCTAGTATAAAACTATTGAAATTTTGTTAAGGATCAGTACTTTCAAATGGTCTTCTTCACATTCTGTGCATCCTTTGAAATGGTGAGTGCGTCATTGAGTTAACATTGCTTTAAGACGCATCAGCATTGTTGCAGCTATTTGAAACATCCACGTTAAGTCGTGTTCTACTGTCTCAGTGACTGACTGACTGAGTTTGGCTTTACGCCGCTTTAAGCAATATTCCAGCAACTTCACGGCGGGGGGCACAAGATATGGGCTTCACACGGTGTGCCCATGTGGGGATTCGAACCCGGGTCTTCGGCGTGACGAGCCAAAGCTTTAACCACTAGACTACCCCACCGCCCCGTTCAACTGTATCACACCACTGCAGCAAACAGTATGAAACTAATCAGTCGGAACATCCGTTTAAACAAATCCTTGTGATAGGAACCCCACATACCCAATCCAGGCAGAAGTGCATACACATCATGCTGTCGACTGTCGTGCAATGATGTGATAATGATGTGCAACGACTCCCTCAATGTGTCCTATCACATATTTGCAAGGACCTTGTGTACATTGCGTTATGACTGCAAACCTCTGAAGGTTCATCAGGGCAGTGAGGTCCTTTGGGATTTATCAAACCAGGGTATTTTAATCATTAACTGTTGGAAGGTTGTTTTATTTCATCGAAACTTTGCAGCATATACTTTCAGTAGTATAATTAGAAATGTTTTTTCAGCTACTTTGGAGCTTTCTCTATGGATGTGATTTGCCAAACTGCCTTTGGGATTAAGGTTGATTCACAAACTGATTTCAACCACCCGTTTGTCGTTAATGCTAAGAGGTTATTCCAACCAACAAAACTAGCACAGGCTTTCTCGGTAGTGTCAGGTAAGTGAAAAGGAAACTGACCTAAAATACCAGTTAAAGTAACTTTATCTCCATGCTAAAACCCCTGTAACAGTAATAAACACTGTTTTTCTCTCTACTGTTTGTAAGTAGCTTTTCACAATATCACGGCGGGAACGCCAGAAATGGGCATCACGGTATACCTGGGCATTATATTTAAAGGTTCAAATGGAGGTTTATTTCTGTTTAAAGGTGCAGTTCCACCACTTGAACCGATCATCGCTAAGCTCGGCTTGGGAGTCTTTCCACGGGACACCATAGACTTCTTTGAGACGATCACCAGTGAACTGATGAAACAGCGAGGAAATGATAAAACACACCACCAACAGGTATGATGAGAGAGAGAGAGAGAGAGAGAGAGAGAGACTCACCTATCATTTAACCATACAACATGTAAAATTGTATAGTTTGTGTTTCGTGCGACGGCACTAACAAACATGTTTTCTATATTTATAGGGAACAGACTTCCTGAAACTGATGATGGATGCTTCAATCGAGGGAAAAGATGACAACGCTAATGATCAAACGGTCAAACATTCAGTCAGGCGTAAGTAGGCACTTTATGTCATGGTTTTCGCCCTGGAAGGTATGGGTTTCGCACTGGGGTGCGTCACCTAAAAAGGTTTGGGGAACATTTCATTCCAGTGGTTGAGGTTGACTCAATTTCTTGTCGTCCCGGGACAGATTACCACTATACAGTATTGGACAGGGAATGGGACTCCATTGCTTCTGCCATTCATTCTTCTGTCATTTTAAAACGACAAAGATACCTTCTGACGTCATCGCATTATTACTAATAAAAATATGCTGCCATCTACTTTTCATCGTTTCTATGGTTACCTCGATAGCGTCAGCATGACACGCATCTATTTTTCGTAACTATGCACACACTTCCATTGTGCAATGAGAGATGTATGATATTCATACAACGTAGGTGATGTGGCAGATGTTCATTAGACTTGTATGAAGTTCACATTTTGTTCTCTGTGCACAAAAATACAATGTTGAAAAGGAATGACATAAGTTTCAACTTACAGATCTATCGAGGGATGAAGTAATTGCTCAGTCCATAACGTTTTTTATCGCTGGTTACGAAACTACAGCGTCCACCCTTACCTTCATATCTCACTGCCTGGCCATGAACCCGGATGTACAAGAGAAGGCCTACAATGAAATCAAAGAAATGTTGGGAAATGTCAGTATCAATATGTACAAGTTGCCTTTGAGTTAAAGGTGTACAGTCATTTTCTATCTGTTGTTTTCAGTCTCGTTTATGGAGTTTGTTGGTCTTTGTAGTAGTTTCGATAATTTATTGATCAACTGTTTCATTGACTGACATTATGAAATATGAAGACACATTACTATTACAACTCAAACGTTATAATTACTCATCCATATACTGGATATTAACAGTCTGTGTTTGTTTGTTAGGAAGAACCAACCTATGAGAACATTGGGAAACTGAAGTATTTGGACAACGTGATCTCAGAGACGCTCAGACTCTACCCGCCAGGCTATTTGTAAGTGACAAATGTTTTACAATAGGAGTGTTAAGACAAGTTACATTACTGTCCAGTATTGTGCATCACGTTTATAGCATAAGGCCACTACAGTTTAGGGCGACCAGTTACAAGGTTAGGATTCCTGGTTAGAATGGTTCCCAGCAATCGTTGCTGGTCGTTAGAGATGACAATGATGATCGTATGGACAGGCATGATCTTTGATCACAATAGTCAATATTTCCTTGCCTGTTCCAGGATCGATTATATACATATAGCTGGAATGTTGATTAGTGAACTACACATATTTAACTGACTTTGTAAACAGAGTCAGCCATGATTAGTGTGAGTCTGTTTCGTCACACTGTAGTATACTAGTCTGAATACTATTCAAAATGGCGTTAAACCCAACTCATTCACTGACATAACATGATTAATAGCTACCAACTGTAATGAACAGTACGATCTTGAACATTACTGATTGTATGATAATGCCCCGTAAATACATTTGCTAAAAAACTCATAAAATATCATCTTGAGGGTCAATGGACATTTTACAACATGCTCCAAGCTGATCCAGACTTCTTTTTTAGGATCACCCGGTCTGTTTCTGAGACCATTGAGATCAAGGGCCTAACTTTCTCTAAGGGTCAAACTGTCTTCATTCCTGTGATGGCTATACACAGAAATCCTGAGCTCTACGAAGATCCTGATTCCTTCAAGCCAGAAAGGTATGGGGCTGACATTGGTAGTTGGTGATTTTAAAACATGCAAAACAAACAGTTCCCGAAAATATTGGTGAAAAAATATACGGCGTCAGTCGTAGGGGTGGGTATTGCAGAGAATTTTCATATTGCGATATATTGCGATGCGGAAGCATATATTGCGATTAGTCTCTCGTACAGACCCTGAAGCAAATATATCCAAGAAAGCCCACGCAAGTCTAGAAAATGTGGCAAGTCTAGATTTTCTCAATGAAGAAAGTCTCAGGGCTCCTTTTCATTATATTTTATTTTTTTTTACTATGAACTTTTTTCAGTAAAATATTTTCATTTCAGAGACTAGTTGTTAGTCTAATATTGCGATATGCATTGCAATATATTGCAAGGATTATATTTTTAACAAAAACTAATTATAATCGAGTTAATGCTTGATTATAAGCAAAAACACAACAAAATCACTATGATTGATTAACCGTTTATAAAAAACTTTTAATCATGACAAAATAAAAATGTAATTAACATTTGGCACTAAGGAAACAGGGAAAAGAACAATTAAAAATACGGAAATATCCGAAGATTTCCGAGTGTTACGAAGTTTTCCGAATGCATGTCAAAATACCGGTTTTCGATCAGCGTATCGCAATACGTATCGTTTTCATGTCTGAACCGGTAAATACCGGTAAACCGGTTATATTGCGCAGCCCTAGTCAGTCGTATCTGAATCCGTTGCGCAGAGTTGGGTCGCTGAGCATGTTAGAGACCTATGATGGTAGGTTCAAATTTCGATCTGGAGGAGTTTCCGACATTCGTCAGCGCCATATAGCCATACTCGTGGGATTCACAACTTATATCATAGCAAACGTCTAAAACCTGCATCCCTTGGAGCTTTCCTCCAGCATAAAGTTGGTACTCTCTGAGGAAACTGAAATACCTTTCAAAGCGGCGTTATACACCAAAGGAGAGTAACAAACACACACACACACACACACACACACACACACACACACACACACACACACACACACACATACACACACACAGAGTGAGAGAGAGAGAGGTGCACAAGTCTTGTTCATGTTCACTTTGCACAGGATCCTACATATTTTGATACGACTACTTTTGAGTATTTGTTATCTGCGCTTTAATATCGTACATGTGTTCTTAGCGTTGACTTAAATGTTATATTTGAGTAACTGCAGGAATCTGTACTTCAGGTTTGAAGATCAAGACAAAACTATGGCCTTCCAAGCTTTCGGGTATGGACCAAGGATCTGTATTGGGATGCGGCTAGCCCTGACTGAAGTTAAAGTAGCCTTGATCAATGTTCTGAGGGCAGTGAAGTTTGAACGCGTGCCCGATACACCGGTAAGATTCCTCCATTAACATGTTTCACAAGCACATATTTTATCATCTTTTTATTATCCAACACGTGTGAAGAACAATAAAAAAATGACTTGTGTAAAAAATGAAACAGATTTTTACACAGACCACATTATCATACAACGTCTTGGTTATCAAGCAAACGTCCGGATTTTCATGCGTCTGGGCTCTCGTGCAAAGTTCATGCTACGTTAGAGTTATGATCCAAACTACTGTTCTTCATGCAAGCGTACAGCGCCCCTTCAGTTTAACATAGTACATTGGCCAGTTTACCATACAGATTACGTCTTTGAAAGCATGCAAACCCACATTGGTTTTGACAGCACAAACTTGAACACATTCTGTGAACTGAATAATTAGAAAAAGCCCCAAACAAACTCAGTTCTCTTTTGGTTAGAAAAGAAATTTTGATTCCCAGCTTTCTAGCGAAATGCTGAAACGAAACGACTTTGTAATGGAAAAAAGGTTAGTTAGTTTCTGAAGGTAGTTCATAGATAATTGCTTTCCCGTTTAGGTCATTGACAAAAACTATGACCTCCCATTCATGTTACAACTGCATATGTCTTGGTTTGTTCACAGGAAGTACTGACGTTTGGTCCGAACCCAAACGTTCTTCAAACAGACATTGACATCATACTGAAAGTGTCTCCAAGATGTTGAAAACAGCAAAAATGCAACGACAGTTCCCAGGATGTATCTGAGACTATGATACAAATTGTGTACATATTACGACCACCAAACCAATGAATATATACGCTGTACCACTTTACGTCAGTGGTCATTGATATTGAATCTTTTCATTCTTGAACTTTGATTGTTTTGTAATACGTCACGCCGAAGACCCGGATTCGATTCCCCACATGGGTACAATGTATGAAGTCCATTTCTGATGTTACCCGTCGCGATATTGCTTGAATATTGTTATAAGGGGCGTAAAACTAAATTGATTCATTCACTACTAGCGGGAAACGGGAAACATATTCAAGGAGAATGTTGGGACTCTCGACTTCAGAGTTTAGATGACTTTTCTTCCATTGACCCGGAATCAGTTAATGCCCGCATTCAAGTGTATACATTTCAGATACTCTCCTGCTTCCGTGACATACGGAAATGTCTACATCTCATTATAACTACTGAATACATTTTACCATTAGTTACTGTAATAATACATAGTAAAGACGATATTTAAACACAAGAGGGTGTTTAACACAAAAAGAGAACAAGGAATTTTAAATATTCATTTGTCTGTCAGGCAAAATCACGTATAATCACGACACTACCGCTGTCATAGAACATATATTGTACATGGTTAATATCTTAATGTTTGCGCTGTGTGTATTCATACCAATACGCCGAACATATTCTATCAGCTTTTCAATGTTCAATTGTATACTGTATCAAATCAAGATGTCAACATAACCATGGGTCTACCGCCGACATGTAACGTATATTGTAGATCTATAATTGTATTTTAATGTTTGTGCTGCGTATATTCATGTAAATGCATTGAACATATTCTAACTGCTTACACATTCAGTTGCACATTTGGTGTAGTATCTGTAGCTGGAAAGTCAAGCACGAAAATATAGTGGTAATGCTTGTAATTCAGATGAACATGTATTCATACAGAATTCTCACGAATGAGTCTAATTTGCTTTCTTTACGTACTTTTAAAAGCTCTTAATGCTGCATGTTTGGTGTTCTTTATTTGCCTGTATTCATTTACACTGAATAAACTCAATAGAATGCTTTTCTGTTCATGATCCAAAGAAGTGTTTTCGTAGTACCACCACTACATTGCTTGCTGGAGAAAAACGGTCCTATTCAACCGTGATACAGGGGGCAACGCAACAAAACGTGACAGCACGTAATAGGCCGTAAGAACACTTGTAGACGGTCGGTACCAGCATCTCACGGTAATTTCAAGTTTTATCACGTTCGGCCACGTTTAGCCTTGCTGCCCGTTTTGTCCTGGTTCTCACGGAAAGCTATAGGTTGTATGGTAGCCGATTCGTCCCGTTCTATCACGACACATCCAAGCGTGTGACGGTTTACAGGGCCGGTGCTCTCTGGCATTCCCTATCTGCAGCTGAGGCTGGCCTTCGTGCTGAAGCAAGGACTCGATGTATCCCCAAGCAAACGTACAAACACAAAATCTTCTTATCTTGGGGGTTCTTGCTGCTCTTGTCTCGCGGATACAATGGCTGCTATTGCTTGGGAGGACTTATTTGTGGGCACAGACAAAGCTGACCGGCATCCACGTTTCATCCGTAGAAAGTCCTGACAGAACGCGCAAAACGTGTCAAAACCTTGATCAAAACGTGAGGGAACCCACCAGAACGCGACATGCCCGGAGGAAACGTAATGGCATTCGTAATGGACTGCGGGCCGAGCCGTAGTGCGCCTTTGAGCTTCCGGGACTCAGCTGCCCGTTTATCTCAACGGACCGTCACGGATGCCGTGATAGACCGTCAGAAAACCTAGCAGGACCGAAGAAAACTTGACTTTGGAGGAACAAAATCGTCAAAATCCCACCTCGCACTACGTTTCGGGCAAACGGGTTTGTCGTGGCCGCCGGGAACACAGTGTAACCGTAGCATAAAGGAATACTGACCAAAGGGACGTTAGACGTTAGACACTCGCATGGAATGAGTTATAGCAAAGGTCTGTTATTAACACATTTAGAACACCTTGGTGGCCTGATAATAAATATCATACTACTCACACTTTGCTAAGGATCACAAACATTCATTCACAACTTAAGATAAACGGAGATTCATAATTTGAAATTGTATCCATTTAGAACTGGATAAATAATAATATGGCAACTCCTCTCTAGGCAAACACTCACTTTAATGTAACCTTATGCACTTGATACATGAGTAACCACAAAAATGGTTTTCATTGCACCAATCAACCATTTTGCAAATCATGGTACGAGTCACTGACAAGTACACAACACCTGTCAATAGCAGGTGTAGGCTCCACAAGATGAAATGACAATGAAACCTAGGATCCATGCTTTCAATGAGCTTAGATAACTATTTAAGTCCAATTTGACCCCACATCATAGTTTTCTGTTGAATGCATGATTTGATCCTTAGCAAAGTGTGAATAGTATACAACTTTATCGTCTGCGTTGCAATGGTCTCAATCCAAATTATCACCTCGAGCCCGACACGAAAAACTGCAAATGTCATGCAGCAAAAAGTGTACAAGGCCGCAAGTGCGTAAACAAAGCCTGGTTTCAGACCCACTCGAGGAGTGACTGAGCAGTTTTCCAGTTACATTTAACTGCTCTGTTTGTATTGAACACTGGCCTGGTTTATGTTGCACAGCTGAATGGCTGTGTTTTTTGTGTTTGACGAATTAAGAAAATATGTGCATGTCTGCATGATTAAAATCAGTGTATGAAATAAGCCTAAAACTCTAGCCAAACACCAGGGCTTGTAAGTTTAAAATGTTACCAGCCCAAAATGGATTTAAACAGTGCAAAATATGGTGAATTTACTCAGGTGTATTGAACATCTAAAATTTGTACCAGACCATCGGGCTGGCTAGCTGTAAATTTAGACCGTCCGTCAGAAATCTAGCCCGTCTCGGGCAGTCGGACAGGCCTTATTTCATACACTGTTAAAATATAACATTAATTGAGAGGTCTTTGGTGTAATTATTATTCGTAAGTGTCTGATGGTTCACTGGGTTCACAAAAGCTGTTATGTTCTCACAATCCTGAAATTACCGCTACTGTGTACACCTTTACCGCAAATGGCGGGCGGTATTAAGTGTTCCTCTGCACAAGATTGCTCTTTTTACCTATCATTATGTTGATACCGGTACCCAAGTCTGGAGTTTGTGCTTTGGGACACGTGGAATAATGGCATTCTTTCGCAGCTGAAGGGTTGCAAACAAGCGTTTGTTGACCGTGGTTCTAACATTGTGTCACTGTCCAGTATTGGTATCCCCCCTATGGATACAATATGTGAAGGCCATATCATGTATTCCCCGTTGTGGTAATCGTGTACTAATAGTGCAAAACGCAGCGTGCGAACCATATTCGAACTCACAGTGCCACTTAAAAGTATTGCTGCTACCATATGACATCAAATGTATTTAGGGTCAGACTACAGGTCCATGAAGAAATAAATGTATATCTTTCCCAGTTGTTTCTTAAAAAATTGACAGAAAAATAGCACCAATTCTTCTCTAAGGTTCCGAAATATGGGGAGTTAAGTATAATGATTCCATAAAACAAATTCACGCTTTGTCGCTTTTTTCAACATTTCTCAGGTGTTGGTAAATATGCCTCTAACAATTAGGAGAAACTGGTCGCACCAGTCTCTTTGTTTCATCACAGTTAAGGGCTGTCAAATATTGCATAAAGCTACTTCGTGTGAATTAAAATAGATTTACCGTTCAATGTTAGACGATGTCAAAAAGATTGGATGATAATGGGAAAGTTTCTTGTCTGATCTAAGAAATATACTTTTTATGTCTCTCTTTTTCCCATGCATGCATATCTCAAGATGCTGGAAATGAGGAGTTATTAACCTTTATCCTTAAGCAAAGATTAAATGACATATTTTCTCAAAACTGGCACTGTCAAATATCATCCTGTGTCATTATACAAATATAAAATCATTACTTGTTCCTGAAAAATATTTATCTGAACTATAGGATAGAACTTTAAGGAAAGCATTCTGTAAATAACGAATATCACTACACAATTTTAATGTTAAAAATCTTAGAAATACGTACGTGATAAAAATAATAGTTTATGTCACTTTTTGTAATGAAGGCTTTGTCGAGGATGAGTTTCATGTACTTTTCCTTTGTTGACATTATCAGTTTCTCAGAAACAGATACCTCGCCCTATGATCTCAAATGTGTACAAAGATGAACAACACATGAAAAACAGACTAAACTCAAGAAATATTAATATAATATTATTTGTTGAAATATTCCTAAAAAAAAAGATTTTGAAATTAGACGTTAATATACGTTAATATATGTATGTATACTTATATTTCCACGTGACTGTGCAATGTAACTATATAACACCACCACAACTGTACTGTAGGTCATATGGCCTGAAATATCAAACTTCTGTCTGTCTGTCTGTCTGTCAAATGCAAGCTTCGCGTATCGTGTATGTGATAATGTCTTTCCCGCATATACATCTGTATGTCAATACTGTCTATGTATGCCTTTCTCGTGTTTGGTGGAGGATCGTCTAATAGCTGGAATATAAAGGACCATTGAATTCGTGACTTGAGGTATTTCTTGCTCCACACATATCACCTCAACACGGGCTAACAGTAGCTTAATCCTGCCTAACTGCAAATACATTGTACGATATGAACTTCTTCAGATGAACAGTTCAAAAGGCAATGTTTCAACTGACTGACTGAGTATGGTTTTACGCTGTTTTTAGCAATATTCCAGCAATATCACGGCGGGGGACACCAGAAATGGGGTTCACAAATTGTACTCATGTCGGCGTGACGAGTGAACGCTTTAACCACTAGGCTACCCCACCGCCCCGCAATGTTTCAATTTCAGCAACATGTAATATACACACTGCATGGGAAATATGAACGGAACTAATTCTTGAAAATATCCTAAGATTATTGTGATATACATGATTGTTCTGAACTTTCACTTTTATGTAGTGTTTTGTTTTAAACATATTAATTGAATGTGAAATGACACCCCATTTGTAATTTGACAACATTCACTTTCAAAGACAAAGCTGCGATATATAATCACTGCTAACCCATCTTCCGAAGGCAACAGTGTTTTACTAATATATACCAAAGGCGTTTTTGGGTAAACGGTTGCTTCGAAAGATGTCATCTAAGACCTCTTTCTTTACATCGAATAAACTATTTCGTAAAAATCTATCTTCCACCGAAGTCCTTAGAACGTTCGTAATATTCAAAATCGACTTTCGGCTGAACAAAACTGTTCATGAATGTATTATGAAGGAGGAATTCATAGAAAGGTGATGGGCTCACGGGTTCAAACCAATGCACTATTTAAGCCTCCAAACGTTATCTCCCTTTACCTTCGAAAAACGTCGAGAGGACACGCACGCATCCTTCTTTGTTGAAGCCATCTGATAAATATATTTGATCACTTCTAGTTTCTTCTACGCCTGTGGTCCGGTTCATGTAAGAGTGACGCTGATCTTTTGCGTTCACCACTTTTCTTAAAAACCCAAACGTGGGCACAGTGCCTGGAGACCAAGGCTCAGCCATCCAGTTGTTCGTGCTTTGTAAGGGATATCAGCGGGCGGACTGGTTGTTGCCTTTGTTATTGCTTTTTTTTTTAATCGTGTGAACCAGGATGATGACCCAGAATATTTGATTGGTTCGTGACCTCTGCTGCACCACGCATAAGGGCAATCGATATTATTAGGGCGTATCCTCATATTGATCAACAAAGATTAAATAAAGTTTCGTCTTGGAATTAATTGGGAAATAGCCATCTTTGTATTCCCTTAATATTTCAGATATTTTACAAACCGGCTTCAAACTTTGCCCATCTAGCTTATAATGATAGCCCGATGTACAGAGACCCGCCAGACCCAGAACGACATTGAAACGGACAAACCCGAAGTTCTTTCGAATTTCGATGCTTCTATAGTCTCCTAAATGAATATATTTTAGAGACAGCAGCACATTATAAAATTAAATCAATAAAATATGATGAAATGGAGACTATTCGCTATAAAAAAAATGCAGTAATCTAGGCTTGAAAATACCCTTGGCTTTATTGGATGCGTTTGTTTCAAGGTCAATATGACAGACTAAATCCCATCGTTCGAACCTCATCGAACCTTGAGTCTTGAAAGTTACATAAAATCGGTCTGTGGCCAGGATGAGTTGGGAAAACGAGCCTTGGAATATACATCTGATAACCTAATGATACAAAATCGCATTAACTGTAACATAAATTGTGGTCACTTTAGGCTGTCGAAACCACAGGCCCCCACTGCGGGTCAGAAAATCGCATGTTATATAGTAGGGGTGTGGATACTAAACCGGGGCCTAGTTTATCGATTTTCTGACCGGCAGTGGGGGCCTATGCCCACTGCATGTCAGAAAATTGACAGTAAACCGGGGCTTATACTATATAATAGTAAGGGGGCTGGATAGTAAACCGGGGCTTATAGTTGATCGATTTTCTGATCCGCAGTGGAGGCCTAGGGTGGAAACTTTAAAAAAAATATGGAATTTGGGTTTTTGTTTTGTTTTTGTTTATTTATTTATTTATTTTTGTTGTTGAACATCGATCTGAGCAATATGAGAACCATATGACAATAGTCTGTAAAAGAAGTCAGGAACATAATCCAATGACAAACATCATGATGTCTTCATATTGGAGTGGAGATGATGCAGGCCTTGATGTCACATAGTAACACGCAGTGGAACATGGTAGTGTTTCTTGTTTATGGCTTACACTGTCATATTCTATCGATACAATCGCAACCATTAATTTACAGTTCAAGAATCTCAAGCATGGCAAATCGGGACTCGAACCCACAATGCTGAATTCTGGATTGCAGTGACAAAGACGACTTGGTCATCGGTATCTTCAAATGATTATTACTTGACTCTGCACTAACAAATAGACACTGAAATGAAATACAAAGAACAAAAGAGATGAAGAAAAACAACAACTTGGCCATGTGTTTGAACAGGTTTACTGAATGTCCAAATATACATCGTTCACACATGTGCGGTGTCACGTGAAGTACACAAAGCAGCTGACGAGGGTGGAGTGAAAATTCTATATACAGTGCTTCTAATGACAACTTATTATACAGTGAGTAAGGCCACACGTGTGAAATAACTGCCATGTAAGGAATCAACACAGGAATGTTGCAAGGAATTTGCATAACAACACTTATCACAACAACGCCACTGACACTTGCGAGAATAGGCCTTCAGTGGCCATCTTTATACAGGACGGAAATGAAGGGCCAATCAACTGACGTCATTTTTCACTGAACGTCCAATCATTGGATTTGGGACGGATTGGTTTGATACAGTTCATCTGGGACGGATAGACATAGGCTAAGGGCGTTCGCCTTGCTGTTACAAGGGAAATTGGATCGGTTTCGATAAGGTCACAAAATGTTGAAAAGAATTAAAAAGGCACTACATCACTGTCCCTAAATCTACAACAGTATTTTGACACCAACACAAACTGACAACACTGTTATCTGTCCACTCCATTTCCATACATTCTGGAACATATTTCCATATTTAGGAATTCAGTACTTAGCATTGTGTAATGTATTATTGCTCTTGGAGTGAGGTTTTTCAAGAAAATAATGAATGGTTTTGCTTAACTGAAACTGTGATCATACCATAAGCTTCCTGAAGAAATGTCAACTCACACCACTCATGGTACATTAGCCCTGTGTGCCGTTGTACAGAGCGATCTTAGTGCTAAACTCCCATACCTTAACATAGACTTAAGGTAATCTTAGCACTAAGGTTGTTTTGGCGGTATCCAGGTCACATGGCAAGCTTTCATCTACTCCCTGTGTTGATGGCATAAATAATACAAACTGACCGTGAAAAGAGCCTAAGTGACCCAAGTAATATTTAATTATTACCGAAAGAAATATGTTTTCCTTTGATGTTGTGATTATATATATGTCGAAAAGGGACAAAATTCCTTAGACATTCTAAATTTGTTTTATTACGAACATTTTACTTCAAAAACGGGTTACATAACACATCATGATGCGTGTTTCATAACGCCTTTCTGTAATTTGATTGGCTGAGGCTGAAATCATAAAGCTTGACCTTGAGAGGACTAGTTTCATTCACACAAGTTTTTCTTTAAAATTACCTTCATTTATTGCTTCCCAATACAAGATTACTTTACTTGAGAATTATTTGCCGTTCTGTTATTGCTGAAATATATACTTGTTAATTAATAAAAGTGCAAAACGGACCGATATATCCCAAACTCTTTACATACAGTACGGGAAACAAACTTAATCAATGCGGACATATTCCTTCTGATTTCAAAAACTATATTCAACATAAGACTGAGGTGTTGATTTCCAAAGCTTGAGTGATATGTGATGAAATGCATGTGGACCAATAACACAGGATAAATGTGTAAGCTTTGTATATGCAATATAACACACACACACGTTCATTTCATATGTACATATATATATTTACAATTGTAAGTAATATTGGGCCAACAGGTCTTATATCTGACAAGGCAGATAAAAATATAATTTGCAAAATAACATCTTTTATACATTTGCTTTTCTCTGACAATATAATTGAAATTGAAATATTAGATAATTAGGAATCAATTTTCATGCCAGTGTAAAGTAAGTCACCTTGATTGATAATTTTATTAGTTTAATTTTTGAAAAAATTGAGACAAAATTATTGAAAGATTTGTTTTCAATTATTTGTAAAACGGTATCTGATAAACATGAGATAACGAAACGGTTAATGTGAGAGTAGAAACTGCATGAAAGATCTTAAAGTGCACATAACAGGTTGAAATTCATAAAAAAGTGTTCTTGATTCATTTTGCAAAATGGTATAAATATAGATTACTAATGCACAACACAAGTACAACAGCTTGATTGTATGATACAAGGTGGAATGTATGCGAGGCATGTACTGAAGTAAATATATATTGATATATAGGTATGTACACATCAATCACATTCACATCGATATCACAGATAATACAAGAGATACGTCTCTCTTCATTCAATCAAAGGTAGCATCAGTAACAGCACTTAGGCAATATTGAATTTTAGATTAAAAAATATTACAGTCAAGTATATTTTTGCATATACAATAAATTTATTGTGATTTGAAACTAATAAAAGAATATCAATATTCATTCCAGAAATATAAAAAGTAATTATTCCAAATATACTTTAGTATAAAATAGAAGTTTTTGGAGGGAAAACATTAAAAAGAAGAATGATATTGATTATCGTATACCCTTTCATAATAGTTATGATTATGCATGATGGCAGGCAATAAAATATTTCTGTCTTGAAGAAACACAATTCATAACATAGGGAGGTACCATAGTAACTCTCGTGCAGAAATTCAGAAACAGCTAAGACTGAGTGTTTATTTAACAATGTCAAGCACAAATTTAAAAATCAGTTTTCAGATAAACAAGGCAAATCATTTAGCTCTGAGGATCGGATGATATTTCTCATTTCAGGCCATATTCTCAATACCTCCCCTAAAATAAGATTATTGTCATCATGTACAGATGAAAAATATTAACACTACTATTGCAGGTGCTCTGTCTGTGCTTATTGTAAAACATCTGTAAGCAATAAAGTTATCTTTTGTAAGTGTTTCACTAATAATGAAGGACCTATAAACAAAGATGTTCAGCCTAGACATGGATCTGTAAAAAAACACTGAAAAATATATTTCCAAATGAAACAATGATTTCCAAATAAATTATGAGTTTGAATTACAAAAGAGATTTTGAACATCACTTTATCATTTATTTCTTCTTTTTCCCTGCAGGACTTTTCTTTCCTTTAGCACTCTTCCTTCCTTTTGGAGATTTGGCTTCTTGCTCTGCCCTGGAGGCTGCTTCTTGAGCTGCCAACTCCTCAAGGCGCTTGCGTTCTGCTTCCAAGTACTTCTGTCGGAACACTTCCCGTGGAGCGTTCACTGCATCTCTTGCTGCATCAAGTGCCGCCTTTGGGAGGAAATAAAGAGGAGGGGAAGGGTGAGAGAAGAGGCAGATTGGGGTCGGGAGAGCTGGGAGGGGTACAGTCATGCAATATGGAGGAAAGGGGGAAGGGGCACAGTAATGAATGTTAGTCTCTATGGAATGTAATATTACAACTTAGTGACACCTTGGGAGAGGGTATTTGGAAAAGTAGTCCCATAAAACCAGTTGTAGAGTCTTCATGTATGTTTGTATTCAACTTCCACAAGGAACACATGTAAATTGATCATTTTGTTGATTTAATGACCCAGAAATACAAATCGTAATACAATGAATGAACTTAGCATAAATATTCACGGTAGTTGACATTCATATGCTGGGAATTAGACCCAGTATAAGTCGCACATGTGGTCTATGGATATTTTGGTAAAGGAAACATTATTTTAATGATATTTTATATTTTTAACACACACTGTTCAAACCACACAAGGTGAAGAAAAATCACAACAACTTTCCATGCACAGGTTCACTTTTGCATCCAACAGCCAAGTGGGGTGACACAAAACTAGGAATGACTAATGTGGACATGGATCAAATGTTCAGGTGGAACTAGTCTATGAACTCGAGCTCAGAATCATGAATCGACTGAACTGAACCACTGCCGAAATCACTAAGCAAGGCCTGCATGGCCAGACACTTTCTACGGTGGTTTTCTATAGCAATACGATACGCTTCCCTCGCACTATCCAAGGCAGCCTTTATAAAAACAATTCATCCACATCATTAAGAAGCCAGTACCTTTCTCCTGATAAGCAACATGTTATGGGGGCAAATGGTCAAACACAACAAAGTACAGATAGCCTTTAACTGACAAAAGACTTGCATTCTAATACAAGGGTAACAATACTTAATTCAAAGTTCACAATATACTACTCAGAATTTGGTGAGGCCCAAAGTAGTCATCTTTGATCAAATATTAAGTAGTACATAATCTAATGATTTATAAATAAATACGTGTCATGTATTCTGCAAGGAGACGGTAATTAAACATCCTCTTGACCATAAAACACAAAGATACCAATACATGAGACATGTGGTGCAGGTGTTATATCGTGCTGGTGATGATTTTCCTCAGTCCATACATTGTTTTATGCCATGAATGTTTACAAGTTTTCAGTTTACTTTACTTTTTAACATTTGAAATATTATTCCATTGTCCATCTCACCTGTAGCTCCTCGGCCTGATCAAGCTGCCGGATTTTTGTCAAGTTGCGACTTTGGCGATCTTCCTCTCTCCATTTCTCGACACATTCACGGAACTGCTTGTATTCCAAGATCTCCTTCTGTCTCTCTTCCAGACGTCGCTGCATCTCATTCTCATCCAAATACTGAGGACTGTCCGTCGTTTTCCTGGTAAAAAATAACTCTTGAATGACATTGTGTATTCATATCAAATAAAAAAAATGCCTGTAGTAATTCGATTAAAAAATTACAATTTCTGTTGGATTCTTTGCATCTTTGGTGTGTGGCAAGAGATGTGCTATAAAATGGAAGGTGTGTCATCAAGAAATACATCAACAAAAGACGATAATGCATTGGAATATGAATTGAAATCAGATTTATAAGGTTTAAAGTACTGCATCATCAAATGCTTACTTTATGAATGGGGTTAGATCTAGCGGCTGCAGGATTTCTTTCGGTGTGGGTGGGGGTGGTGGCTCCAGAGACAACTCCCCCTCCGGCTGGTCCAGGAAGGAGATGGGGGTTTCACGGGATGTGAGTGGGGCCTCCTCCCCTGGCTGACCCTCCTCTGTGGATGGGCTCTCCTCCTTGGCTTCATCCCCACCCTCTGGCTGTACTCGGATCATGTGGGTGCTGAGATACTTCAGGCGGGACTGCATGGCCTGGTAGTGGACAGGAACATGAGTGAGTGAGTGAGTTTTGTTTTAAGCCGCTTTTAGCAATATTCTAGCAATATCACAGCGGGAGACACCAGAAATGGGCTTCACACATTATACCCATGTAGGGAATCGAACCGGGTCTCTGGCGTGACGAGCGAACGCTTAAACCACTAGGCTACCCCACCGCTCCACAGCAACATGAGGTCAGCAATGGAAAGAGTGTGTGAGCGAGTTCAGCCCCATGCCGCTTTTAGCAATAGTCCAGCAATATCACGGCGGGGGACATCAGAAATGGGCTTCACACATTGTACCCATGTGGGTAATCAAACCCAGGTCTTTGGTGTGCGAGCGAATGCTTTAACCACTACCCCACCGACCTTTACAATGGAAATAATGATGTAATAAAGTCTTGTCATTTTTAAAGTGAATAAATGTTTCCTTACAGCCACAAATAAAATGATAACCCCCCAGCTTACAGGGAATGTCATCGTTTATTGTGATATCACAGCATCAGTTATGAAATATCGAGTTTAACCACTAGGCTACCCCACCGCTCCACAGAAAATCAGCAATGGAAAGAGTGTGTTGGGTTCAGCCCCATGCTTTTTAGCAATAGTCCAACAATAAAACCAGAAATGGGCTTCACACATTGTACCCATCTGGGGAATGGAACCCGGGCCTTCGGCGTGACGAGCAAATGCTTTAACCACCAGGCTACCCAACAGCCCCTCTTTTCATTTGAAGGCATGGGTTGCTGCAGACCAGTTGAGGCATAGCTTACAATGCAGAATGTTATTGAATTCTTGATACTGTGGGCTTATCTGACACAAGTATCTTGCAATATTACTTCAATATTGACACAAGGAATCATCATGGCAGTCAAAATAGCGGCAGCAGCGGCAGATGAAGACAGGCTCTTACCTTGACAGCTCTACCGGGCTCTGCATCTTCCCATGCCTTCTTCAACGCTCGGATCTCATCCGCCCTCTCTGTGTCCTTTCTTGTCTCTATGTCCTCCTGGAAATAAAGTCACACTATGAAACAGTCATCAGGTATGGATGAGGTAAAGTGGCTTTTAACATTGTGTTCTGGATCACTGCACTAATACAGCGGCAACATGGATGTGCGGTTGTGTAGCTGCATATGCTAGTTGTACTTATGTCAGTTGTTATAATGCCAGCTTACTCTGATTCCATGATGCATGGACAACACACTCTGGCACTATATATACTGACTCGGCAAACCTTTAAATGCAGAGCTATGGGTAAAAATAAGTACCAAATTTTAATGTCTATTGGTGTTATACAACCACCGGGATTGAATCGCGACCCGTTGTCTCTGCAGGCAGATGCTCTACCCACTAGGCTGCTAATGAGTGAGTGACTATTATTTTACACCACAATATTCCAGCAATATCACGGCAGGGGACACCAGAAATGGGCTTCACACATTATGCTCATGCAGGGAATCAAACCCGGGTCTTCAGTGTGACAAGAAGAGGCTTAAACCATCAGGCATACCGACGCCCCAAACCACTAATGGTTCTCCTGGAAACATGATCATGCCCACTGAAACAGTCATCAGGGCAGAGTGATCTTCCTGGCCCTATGATACTCAGAGAAATGTCAGTATGTACACATGAAGCTACACCATGCATGTTGATTCTCTCAGTTCCACTCAGCTAAACATTAACAGATAGTTCCTGCAAGATAAGACAGCTCCAGCAAGGCAGACATATGTTTACATCTGTTTATACATGTCCACATGCACCAGAGAAGTTCCAGGTTAGAATTGGTTGTCAGTAACCCCTGCATTTCCAAAGAGGCGACTGACGGGATTGGCAGTCAGACTCGCTGACTTGGCTGGTACATGTCGTGCAGATCTGTGCAGATCGATGCTCATGATATCAAGCACTGGATAGTCTGCTCCAGATTCTATATTTTACAGACTGACTGACTGACTGAGTTTGGTTTTATGCCGCTTTTAGCAATATTCCAGCAACATCACGGCGGGCAACACCAGAAAATGGGCTTCACACATAGTACCCATGTGGGGATTTGAACCCGGGTCTTCGGCATGACGAACCAACGCTTTAACCACTAGGCTACCCCACCGCCCCTTTTTACAGACCGAGATAATACAGCTGGAACACTATGGAGTGTGGAGTTAAACAACAACTACACAAAACAAACAAACAAACATGTGTTCATGCTTACAGCTGCGCTGGCATCACTGACAATCCTGAATGTCCAGAACGGCTTGGTCATGTCGAACTGCTGTGACGGAGGTCGTGACCCCTTGTTGTCCTTGTCCTTCTCCTTGCTGCCCTTGTCAGCCTTGCTCCCCTTGCTCTGCTTGCCCTTCTGGGTGGCAGCTGCAGGGGCCTTTTCCTTGGGGGGTGAGGGGGGACGCTCCTTGTAGGACACTGCAGAATATTGGTCAGCAATTGGTGATGCACCTAGCATTTACTTCACAAGCCAACTGACCAACAAATAATTGCATCCAAACTGCATTAGAATATCAACACAACATGTAGCCTGATATGTCTTTGAAACAGCACACCCACATTACTAAATGCACATGGTTGTATTTATCTGAGATATGCATTACTCGTACATGCATGATCTGTGACATGTCCATGGTAAATGTGACTAAGCTAAGATCAATAGCCAGGAACTGGTATTACAAAGGAGATTAGTGGTGAGATCATCTAGATATAATTTTAATAGACGATCTCATCAAAGAGAAGTAAGTTGATGTTTTTCTTACAAGAGCTACTGAGAGCACGCACCTTTCAGTTCATTCTTCTCCTGTTCCTTGAGAGTCTGCACAAAGCCCCACTCCCCTCTCCGTCAGGGGCCAGCTGTTCTTCAGCACTGTGGCCTGGACTATGTACTTGTGAGGCTGGCATAAACAGAAAATGTTCATTTCCTTTCAAATATAACAAATATCTTAGCAGACCTCACTTATCAATAAATGTTACAAGTCAAAGACAGTCATGATGGGTTGATTTCACAAAGAGATGAAGCCTGCAGAGATAAACAGGATGGTACTGTCAGTGGGTTTTGTTTGTTGGGCCAGATTTGTTTTTCTGATATGCACTCAGAAGACAATTTTCTTCACAATTTGCTGAAACAGTTTCATGTTTTAAAATCATAATGACCTTATCTAGTAATTGTAATGTCACAAGAAGTACCAGAGTCCCTTCTACGCAATGACAGATACTTTCACCAACATATTCAGACAGTTCTGTGATGATGACCCTGTGTGATGATGACCCTCCTGTATGACTCTCACCTTCGTGTCCTTTTCTTCTGGCTCCAAATCACTGATTCCAGCTTCAGAATGCTGACTGCTTCTCTGGAAATAGGTAGGCAATTGATGGATAAAATGTGTGAATCCTTTTAATTCACATCAGCAGTTGTTTGACCACTGGACATTTCTACTCACTTGTGGACAAGATTTGGATTGAACAATTCACATTTTAAAAAAGAACTGTTATGAACAACGTTACATTCTGCAACAGTCATCTAAGCACTTACCGAGTTCCTCCCATCAGCACTCCGGGCTGACTCTCCTCGCTTCCCCTTCCCGGCCATGTTTTGTGTGCTGGTTCCTCCCTTACCGCCACGGTTAGCTGCAACAACCATCACAAGGCTCATCACAATGATCTAGTTAAGTCCCTTGCAATAAACCCTTAATTTCAATTGTTAAACCCAAAAGGTTTAAGACGTGAAACAGAAACGCACAACAGTGGGTGAGCAAGATTTTTGCTTTCTTGTGCAATGTTTCGGTTGTAAAAGGGGTATTCATGGTTAAGCTGCTGGCTAACAAAGGATCCTAATTGGTTTGAGATCTGGACCCCAAAGCCACGGCCAGACCATGTAGAGTAGTCTATTAAATTGGCAAACTGAAATCAAGGGCAGGTAATTTGAAATTGTGAGGACCACAGGAATAGATCCAGGTGTAACACAAGCCTTGGAGTGAGTGAGTATGGTTTTACGCTGCTTTTAGCAGTATTCCAGCAATATCACGGCCGGGGACACCAGAAATGGGCTTCACACATTGTACCCATGTGGGGAATCGAACCTGGGTCTTCAGCTCGACGAGCGGATGCTTTAACCACTAGGCTACCCCACCGCCCTCTCACAAGCCTTGGAGGAATAGAGGATGCATAGGATCACAGCCCACTTGAAAGATGCAGATCCTGAACAGTGAAATGTGGGCCTTAGACAACTTATCCACCTGCTGAATACACACAAGAGATGACTGAGCCTGTATACTCACAGCTTCGAGAGCTGGACCTCTTAGCTTCTTGTTCCTCAGGGTTGTAGTCCTTCTGGAAGATGTACGCTGGGATGACGATGTGACCTTTGCCCACTGCGCTGATGACCTCTTCTGTGTGGTCAAGGACTGACAGCTTGATATAGACATCAAGTTTGGAAGTGTTGACCTGTAGGCTGCCCAGATGGTCCTCTGTCACCTTTACAGTGTACCTGGAACACATACACGATACAGTGAGTTAATGGATGCAGTTGAACAGTGCTGTACCCAGCAATACTTCATATTCATCATGGAAGCCTCCACAACAGCAGCCGCTAGAGGAAAACATGTAGAAACATAAGCCAGAAGATGAAGATGGTTGCAACAGTGTTTTTATCCTAATGGGTACATGTGCATCCATGTTTAAAAAAACTTGGACCAAATTGATAGCAGAAGCCAAGAGTGAGTGAGTGTATTTTTACGCCACACTCAGCAATATTCCAGCTATATGGCGACGGTCTGTAAATAATCGCGTCTGGTCCAGACAATCCAGTGATCAACAGCATGAGCATCGATCTGCACAATTGGGAACCGATGACATATGCCAACCAAGTCAGCCAGCCTGACCACCCAATCCCGTTAGTCACCTCTTACGACAAGCATGGGTTGCTGAAGACACATTCTGACCCGGACCTTCACGGGTACAGTAGCCAAGAAAACTCCTTATTATCAAATGACATGTTCCACAAGTAGCAGGGCAAGCAATAGGGCATCATTATTTATTTTGTTGTTAGCATATTTATTTTTAGTATAAAAGCAAACACTTTAATTATTCCAATAGCAAAAATTATGATACTCATTATGATTAAAAGAAGCATGTACCTGAATATGGTATGTTTGGCATTTGGCAGGTAGTAGTCGCGGATTTCTTTAACAGTGAAGGAGCTGTTGACCTCCTGGTTGCGGGGGGAAGGGAGGGGACTGAGGGAACCGATCAGACGCATCCTCCAGCTCCCACTCATCATCCCCTGGTCCAGAGTCCGGGCCTCAGCTACGAATGTGTAGCCCTTCTGTTGACAGTAAGTATGGTGTTGTGTTAACTGAGACCATCTTATTGCACAACTACAAACAGATTTACTTGACATGCGATCACTTGGTCTTCCTTTCCTCTTTTCTCAGATAAAGCCTCCATTAACAGATTTTCATTTTCTTGGAAACAAGTTCTATTGTTCTCCATTGCCAGTTCAATATTGTGAATCTACCATTACACAGTAATGTATAAACAGAAATTAGTTCATCTTGCAAGAACCTATCAACTTTTTATTTCTCAAATGTTGACACTTACTGAACTAGGGTAGATGATACCAAAGGAAGACATACTAGCATTCTAATCACACATAAAACCCTGAGAATACCAGAAACCACTACGAGATCATGTATACATGATGTGATTTATCCACCATTGTGATTGCCAACTCAGCAGAGATTACCCCAATTCACGAGTCTACATTCCATGGAGTCTCTACCAACTGCTGCTGCTAAAGTTTCCTCCCTCTCTTACCCTGTTTTTCTTGTAGACGTACGGTGCCACCTTCTGGAAGACTCGAGGTATCTCCTCCCCGGTGTCATTGTTGACGACCCTCAGCATACACGTGTTGATGGGGACATACAGCTTGGGAACAGCCAACATCTCTTCCCTCACGTAAAACACTTCCCTGTTCATAACAAAGCACTTTTTACAGTTTCCTCTGACAAACGGTAAAGGCAATATTTGAGACAAGAATAAATGATATCTGAAGACACCGTTCAGCATACACGTGTTGATGGGGACATACAGCTTGGGAACAGCCAACATCTCTTCCCTCACGTAAAACACTTCCCTGTTCATAACAAAGCACTTTTTACAGTTTCCTCTGACAAACGGTAAAGGCAACATTTGAGACAAGAATAAATGATATCTGAAGACACCGTTCATACAAATTTTAGCAAGCAGAAATAGGTAGGCAACGGGCATCAGTCTCACCACTGAAGAGTCTGATCTAAAAGAAATAATGGCCAAACAAAGTACGTATTTTAACCACAGTGTTACCTGACCACCCAGACAGCTGTAGGATTTATTGGTTTTGTCTGTTTCTTGTTTAATGTCAAACTCAGCAACATTCCAGCTATATGCTGAAGTGTTCAGACCATCCAATGACTAACATCATGACCACTGATCTACACAAGTGGCTGCAAGAATGAGACATGAGACTTGGAACTAACCTGAAGACTGTGAACCAGGTGTTGGGAGGCTGGTCAGGGTACACCCCCCTGTAATCAGCATAGGATATCTTGTTCCACTCGTCCTTGTAGAACGGATATTTGGGCATGATGTCTGGGTCCCTCTTGAACATCTCCCTGTGTGAACGCATCAAGACAGAATATGTTCATCACAAACACTGATTACATGTCCATTACAGTAATCTCAAGAAACCTCAAGCTCATTGCTGAAAAGATTTTAAAACATACACCATAAATCTCTGACATGTACCTGAACAGATAAAGTCCATTGTCTTCGGCATTGGACTCCAAGATTGACCAGGATTTCTGAAGATCTTCGATAGCTTTCAAGTTCTCGTCAGTTCCTACAAAACAGTATCAGATTGAACTCAAAACATATCTTCAACCACAGCATTGAAGGTTCTAGAAAGGAATTAAAATGATCAAATGATGACAAATGTCAGAAGTTAGGAGTCTCAAACAAGAGGGAAACCTCGTTTTCTTAAATAGTCTCATCCCCGAAATGCTCAATTAATTCACAATCAGTTCGTATACTTCTTTTAAAAAATAGTTCTCTGGGTAAAAAGTATTGTGTGGCTACACTTTACTGAGTCAATGTCATTATCCAATTCAAAAAATTTCTCAAGGGAAACTTGAGAAGGATTAAGTAATTGACAGCAGCACAGCCTGTGAAGATACCTGGTGTGCGAGCAGCCTTCATCTTGCGGACCCAGGCACCTCGGTGAGCCTTCTGAAGCTTCACTGCTGCCACATGTTCATCGGGGGTTGGCTCTCTGTCAAACACGCAACATGGACTTGAATATTGACAAACGTAAAACTTGACAATTGAAACATCCAAATCAGAACAATTGGGGGTAACTTTTGACTTGCTGGAAAACTTAAGTTACAGAAAACTTTGAAATATTGTCATCAATTACCACAGATGTTAAAGCAGATGACATCTAGCCAGTTTCTTACACACGCAAGTTTTGGACTTCTGACATGATCAAGTTCATAAGAATGAATAAACTTATTGAAAAAGGCTGATTCGAATTCAAATACAATTTCAACTAATCTTTAGTCAAGGAATTGCTTGTGATATTGCCTGTGTTTATCTACATTTCTTACAATCAACTCTTGTCAATGACTGGCTCATGTTTAAACATTACATAAACACATCTATAAAACCATTATTCTGACATATTTTAGCACAACCCACACAATATAACATTCTTAGAAGTCAAAAACAAACTGTCTTTCATACGAACATATCATTCTGATAACTAGTTTTAAAATACTAACTTAACTAGACTTAACATTATGCAGAGTTTGAGGGATAAGGAGGGCATATATTAAAATGAGAAGCATATTTTCTAGCATCTCTGTCAAGGAAGGTGAAACTAGATGAACAAACTCACCTGTTAGCCCACGTGTTCTCCACTTTCTCTGGTTCACCTACACAAGAAAGACAGAAACACCTGAACACTAGTACATGGTACATCACAGATGTATCAAACTAAAATATCACGATCAAAGTAATACCACATGCATCTCTCTCAGCTGACAAGCACAGAATCACAACTTTCATTTCAGACAATCCCATCATATAGCATACAGTCACACCTTGTTTCAGAAGCACATGAATACATTGTACACCACAGATGGAAGAAACTGAAACATCGCATTCAAAATACTAGCAGATGCATTTCTCAGCTGACAAGCATCTATTCACCAGTTTCATTTCAAACAATCCAATAAAAATGGAACATCGTTAATGTGGATAGTTTAAATCCACAAATCCCAGATACTAGAAAATTATTGTTTTAAACGTCGGTCTCAACTGGAGGGATAGGGGTTTATCTGGAACTGCTTTGGAAGAAATTAAGTCTCCAATGTACAGCAAATATCAGTAACATTCTCAACTTGGATAATGGTGAGGTGAGGTGAAAGTGGGTTTTACGTCGTTCTTGAGAATATTTCGCTCATATGACGACGTGCATGCATGTGTATGTGTATGTGCGCCTGCTTGTACTAGCCCAGACTTAGGCTGGTTTTATAGTGCTAGCCCACTGAGATACCATGCCGCAGTGAAGCATGAATACCCCACTCAGACACATTATACGGACTCCGAGCCGACCAGTCCTTGTTGTACCCATTAATGCCGAGCGCAAGACAGGGACCAACAAGTACCATATTTTAACGTCTTTTGGTATGACGCGGTCGGGGATCGAACCCGCGACCTTCCGCTCTCTGGGCGGACGCTCTAACCACTACACCACGAAGGCGGTCTGGATAATGGTAACATACAGTCAAATCCCGATGAGTCGAATCGCTGGGGACCAAGTAATAAATTCGACTTATCGATGTATTCGAGACATAGATATGTCTATGAGGGTAGAAAAAAAGATGATCCAGTCCTAATTCCTCCACCTAAGCATTTGTTTACCAAATGATTTCCCTATCACTAATAGGGGCACCTTATCAGTTCCAGTCTGATTAGCACAGACAGTGATTTCCGTAAATCACTAATCTGCCTTTTTGAACTCATCCGTCAATGGCGGAAAGGTGTGAGCCGCGCTGGTTTGTTAATTGGATCAGTTTGCTACACCAATCAACTTCTCATTGACTGACTTTGGCTTATGTATACAAGATTACTGTTGTTTGAATCTCATGGGACCAGATCTCCTTCTCGAGTCATCGTGTGTATTTATGAGACGACTTCGTGTAACCGGAAATCAAATGATGACAACTATAACAGGGAATGGTTGAGACCGACAGGTACTTCGAGTTATGGATAATATTCGAGACACTGGCATTCGACTCATCGGGATTTGACTGTAGTTGAAACATATCTCACATATACACAGGTGAGGTGTAGTTTACTGATGCCAGGATCAATAACAAGGAAGGGGCATTATTGTATTGGTTACAATGTAATATTCAAAATTAGGACATAAAACATTCCACATTTTCAAATTACCTATTTCCTTGAAAATGCCTGCCAAGGGCACATAATTTGGAATCCTAGAAAAATTTCTTAGCTGTGTACAAATGATTTGTGTATAGGGCAACTCATTAATCTGACTAATTGCAACAAGAAATGGTCCCTTCCAGATTGAAAATGTTTCATTTTAAGACTTCTGTTTGTCAGTGCTCCCACTGTTGGACATATAGACACATTGTATCAGCATGTGAGGAAACAAACCCAGGGTCTGCCTAACTTCATACCAGATTCTAAATTTGTAATTCAGGTTACTTGGAAGATCATGAACTATCTTCTTTTCAAAAAAGTATAACTGTATAACTATATTTAGCATCAGCTGGTTTTACTGACATTCTAAGTCGGTGACACATAAACAGCAAGGTGATAATGTGTGCAATAGTTGTAACTCTGTGGCATGTGTTTATATTGTTGGATATGACCACTTATAAAACATGTAAGAAGCCTGAGTGAATTAAGAAAGACTGAATTGCTTAACAGAATGTATGTATTGCCAAACAATAATCTCCATTCTATAAGACTGATATCCTCTGGTCTAAGGCAATATAAAGATTAGAAACATTTCATGTCTGCTTAACATTGTAGCATTTAAAGCCCTCCCCAAACTGAACCGTACAATGATACATATTAAAATTACACATCCATATATTATTACCCTTCCTTCCGTAATACACGCAGAAAATCATATCTGACTACGAGAGATTAATATGCTACGGTTGCAAACATTTCAGCTATATCTCAGTGTTTTTGGTGCTTGGGGTAGATCACAATTCAAAATTTGTCAATTAAAAATCCTAATGACATAGGTATAAAATAACATGTCATCCTATGAACAATACATATTCACATAAATCATTTGTACAACCATAAGCTGCTCAGAACTTCAACCATAACCACAGCAGTCAGAGTTTGGTGCATATGGCAGAATCACAGTGACAGGAGTTGAAGATGATATCAAGTCAGATATGAGATTAGATGGTATATACAAACATAAGGTCTTAACTTGGTCAAACCAAGGATTAAAAACACACCAGGGCCTAGATTTTCTGAGCTCTCTTAGCGCTAAGATAGTCGTAAGTGCCATACATTAACATTAACTTACGACTATCTTAGCGCTAAGAGAGTTTCGAAAATCTAGGCCCAGATCCTTGTACCTAAGGGACACAACTCTGCACGGCAAGGCAATGTGTTTGAAAGTGTGTGTGAATCTACATGATCAATCTTCATACAATAACAAAGGTAGATGATAAAACAGAATAACATACCCTCCGGAGGGGCCTCTATATGGTAGCATGTGTAGAAGAGAAAACTCATGATTAATACAGAGGTCAGATCACATCAAAGTACCAGATTATTCAAGATGTAGGCTGTCATATGGAAAATGATTCAGGAGATATTATGCTTGGTCAATTCAACATCTGAATCTGCATTGAATTATAGGAATAAAATATTTTAGACAGGGCACATTACTCTCATAAAATCATTTTCCCATCAGTCATTAAAATTCTGAGAGTTTGCACCTTTTGAAAAGCAGAAAGTAGAAATTAGCATCACAAATATCAGCAATACCTGATTTAACAATTATTTTCATTAAGCTTACATGTTTTTATTTCGTGATGAAAGAATTTGCTTCATTATTTAAACTATAAAGTTTGTGAAATAATAACATTCATGATGTATATGTATATATATATTTGTTATGTATTATTTCACATATATAAAAACCAAAAAGTCTACTTTGCCCGTTCCACTATTAAACTAAGGTGAAAGCATGCAAAATAATATGTGGGTTTGGGTGAAAAACAGAAAATAATGTTTTTAGTAATACATATTATTTGTGCTCGGCATATTCATGATGTGCAGAGTGTATTTTTTTAATGAAAATCTGACAGTGTGTAGTGTGAGTGAGTTTAGTTTTACACCGCTTTTAGCAATATTCCAGCAATATCACGAAGGGGGACACCAGAAAAGGGCCTCACATATTGTATCCATGAGGGGAATCGAACCCGGGTCTTCGGTGTGACAAGCGAACACTTTAACCACTGGGCTTCCCCAAAGCCCCTGACAGTGTGTTATGAAATACATCTTCATTAATTTTTGAGAACTAGTTTGATCTGGTCACTCAGGCACCACTTTTTTCAAGTGCTGGTTTACGAACCTTACATTCTTTGTAAAGAAAAGTGGGAAAAAATCATTATCTAAACAAATGCAAACATGTGTTGATCTGCCAAAATGTCTGCAAAAATATTACAATACACATGGTGTTAAGTATGATAAAAAACCAGTTTCTTGAAGAAAATGTGTTCAACAAATTTTTCATACACCCAGATGATGTATCAGTATATGTATGCATGTGTTAGCAGTGGGGTGAGGCCGGGTAGGGCGGGGTGGATTCAGGGTGGGGATGGTCTTCATGAAGCAAGGCTTTACTGATTTGATTCTATCTAACTAATACCTGTATTTTATGCAAAAAAATGCAGTAAAACTAATAGAATGTAGCTCATGTAAAGGATTATTGAAAAGTAGAATAAATATCATATACACTGAGAGTTTTATAGAGTCTTGACGCCATCCACAAACCATCCTCGAGCTTGGCATCTGTTTGTGGAACTAATTAGGAATATATTCTAACAGAGCCCTGTGTCAGTTCAAGGTTATCATATACCGATAACTGCATCTGATCTTGTGTGAAAGCAGGTAAGCATGTAGAGCCTGTCACCATTCTTGGAATTGCAGCGGAACAATTTAAAACACACCACCACCACCACACAATACAAACCTCCACCGGGACCACAGTTGTGTGTACAACAAACTCAATGAAATAAATTTATTGCAAGAAACAATATAAATTAATGGAAATATCAAGCCAAAATTAAGCAAAAACACTTCTATGACAAAAAGATCCCCCAAATTTTTATCAACAAATTTTGGCTCGACCAATTTGTGGTATATATTGGTTCGAAAATATTTATGCAAAATATCATACAATGGTAATAGTGTTACCACTGACATTATGAATTATAGTGAGTAATACTGTAGTATGGGATAGAACTGTGCGTTGAGAAAATACTGGTTAAAACCCCAATTATTCTGTGTTTCAGTTCACAGTTGAATTCCAAATCCACGTAATTGTAACAATAACTAAGAATTTTGTTTCACAAAATCAGAATGAGTTTGTTGGTACACACAGTGACACATGTGCAAGTGACAACAACGCAATGTACGTGAAATTGACAACCCGCAACCACACACAACATACAGAATCAAAGCTGTTAGTCTAAGTGTATTTCAGCAACTTACGCTTTCCCTTATTTCCGGGTTTTGCTGAACCCCGGTGACTAGTCGTACCAGTGGCTGAAATTTGATTGGTCAACTACCAGTCACGTGACTACGTTTGCAACAAAACATAAGACATCTATGATTCAGCGAAAGCCTGCAAGCTACAACTCTGCCAAACCAAACTGTAAAAGAAAGTTAACTTGTGGGTGGTCCATCTAATGTGTAAAGAAAACTGAGCCCGAACATCTAGAGTGAAAAATCTTGGTATTTCTAGACAAAATTTGCATTTAATTCGTTAATAGAATCTTTAATCACAAGAAAAGGCTGTGTTTCTGATCGACAAAAAACTCACAACTATGTTTCATAAACATTACATAAAAATAATACCAGTTGGATTGCTTTAATGTCAATTAACTCATTTATGACTATTATCCTTCCCTCAACTAATAATAAACATTCTAGAAATGACACATTTTTGTAAAACAGCAAATTTTGCTAGAAATTGATGAAGCACACAACGAAATTTTCTACTTCATTGATTGAAAAAAATGCATACGTTTCAAGGTTGTGTTGGGAACCAGTTCTTCAGAGGCACCTAGAAAATGTTGTCAGTTTTTGAGATAACTCTCATAATTTCAAAATAACACAAGCTCTAAAGTCTGATGAAAAAGCCAAATGGAGATGCAAGTTTGACAGCAGGAAAAAGTCGTCGCATTGCTTTGTTATTGTCAAAAATGTTTTAACGTATTGTACCAAGCCTAATTCAGTTTCATAAGTCACATGTACAACAATTATTATTACCGAGTCCAATCTTGTATAATTTGATGATATTTCAGGCACCAACAGGTTTGACAGAAGATCCAACTTTGTGAGTCTAGTTTCGAAGCCAAATATAAAGTACTGATCAAGCTTAATGCTCATAGTAATACCTGAGGAATTAAGAAGATGGATTGGAGTCGGACTGAATCAGATTCTGATAATATCAATCCAACAAAGTATTTTTCTTTGATGCTAGTCTGTTTAACGGCTTTAATGTTGATGTGACATTAAATATTAACTGGCTCTTTCACAAAAAGAAATTTGAGTCACAAATTACAGATTTTGAAAAAATGAAAATCATAAATGGTTGCCTTATGAATATAAATAGTTACTTTTCCTCAAGATGAGGCATGCATTCAGGGCAGAAAACAAAACTCATGTCACAATGTCAAAGGTCAAATGTCATGAGAGGTCAAGTGTCACATGAGGTCAAGAGTCAAGACAGTTGTTCACATGTCATGAGGCATGTTGAGTTCAGCCACCAACCTGGTCGACTTCCCACGGTAAGACCCAGGATGTTGGGAGATGTGGCATCATAATTGAGAACCCTCCACGCAAATGCCATATCAGAGGAGATAACGTCTTTCAGTGCTCTCTTCAGCATGCTGTATAGAGACTCATTAAACACCTGAAATAGGAAACAATCATACAATCAGAGCTAATCATAGTGCTATACTGACCCAATTGCCATAAACATTTCAACTTGAGTTTGTTGGTTGGTTAGTTGTTTTACTCCACACTAAGCAGTATTGCAGCTATATGGCATCCTCGATAATCTCCAGGGCATACGTTACTCTAACTCTCCACTATACCCTGGTTGCATCCACGGCTTGGGGCGATGATTTTATTACCTCCCTTGGCTGGCTTTTTGTCCAATCAGGTGCCTACGCTGGAAATTGAGCGAACCAATCACAACTCACTTTCGCTACTCAAATTATCGAACCGTTTAAACTTGGCAACACAATTGATGCAGAGGTACTCTGAAAGAAGTAGAAGGAGTTCTTTCATATAGTTTTTAAAGTTTCACATCTGAGAATTTGTCTTTATTATTTCCCCAAAAATCTGTGTGGCACTGCGAACAAACTTTCGCGACTGCGACTGCTATCTTTGTTGACACTGGCAACCTCAGCTGTAACGGCGGCTTAGCTGATTGGCTACTGTGAGAATGCGGAGCCAGCCAAGGGAGGTAATAAACTCATCGCCCCAAGCCGTGGATGCATCCAGGGTATAGTGGAGAGTGATCGTAACGTATACCCTGGAGATTATCGAGGATGCTATATGGCAGTGGTCTGTAATACTTGAGTCTGGACCAGATAATCCAGAGATCAACAGCATGAGCATGGACCTCACGCAACTGGGATACGATGACATATTTCAGCCATGACAGCGAGCCTGACCACCTGATCTCGGTAGTCGCCTTTTACGACAATCATGGGTTGCTGAACACCAATTCTAGCCCGAATCTTCAAGGGTACTAGAATATGTAATTAATGTGTAACAATTCCTACCAGGGCATGGACAAAGGTTAAGTTAATTACAACAATTCTGACTGAGTATTGTCACTTTTGGTTTCATGCTGTTTGGCAAGTTAGTTCCAATTGCACCAATGAGGCACAAGGCATTATGATGTCACATGAAATCATTGTAGCAAATAACTGAAGATTATGTTGTCCGTTGTACATGTTTCATAATGATCTTATTGTACTATCAATAAGCCATTGGAGCTGCCTTACCTGGACATCAGGAAATGCACAATTTCCATAGTTCCTATGAAAAATATCTAAGATAAGAATAACCTGTTCGCAACACAGATTTAAGAAATACTTGAAGCTCATGAATTAATGTATTATTTTGGCATGAGTAAGAAGTCAGTGCCTCATGAAGCAAAATTCCACAAGAGACATGGTGTCTCAAGAAGAATAAAATTCTGCAAGAAGAATATTGCGTCAGGAAGTTTAATGCCTCAAGAAGCATATTGACTCAGGAAGTGTAATTCCTCAAGAAGAAAAGTGCCTCTGGAAGTATAATTCTTCAAGAACACCTACCTGGAAGTGGCGAGTCTTTGACAGGAGCTTGTCGTTGCGGTACGGACAGTGACTGCTGACAAGCTCCTCCCATGCCTGTCGGAACATCTCCGTGTCACCCAGGTTGTTGATGCATTTGCCAAGATTTGTGATTACTTGTACTGCGTTGTCACGGAAACGACAACTTTCCTGAAATGTTTTTTGTCAAATACATGAGTTTAAGAATTTGCCAAATGAAATGGCAGAGAAACTGCATGATTTCTATGAATTTAAAGAAAAATTATTACCTAGAAATAATTATATGCTTTATGACTCTTACTGGTAGTAAAACAGATAAGGAAAGATGCCAAAACAAAATATGACATTAGCTCCTTTCACCTTTAGCTTCAATGACTTGATAGGTTAACGAGGTTAAAAGAATTAAAGCAGGTGAAACAAAGGATGAAGATTTTGAAAAGTATTTCTTCAGTTCATGATTAAAATTAACGACAAATATTTAACAATGTCATGCCACATGGATTACAAAAAGACTGTGTCTGTTTGCTTACGTTGGTGAGCTGTGACATCACTGTCTCCTCGTCTCCAAACACAAACTGTGTGGCGGAACATAAGTGGACATGGTAGCCTAGTGGTCCGGTCATCATAAAGCGTAGAACGTGACGCCTGAGAAACAGAAACAACAAGTTACACACACGTTCATGCCTCACACACTCACACACACATTTCTGGGAAACAGAAACAAGTTACACACACATACATGCCTCACACACTCACACACACATTTCTGGGAAACAGAAACAAGTTACACACACATACATGCCTCACACACACATTTCTGGGAAACAGAAACAAGTTACACACACATACATGCCTCACACACTCACACACATTTCTGGGAAAGAGAAACAAGTTACACACACATACATGCCTCACACACTCACACACTCACACACACATTTCTGGGAAACAGAAACAAGTTACACACACATACATGCCTCACACACTGCACACACATTTCTGGGAAACAGAAACAAGTTACACACACATACATGCCTCACACACTCACACACATTTCTGGGAAAGAGAAACAAGTTACACACACATACATGCCTCACACACTCATACACACATTTCTGGGAAACAGAAACAAGTTACACACACATACATGCCTCACACTCATACACACATTTCTGGGAAACAGAAACAAGTTATACACACATGCATGCCTCACACTCACACACACATTTCTGGGAAACAGAAACAAGTTACACACACGTTCATGCCTCACACACTCACACACACATTTCTGGGAAACAGAAACAAGTTACACACACATACATGCCTCACACACTCACACACACATTTCAAGATGTATCGGTACCCATTTCCACAATCTTGTGATGGTCAAGGTCTGGTTACCAAGTGGCCATAGCTATAGGACTACCACAAGCATGCATGTGATAGTATGTGTAACATACAGAAGTCACCACAATACTGGTGATGTGATTTCTTTGTGAACTGGGGCCAGTTACAATGTACAATGTGACACAGATCAGTGACAGAATGAGCATCAATTCGTGGTGACAGTGTTACGTAATAGCATGACCTGATCCTAATTTTAGTCAGCTCCTACAAAACGTAGGCAGTCCTTGGGACTATTCCAACCAATAATCCCAAAAGGAATGGCGTTAAATGGAAGTCTCAGTGTTTGATGCTGATGAAGCATAAGTGGTCCATAGCATACTGAAAGATCTACCAGACAGTTGATTCTTTTAGTGGTTTTCACAAGAAAGAGTTTAAATGGTATTACTTTACAAACTCAGCCTTTATGCAATGGCAGAAATAGAAGACAAGGAAATGCTGGTGTATTTGTCTGCAACAGAGCAACTTTTTACCTTTTTGCAGAGTGTGTGAGTTTAATGAATATGATAAGTTTGAAAGTTTAGAGTCAATCTGCCACTGTTTTCAAAAGCCACACTACCTTAAATCACAATATTTGTCACCAAAATACTACTGGACCACCATTTCATCTTATTCCATTTTATTTGTCCTTAAGGACATACAACAGACCAGGGTTATAACCAGAGTCAAACACCAATGGAATACCAAACCCAGCTAATGCTGGCGAGACCAACACAACATATGTCCCAGTATTGACAGACAAAACTGGACAAATGACCAGTTCCTGACCACACTTGTTACTGACCCAGCTGGAAGACTCAGCACTGCTGCTCGGCTGGCAGTCGTCCGGAGTCTCAGAATCGGTTGCCCAGTAACCAGACTCTTCCAGGAATATGGTTCTGCGACCAGGGTACCAGGATGAACTGGAACTGGTGAGGATGGCTTCTCCGGACTGATTGACCCTACAGAATGTCCATGAAATATTCATTATGATCAATACATCAGAAAGGTTTGTCTTGTCAATTTTGACAATTTCAAGAATTGATATATTATTCTCATGAATTTTTTCTTTACATCAAAACCGTTTCATTTGGACAATGATAACAGAATTAATGAATCCTGCTTTGAGAGTTATATTGGTACAAATACTTTGACCAAGTATGAACATGACATCAACATGACATAGACATGAGAAGTGTGTGTATCTACCATGATGCAGCATGATATTGACATGAAAAGTGTGTGTATCTACCATGAAGCAACATGATATTGACATGAGAAGTGTGTGTATCTACCATGAAGCAACATGATATTGACATGAGAAGTGTGTGTATCTACCATGAAGCAACATGATATTGACATGAGAAGTGTGTGTATCTTCCATGAAGCAGCATGACATTGACATGATATAGACGTGATTTCTGTGTGTATATACCATTAAGAAACATATGATACTGTGATACATGAGAAGTGTGTGTATATTTACCATCAAGTATGCTACTGCTGGTGAGACCCGTGGGCTCTTTCTCCATGTCCCGGTCTTTCCCTCCCTTCACGCTAGTGTGGGACTTCTTTTCATCCATGGGGGGTAGTGGGGGATCAAACCACCGGGGCAGGGCCGAGAATGACACCACTATATCTGTGGCCTCCAAATTGTCAACAACTTCACAAAGTTAAGGACACATTAGTGATCTCAGGAAGTAAATCCAGCAGTAAAACATACAAAATCAATTTCAGAAAGTAAAACCACTCAATTAAACAAACAGCTATAAGACTGTTTCCTGCCTGAAAAAACATCAACAGAAAGCAGTTTTCATTATCTTATTATGAAACAAAAATCACCTTTGACCCCTTGACACTGGTAAATATGACTGCCTTTAAACTTGACTAGACATAATCGTCTGTCTACAAGCCAATTTTCACTTAAATCAATTATTCCAGTTCAATAACCAATCTTAGCCAGTATCACTTGACTACATAATATCAAATGACTCCATTTCAGAATAGTTTGACAGATTCATTTCTTCACTTATCGGAAAAACAATTAAGATTATGAATTTCATACCACTTGCAATAATAAGGCCAGTCACTTTACTGGACATTTTCCTAAAGCCAGGTTGGAGGGGAAGGTAAAGATTTCAGATAATTTAACAAGAGTTAAACAAACGATTGATAACTCAGTAAGCCAATTCCTCTTCCATCAGATATCGTCAGCTAAATATCTATTTCATAAAAACAGAAAACGACAGCAATTTATGGAAGGATACACAAGTAGTGAGGTGACCGGTCATCAGGGCTGGATGTCTGAAACACAGCATGAAGAAATAAACGCATGTCAATAGCCCATGTACATTTCAGCTTGTACATATCTGTCAGTCACTACTCTACATCACACAGTGAAATAGACATGATTACATGTTGGAAGTCAGATTGGCAATTACTTTGTTAAAAATCAGTAAGGAATTAATATTTTATAATATCTAAAAGTAACAGAATGATGATTACAATTATTAATTTATTGATATGAGAGTTATAACACATCTACTTCTGTAGGTATTATTAACATGAGTGTCAATATATCCTTCAATGAAAATCTACAATCAGCCAACACAAATCTAGAAATATCAGTATCTATTTTACAAATATTCTGTTTGTAACAAAGCAGTTATTTGTATCTATGGATCTAACTAGTGGAGGATCTATCATCCATGTGTTAAAGATACACAAATGAGAACATAATGGAAAGTTTGTCCTGCCAAACCAATTGTCTCTTGTGTAGAGGATGTGTGTGCCCTAAAATTTATCAAATGTTAAATACAAAAATTTACCTGCTTCACTTTATTAAAAGGTGCTGAGGTTGGCATGTTTTACATCTTTTATTATGGCAGATGTTATTTTCAAGTACAACTTCAAACCATCCCTGTATCAAATATACTACACAACATTTGATAAGGATATATATGTATACAGTAACTATGGTTATAATGAACATGGAGGGACCGCTGATGTTAGTTTGTAATAAATGTAGGTCATTATCCTCATTGGGACTAAAATATACTAGACATCAGGAAGAAAATAACAGTTTGTCATATCCATCAGTTTGTTATCAGCGTGTTCATTATAAACACAGTCGACTGAATTTCATATTGTGATGTAAAGTAACACCAACAACTTACATATTTATTGAACTGTGAATTTATGTTGCGAGGACTTCAGATGAAACTGCACGTGTTGAACACTATTTGTGTTCAGGTCCCACATGGAGAGAGAGAGTGAGTGAGTTTGGTTTTACGTCACTTCTAGCAATATTCCAGCATTATCAAGGTGGGGACACCAGAAATGGACTCCAGATATTGTACCCATGTGGGGAATCGAACCTGGGTCTTCAGTGTGACAAGCAGATGCTTCAACCACTAGACTAACCCAATGCCCTGCCCCACATGGATATTCCCATCCCTATCAAAAGTTGAGTAGTATAAATAAATGTTTCTTGGCATATATCACAATAAATCCTCCACAAGACAACACCTTGGTTTGGCCTTACTACTTGTAATTTATAACAAAACCAAAACCATTAAGAAAGAGAAATATAAATTATTCACGTTAGTTAAAAAATCACTCATTGTAACTACAACATCAAGATATTAAAAACAGTGAATGACAGCTTGGTTAAAACTACTTAGTTGGGTCAAGGTATTAACAATTAATAAATTTTGAACTAAAGATTTCTAACTGAGGAGAACTGATTAGAACCGAGAAAGGAAGACATAAATTAGAATTATAGGGGGAAAATCCACCAAATCTTGAGTAAAATCTTACCACAACACCAAAAGCACCTAATGTGTCACTGCAGGTATTGCTTGCATAATTACAATGCTATTAATCATACGTCCTTATAATAATCAACAAATATTTTCAAATCCAAGAAAACTAGCATTCCAAACTTTCCCTCGATTTCAAAATAAGGTAGGTTCAGAATGTTTTGTCTAAAATATAAGTCTGTGAATTTATTTTCATTTGGTAAAATTATTTGATTGATTAAACTCCAACCAACCAACTCCATATTAGTGCAAATGCATAAAACAGCTGTAACGGCAAACCATCAAATTGCAAGTTAATAAATCTACAAAATTGCCATAAAACATGCGACATGGCAAAATTTTCACCATCAAATCATAAATTTCACACAAATTTTCAAATCTTCAAAAACACAAGGCAACAGAGCTCCCTACGCCAGTTCATGCAAATGACGTGAAATCAACAATGTCTATTTACATGCATATTTCATCTTGTTTATTTCATTTCATTATCTGAAATGCTTGACTCGGATGTTATGTACAAGTTATCTGGTATGTTGAAAGAACTTATGTGTTTTATAAAAGACATTGAACACTGCCAGTATTTAAACTATTTCGGAAGTCAAGATGAAATATGCTTGTGTATTTAATGATGGCAGCAATATACTCCAAACAAATCTTTAAAGTCTGAATTGGATTTCTTTTCTTTTGGCTATTCAAAATTAAAAAGAAAAACAGTGCACAAAAACATCAATCATTATCTTTTGTCAGAAGTATATTGTGCTAACAGAACTGTATTGTAATTTTTACAAGTACCAAGTAAAATTTTTGTTGTTGATTTGGTACCAAAAATGGTTACAAGTATTGCCATAATTTTCAACATATTTTCAGAGACAGCAATCTGCTTTTACAAAATGTTTTAAACATGTCAAAACTCAAAAATGATTTTTGTTTTTGTTTGTCAAACAACTCTTCAATACAATCCTGTTCACCGAAAACACAAAAATTTGATAAGCATCCACTATCAGGGCAAGCAAAATAAACAGCAATTCCCGAATATGGATATGTTATCAAACTGGTAACAACACCCACAGCACAAGTGTCTGGCACATGCAAGTAGAGCTCTGTCGCCTGGCTGTAGATAAAAGCCTGCAGTGAACTGGTATACTCACTCCCTGAGCATTAGTGGGGGAGGGTGCATTTTGGGTGTGGGTGGGAGTTTGAGAGGTCTTGGAGGCGGAGGGATTTACCCCGGCGGCAGCAGGGGCAGGTTTCTTGTCGGCTTTGCCCCCAGTAGTTGGAGCACCCTGGGGAGACACATTCTGAAATAGGAGTATCACAATTAGCAGGAATCTATGATTATTGTGATAATAAAAATTAATCAAGATATCTTGGGATGATCCATATGCTTATCAAACTGATGAAATAAATGGCTGAAACCTCTGTAGTGTTGAAAGTCTGGGAGTTTCTTGTCCCAAACACTTTCATAATACATTTCTTTCATTAGTGTTGAAAGTATGGGAGTTTCTTGTCCCAAACACTTTCATAATACATTTCTTTCATTAGTGTTGAAAGTCTGGGAGTTTCTTGTCCCAAACACTTTCATAATACATTTCTTTCATTAGTGTTGAAAGTCTGGGAGTTTCTTGTCCCAAACACTTTCATAATACATTTCTTTCATTAGTGTTGAAAGTATGGGAGTTTCTTGTCCCAAACACTTTCATAATACATTTCTTTCATTAGTGTTGAAAGACTGGGAGTTTCTTGTCAATCAAGTCATGGAGTGTGACCACCTAATCTGTTACATCACGCAACTATCACAGGTTGTTAGAGACCAATTCAAACTAGGTAACCCCATGAAGTAAAAACAAAATACTTTACAACAAATCAGTTTCTAGAATTCTTCAAATTGTCAACACAAAGACCCAGACTTATCTGAAGCATAATGTACATTCATTCTGCAATCTTAGAGAACCCTACTTGTCATACCCAATATTGCAATGATATCTTTCAAATTCTGACAAGAATAAACATGTAATTTTTAGATTAAAATTGATATTTTATACTTATCCTGACTCATGCTTAATTGCTTGTCTACAACGACTGCAAGATTTCATCAAAAATCACCATGATGAAAACACATGTCAACAACGTGAACAAATACAGATAATTTTGATCAAATTTCAAACCATATTGTTGGTATATCATTATCAATCCCAGAACCTTATACAGCTAATTTAGTAGCAAGGCCTAAAAGTTTAAAGGATATAACACCGTATAGGGGACTCAGGCGCTCTCACAACCATCCTCAAAGGCGAAGAAGGAGAGAGTGAGGGGCATGTCCAAACACGTGACGTGGTTTCCCACCTAAAGAGGCACAAGGGAGATAACACTGGGTGAGTGATTTTACGTCCGCTTTTTTTAAGGGAGCTTCAAAAGGGGATTCAAGTGTTCCACTATCATTCACAAGAAGAAAGAGACAAGCAATTAAGCATGAGTCAGGATAAGGACAAATATAAAATTATGGAATAAAAGACATGAGTATAACCTAACAACATTTACTGTCAAGTCCAAGAGACCCATGCAACAGCAAGTGTAGTATACAGCATAATAATCTTACAATAGATAAGTTAATAAAAGTTCTGGCACAAGTGTTCGTTACCTTGGGAATTATCACAAGTCTTTGAGATGATATTTGCCGAGCCTTAGGTTGATATTTCCCAAATCAAACAACACTTGTGAAGATTTCTATTTACCATTCTCATATTACTCTTTTCTTTTTATGAAATAAATGCATTCATATTAACATAAAAAAATTGTCCAAATGTCATGTACTAAAAAACAACCTATTAACTCCTTTTTGGCATATTCATTCAGTGAGAAAACATATCCTCAGATCATTTAATAAAATACTTGACATTTGCACAATAGCTGAAACATCAATAACGGCAACAACAACATTGATTCTGTGTCATTTGATCATATCTCTGGTGTAATTTCACTGGTGAAAAAAGTCCCACTTCCCATTATCAAATTTTCACATCTAATTTGCATACTTATGTCATTGGGGTATGAAGTATCTGGTACACGTTCTTATGTCACATGCTTGTGTCGTGGATAAAAGCTTAAGTTAAATAAAAATACAACATACCACACTACAGTGTAAAAGAGTAACACCATGCATAATTTTTCGCTTTTCATATCTATAACATATATACTGAGAGAAACAAATAAAGGATTACAGGAAAATTCAAGCGTTCCTTTATTATTTTCCAGTTTTTATCAACACAGCGCTATTCAAAGCTGGTGATTAAAACAGGAAAATACTAAAGGAACGCGTGAATGTTCCTGTGATTCTTTTATTTGTTTCTCTCAGTATATAATAATCCTACCAATGTAGCATGCAGTAGGAAAATATACATGTGCTTCACACAGACAAAATATATTCACACATTATTTATCAGATACCTAAAGGGGTCCACATTCCTTATTTTAATATAATAAATACAAGTGTGAAACAAAACATGCCCTGTGTTTATGAATGATCATTAATGATTGGGTTGATACACATTACATCATATGAGCTAGAGGACACAGTGGTTGTAATGACAGTGTTAGGTTGAACTTGCTGAGACAGCCAACTGAGCTAAAATTAACCTTGGTACTGCTTTGAGGGGGGCAGTGGGGAATCAAAACAGTGGCATGAGAAATCTTTGACCACAAGGTGCCCAAACCTCAGCCTTCTCCCACCTTGCATTTTATGTGAGTGAGTGAACTGAACCACTTCGGAGAGGTACCCGTGAAGATCCATGTTAGAGTTGGTCTTCAGTAACCCATGTTTGTCGCAAGAGGCGACTAATGGGATTGGGTGGTCAGGCTCGCTGACTTGGTTGACACGTGTTAATGTATACCAGTTGTGTAGATTGATGCTCATGCTGTTGATCACTGGACTGTCTGGTCCAGACTGGATTATTTACAGACCACCGCCATATAGCTGGAATATTGCTGAGTGTGGCGTTAAACAACAAACCAACCAGCCACTTCGCACAGTGTTCCAGTTATGTCACTTCCAGTGACCTTCATGTAGGGGGACACAACTCTGAAGAACCCTGGACAACTGGGTCACCCCAATGCCCCACCTCATTAAGGTTAAACTACATCAAACCAGCACTTCTTGTTGGGGGCCTTCAGGGCAGATAGAATAAATTGGCAGCTGTGATTGGATGATTTTGTGTAGTTCTGTAATTTTTGTTAAATGTAATCCATTCAGTAATTAAACTGACCAAGTTCTTCAATTGTTAAACATGATGGTTTATGCTGCATGTGATCACAAATATTTTCAAGGAGGTGACATTTTGTGCGGAACTGGCCTGGAGTACATACAAATATATAATTTTGCTACAGAAGTGAGAAAATATTTGGTTTTGTGTAAGCTCAAGTGTGGAACATGTACACTAATACTGTAAAGACACAATCTACCAACCTGAGCGGCAACATAGGCCTCCAGTCTCTGATAGCATGGATATCACAAAAACATCAGCTATAGGTTAACTAGTCACAATAACATACAAACAAAGGGGCTACATTCTAAAAGACACTTAAAACTTTCAAATAGCTAGCTACAAGGATGATTCTCTAAAGGCTCAAGGTCCAACAAACTGGAAATACAAAGTTGGAAAGCATGGACAAAAAGCCATTTGACACCTTCCTTATAACTTGGTTTAGACCTACTTTATCAACAACTTACCTCTCATTCAGTACTAACTAGTTTCTGCTGTTCTTTGATTAACAGACAATATTGGAAGAAACGTTTTTTCAAGGTAAATATTTCAAATTTGTGAAAATTCTGAGATAAGTAACCCTAGTTATATGAAGGACATCCCTTAGTTGGTAAAATATCCATTACAAACATGAATAATACTTAGCTTAACATATGATCGAAACTAGTCTGACTATATTCTGTGAAACATGAAATTTCTATTTAAGAAGCATGTAACACACTTACCTTTAAGTCGGAATACTTTTGATTGCATGGATATGTATTTGGCTTGTGATAAATGTACAATGTTCTGAAAGATAATAAGAGAACTTTTCATCACTTTTGATAAGACAAACATCTGTAGTTCATTGGTGTGAGTTTTGTACAATACTAAATGCAGCACCCCAATAAAGACAAGCTGAGAGACGCCAAGGGAGATAACTCTTCAAGTAATGCTTGCAAGGTGTATATATATGCAATGCACAAGCTGAAGCATTTCTGCAATGAGGGTAAAAGTACTTGAGTGAGTGAGTAATTTCAGTTACATTATGGTGTATTAGTTTATTATCTATAGAGATCTATAATCGTAAACTATGTATTGATAAAGTATTCATAAATATTGGAGCAAAACTGCTACAAAAGTCTGAAAGAAATCACCATATATCACATAACAGGTGGGTGGTGACATCTTTATGCTTTGATTACTGACAGAACAGCATTCTCAACATAAATTCAAATAGACTTCAGTTTGTGTATTGTCTGTGTATATAAATCTATACTTCATCTCAACAGTTCAAGAAAGTTTAACACAACATAATTTGCATATTGATAATCTCAAAAAAATTTTTCCCGTGGGCATATTGATAATCTCAAACAATTTTTCCCGTGGACGATATTTCCGACTATCAAGTTTTTTAGCCTGCCCAAGATATAAATGCCACCAGCATGTGCAGTATTGTCTCCATTAGGAAAATGTTACCTCCCACAGCCATACAGCTGTGTCTGTTATAAGTGTTTGTCTACTTACTTGAAGCATCTGCAGAACTGGTCAAAGTCCACCCACAGCTTCTTGGGTTTCGGGGCACTGTCCTCAGACCCGATGTCCGTCAACTCCACCTCCACCATCTGCTCCTCCCCTGCTTCCAGCCCCACCGATTCCTCCAATGCCTGTTCTCCGGTCACCGAATCCTGCTGCTGGGTTGGAGCTTTGGCTGGTGGTGCCGGCGTTTGAGCTGGTTTCACCTCAGATGGTACTGCTGAACAAATATGACAGCATGTCAAATTCGGAACACTTGTCACCAAGCTGTCTTATCATTACTGCCATTTGTCCTGGTGTCTCCACTTTATCCATCCTCGATAATCTCCAGGGTATACGTTACGATCACTCTCCACTATACCCTGGATGCATCCACGGCTTGGCCCGATGATTATATTACCTCCCTTTGCTGGCTCCGCATTCTCACAGTAGCCAATCAGCTAAGCCGCTGTTACATCCGAGCTTGCCAGTGTCAGCAAAGATACCGGTCGCAGTCGCGAAGGATTGTTCGCAGAGTCACTCAGATTTTTAGGAAATATTACAGACAAATTGACAGATCTGAAACTTTCAAAAATATATAAAAGAACTCTTTCCACCTCTTTCAGAGTACCTCTGCATCAATTGTGTTGCCAAGTTTAAACGGTTAGATCATTTAAGAAGCGAAAGTGAGTTGTGATTGGCTCGCTCAACTTCCCAGTGTAGACACCTGATTGGATAAAAAGCCAGCCAAGGGAGGCAATAAAATGAAGCTGTGGATGCATCCAGGTATAGTGGAGAGTGATCGTAACGTATACCCTGGAGATTATCGAGGATGTACTTTATCCTATTTCAGCGTTGAATTTTACCACAACAAGCATATCTCCAGGAGTCAAAACACTGCCTCGGCAAGACACAAACAGGACCAACAATCCTTGAAAATTAAACATACAACTTTATGGATGACAACTTCTTATTTATTGCATAAAGCGATGTTTTGATGTAGATTCTTACATCGAAATCAAGCTAAAAGTGTAACGATGTAAGAATCTACATCGAAACGTCGCTTTATGCAATAAATATGTTGTATGTTGTATGTATGTTTAATTTTTGAGTCACCAAATTCTAGAATGCCCATCAAACAATCAACAATCCTTGACATTACGGTTACATGAAACGCTTAACGCTTTCAGGAAAGTCACACTGCCATCTCCTCTTAAAACATGACTAAACTATTTTAGTTCATATTTCCAGTGTCAACGTGTTTGACAAATTAGTTTTTTAACTTCTGTCCAACTAGGCCCTACCTTTGTCTTTCTTCTTTCCTTCCTCATCTACATCTTTCCTGGACTGGCGGGAGTCAGAGCGAGATGCACTCTTAGCCCTCTCTGGCTTTCCAGATACGTTGGACGATCTACTGCCCTTCCTGTCCAATAGCTTGGGAGATTGCTGTCGAGAGAAAAATGCACGTTGTCTTTGCATCAACAGGAATACAATGTAAGTTTCCAAAAACTATAATGTAGTCTTCAAACAGTGTCAGAAGAGGCAGATGTAGCAGTGTAATTGTAACATATGTTGGTATATTGTGTTAAAAATATTACTGTCATCAAATACATGTTCATTCACATAACATAAAAGTCTCAGTATTATGTGCCTTTATATTTCTAAGAATAATCTTTACAGAAACTTTGAAAAAAAATATCAAAGTCAAGACAAAATCACATTCCTAATGTGGTGCTAGACATCCTACTGAGATTTCACATTCAATCGTTTAGCAATTTGAGAAGATTTACCCATCACCATTACAGACAATTTTGAAATTGCAAAGCTTTTTCAGCTTGCATTACACATATTCAAGGTCACTGCCTGAACAATGGACAGATTTTTGTTTATTCCAGTGTGACTGACTGACTGACTGAGTTTGGTTTTACGCCTCTTTTAGCAATATTCCAGCAATATCACGGCAGGGGACACCAGAAATGGGCTTCACTCATTGTACCCATGTGGGGATTCGAACCTGGGTCTTTGGCGTGACGAGCAAACGCTTTAACCACTGGACTACCCCACCACCCTATTCCAGTGTGAAAAACAGTGTCTACCTCTCTGCTTGTGTCCCTGCTTTCCTTCTTGGCAGAGCTGGTCTTCTTCTTTGGGGAGCCAGGTTTGGTTGGCGAGCTCTTCCCATCAAGATGTTCGTCAGACTGTCAAAGAAGCAACAAATAACATTTATATTCACACTTAAACATAAAAAGAATCAAAACAATTATCTGAGATGGCATCAGACATCAACCTAAAAGTAAAGAATGTCAATACCAAAGAAGATATTATACTATGTGTGAAGAAGGTTTCAGTTTCAGAATCTGTCATGACCGACCACTTTTGTTACTTCCTGGGGGCTGGATGTGATAGCACCAAGGATAATTCCTGGGCAGAACAGCAACCAGGTAATGTGATGTGACCCAGACTTCACCAGCTGTTACTCATTCTATCAACCACTCTCCATCCCCATCTGTGTCAGCATCCTACCTTGGAGGTGTCCTCCACAATGAAGGACTCCAGCAACTCCTCGTCCTTCTTCTCCTCCGCCGTCAACTCCAGCTCCTGAGTTGTCTCATCCGTCTCCTCAATTGACCCGACGTTCCCCGTGTTGGGGCGTGACCGGGTGCCACCTCGTTCCAGGGAGGAGCGGGGTCGGTGCCTGCAAACAGGCATGTTTCGTTAGAAAAACAGTAAATGATCAAACTTGACTGATACCTTGATGGGTCCAATGGAGCTCAAACATACTTTTGAAAAGCTTATAAACTCTTTTCCAGCATCCTTTAACAGACTTTGAGGCTACATCAATTAACAACAAACACAACTGGAGACATGAAGGTGTTTTCTACTTACGTATCTGTAGGGATAGGAACAGGGCTGACTTTGTAGTTGACAAAGGGAGATGTGATCTCCACACACTGGATCGGTTTCGGGGGCTCCGGTTCAGCTGGAAGTCAAACAATATACATTACAACACAACTTACAGTATTTAGGATTAAGACAGTATTCCAAATGTATCACTGAATACCTCAACCGCAGGTAGGTGCAGACAAACCAATTATCATAAAAGGAACAAATCTGGGATTGGAAAACATGACCTGCAGATCCTGGCACAACTAAGGAACACAACTTTGTACAGAGAATGGCAACCCATGCTTCTCTAATTTACATGACATTTCAGAACTGAAATACAGAGATGAAAGATGTCCGAAAATGTTTCGACTCACCAATGGGTTCATCTGATGGTGTGGTCTTCTTTTTGCGTGGCCGGATGAGTTTCCAGGCTGCTATCTTCTCTGGAGGGGGTGGGGGTTCGAGGGGACAGGCACGGGTCTGTGTGATCCACACAGGGTGGGGGTACAGGTGGGACAACCCAGTCTGACGTAACCTTTCACTTGCATCAGCCTGAACAGAGACAGTTTACTGTGGTGTTTTTGATCTGTGTTTTAGTGTCTTTATATAACTCATCTTAGACATACATTTATAGAAGACAAAATATAGCAGTGTATTTATATAACCTGATACACAGGTTTACAGAAATGATTCATGTCAACACAGTACCCTTTTAAAATAAAATGTGGTATTCGGTTCATCATCACCATCATATTATTACAGGGTATCTCTTCATCATCTACTTACAATTATTGTCGGATAGAGTGTTCATTAAGTTCAAGGTATTTCCTAAGTAATGTCATCATCATTAATTTTTTATAGTATGGGTCCTGTGAATTTTCGATTGGGCCAGACAGACATCATCATCATCATCATTATCATCATCATCATCATCATCATCATCTGGTTGTCATCAATTACTAACCATTTCCCCCAAGACTGAGACTTTGACAGGGTATTTAGGCGTACTGCAGTAGGAAGCGAACACGATGACCTCTGGGTTATCCGGGATCACCGACTCTTCTGATTTCTCCTCTGTGGACACACAAACAGCAACTGTCTCAAACTGTCATTCTACTTTTAGGAGATAAACATCAAATGGAATATTCCGTGCTTCAAATGCTCAATAACACCGAAATTGGCCAACACATGATGTTTATCGACATTGTAAACACAAAGTAAACCAAAAGGTCCACACACGTTTTTGTGTCTGCACTCATTGACATCGTTAATGGTACAGCAGTGTGAAATGTCATCAACCGGCCGTTTCAGCTGTCTCTCATGGTAGCATCTGGAACTGCTCATTTGTGGCGTCATTCGGACTTTACGTCACAATATGATTTGAATGGCGTTATCACAGCTGGCGGCCGTAACAATACAATATGGTGGCGATGTTAAGAACACAGTGACTTTTTGGTCTACTTTTACAGATACAGGACAAGGTGGAATAAGTTCCTTACACCCATTGGATCTGTCAATGCTGTTCTATGTAATGATGAACCCTCATAGCCGACCTTGACCTTGCGATCACATTAGATACAGTGGGAGTGTATAACATGCAGCTGTGCCACTATCTCTGATAGAGAACAAGTGGTTTAATCTACAGTGTTCATTCTCATTGGTGAAGAAGTGACAAACCAGTGACCAACCAGTGACAAAAATGTGGGGTCACAAACCTGGTGAAATAATGTTTCAAAATTAACTATATCACTTTGTTGATTATCCGTCATGCCAACTTCAGCAATCTAAGTGTAAGCTTACCATTACATACCTAAAAAGTCAAAATAGTTGATCAACAATCTGTTTAAAAATTCAGGTATGTTAGATGTACGGTGACATTTTGTGACAAGTCTCCTCACAGCACTAAATTGCTTCTTGAACTCTATACTGGGAGGGTAAAGAAGGTCACACACTGCGATGGAGCTTACTGCATCTAGTGCCTCGAGCACGCTGCTTACTTCCCAAGTAAACAATAGTATCAGTAAGTGAAGCATGTGTACACATCAGTGTTAGTTACTATAACAGACTGGCACCCATACACAAAAATGAGTGAGTTTAGCTTTACACCGCACTCAGCAAAGTTCTAACTATATGCAGCGGTCTGTAAATAATCGAGTCTGGACCAGATAATCCAGTGATCAACAGCATGAGCATCGACATGAGCACGCACCTACGGAAATCGATTCGGATACGATGACATTTGTCAACCAAGTCAGCGAGCCTGAACATTACGACAAGCATGGGTTACTGAAGATCAATTCTAATCCGGATCTTCACGGGTCAGATTACTTTGTGATTTATTTAAAGTAATTATAGTTCTAGAGAATAAAAATATCATGGAGAACATAGTAATACTGTACATCATATTTGAAATCCTTGTTGGTATTCTGTTATGAAATGTTTAAGAATGTACATTGCATCAATGCTTGTAAAACTATCTGGAGAGGGTTCGATGGACGACAATAACTCACTATGTTTGTCCTTGTCCTTGTCTGATTTGTCCTTGTCCCCTTTGTCCTTCTTGTCCTTTTTGTCCTCTTTGCCGTCCTTGCCTTTATCTACAGGACATGCACATGACAATATACTAAACTACAGTGGATGAGTGAGTGAGAGAGTTTTATTCCGCTTTGAACAGTATATCAGTTACAGTTTAAAGTGTGTTGGCTTGATGTGGTAACTTCATCCTAAAGGGATGTACATCTTAGACATTTATCAATTTGATGTTCAGTGGGGGACCTGGGTTTTTAAGCATTCTCTTTTGGCATTTACATATCTGGTTCTTATAAATCTTTAACTCTTAACATCTGCTTTACAACAACGATCGTTTGACTTAATTTCAAACTCTCACTTAATGTACGTTAAGCTAGACTGCCCGACTCCGTTACTATTAACAGATTACGCTGTGAGTGAGTGAGTAAGTGAGTTTAGTTTTACGCCGCACTCAGCAACATTCCAGCTATATGGCAGCGGTCTGTAAATCATCGAGTCTGGACCAGACAATCCAGTGATCAACAACATGAGCATCGATCTGCGCAATTGGGATGCGATGACATGTGTCAAACAAGTCAACGAGCCTGACCATCCGATCCCGTTAGTCGCCTCTGCTTACGACAAGCATGGGTTGCTGAAGGTTCATTCTAACCTGGACCTTCATGGGTCAGTTTACTTTGTGATTTATTTAAAGTAATTATAGTTCTAGAGAATAAAAATATCAGGAACTATGAGATTTTAAAATGCGGGTTTGATTATTTTTCAGATATTTTTAACACAGCTCATTTCAAATTGGGTGATTACAAACATGAAATTGCACATCTCATGCCCTTGCAATGTCTCAAATCAGGGTGATTCTGGCACTTGATCCAATGATCAGAAGACTCTGATAAGCCATACAGACTTAACATCAGCAAAGCGACATGTGTTACCAGTACCTTGCCCGAGCCTAAAACCTTCAGGCAGAACGTTAACACTTCTAATGATGATAGTTTTGTTCTGGTGGGGAATAACACATATAGGAGTGAACAAACCGACAAATGAGTGTAGCAGGTGAGTGAGTGAGGGCATGCTCCTGAAAACAACTGATTTGATTCTTAGTCTTTCTGTGAAAGCCTTCACACGGCAAGCTAAAGTTTGACAACACATGTTGTTAAATGTTTTAAAGTTGTCAAACTTGCGTTTTTACACGTCAAACACATGTCAAACTTTCGAGTCATTTGAGCGCCATGTCTCTATCGGTGCGGTCACGTGACAATTTCGTTGACTGCAATTGGTTGTTTCTGAACAACACGAGTTTGACAACACTTCACATGTCAAACTCGAGTTTGACAACACCGAAAGTTTGATGGAAAAGATGGTGAGAATAGAGGCCGATCCTATTTCTTGACAACAGTTTGACAACTCTGAAATTGGTGTTGGAGGCAAGTTGTTGGAATGTTCACACTCTCAAACCCGAGTTTCACAACATGTGTTGTCAAACTTTAGTTTGCCGGATGAAGGCCGCTTAAGTGAGTTTGGCTCAATGCTGCTTTAAATATTCAGTGATGTCACATGATTTTCATGAAGAAAACTAACAGGAGAACTACTTCATACACTCATTGATCTCTGTGCATGTCAAGGATGAATTCAGGATTCAAACTTGTACAGAACGGATATGTTATTCTGATATAAATGTAATTTTTGGAATAAAATTTATATTTTATACTTATCCTGACTCATGCTCTTTTGCTTGTCTTCTTCTTCTTGCGGAACATAGTGGAACTTGTATCTCCCTAATTGAAGCTCCCTTCAATTTAAAATCACTAATTAGTATTCACCACGAGTTACCTCCCTTCCACAAGCCCGGGCTTGAGGGCGAGCCACCTCTACCCATGTGCCTCACTCTCTCCTCATATACTGAGCCCAACATTTGAATTTACAGGGAAATCCAAAGTGTTATGTGGGGAGGATGGGAGGGCTGACCTCATGAGTCAGGATAAGTATAAAATATCAATTTTATTCCAAAAATTACATATTTTTTTCTTATCCTGACTCATGCTCTTTTTACACTTGTAGAATCCTACAGAGCGGAGGTGGGAATATCTAATACTTTGGATTTTTAATAATTAGTGATTTGAACTGTGATGATTGTAATAACCCTATGGGAACTTCATAAAGGCACTGAACTGATGAATTCCTGCTGCTAACTTATCAGCTGCCATATAAAGGTTATTACCATGTACTTATTATGATAAAGTATATATAAACATTAATACAATGCTTAAGACTAATACACTTAAGCTTGTTAATATGCTAGTATAAACTCCTTAGAGTTTGTTAGCTAAAATACTTTAAGATATAAACATAGTACTAAGCTTAAGATATGATTAAACTTAAGCTAATTATATAATAGCAAACTCTTTAGAGTTTGTTAGTTAATATACTTATATGATATAGATATAATGCTGAGCTTAAGATATGAATAATCTTTAGGCTACATATATAATAGCAAAACTCTGTAGAGTTTGTTAGCTAATATATTTTATAATATGAGTATAATTACTGTGCTTAAGCTATAATTAACTTAAGCTACATATATAATAGCCAAACTCTGTAGAGTTTGTTAGCTAATATATTTTATAATATTAGTATAGTACTGAGCTTAAGATATAATTAACTTAAGCTACATATATATAGCAAAACTCCTGTAGGGTTTTGTTAGCTAATATATTTTACAATATGAGTATAGTAGTGTGCTTAAGATATAATTAACTTAAAGCTACATAAATAATAGCAAAACTCCGTGAGAGTTTGTTAGCTAATATATTTTACAATATGAGTATAGTAGTGTGCTTAAGATATAATGAACTTAAGCTACATATATAATAGCAAAACTCTGTAGAGTTTGTTAGCTAATATATTTTACAATATGAGTATAGTATTGTGCTTAAGATATAATTAACTTAAGCTACATATATAATAGCCAAAAAACTCTGTAGGTTTATTAGCTAATATGTTTATAATGTAACCATAGTACTAGCTTAAGATAAGATTAGACTTAAGCTAAATGTATATAGCAAAATAAACTCCTTAGAGTTTATTAACTAATATACTTCTTTTTTATGTTAAAAACATAGTACTGAGCTTAAGATATTTAAAAGCTTAAGCTATATATATATAATAACAAAACTCCGTCGAGGTTTTGTTAGCTAATACTAACTTTATAATGTAAACATACTGCTTAAGATATGATGAAACTTAAGCTAATTGTATAATAATGAAAACAACCCTTTAGAGTTTGTTAGCTAAAATACTTATATGATATAAACCTAGTATTGAGCTTATGAAGGAAAACTTAAAGCTACATATAATAATAGCAGAACTTCTAGAGTTTGTTAGCTAATACATGTTATAATGTAACCATAAAGCTTAAAATATGATGAAACTTAAGCTTAAATATATAATAGCAAAAACCTCTTTTAGAGTTTTGATAGCTAATATACCTATATGATATAAACATAGTACTAAGCTTTAAGATATGAATAAGCAAGTTACATATATAATAGCTAAAACTCTGTAGAGTTTGTTAGCTAATACATGTTATAATATAACCATATTGCTTAGAAATATGATGACACTTTAAGCTAAATGGCAAAAACTCTTTAGGAGTTTGTTAGCTAAACTACTTATATGATATAAACATGAGTAATGGCTTAAGATATGAATAAGCTTAAGCTACCTATATAATATAAGCAAAACCCTTAGAGTTTGTTAGCTAATATATTTTAATAATATGAGTATAGTACTATGCTTAAGGTATAATTAGCTTAAAATTACCTATATAATAGTAAAACTCAGAGTTTGTTAGCTAATGCAATTATCATGTTACCATAGTATTACTCTTAAGATATGAATAACTTAAGGTAAATATATATAATAACAAACTCTGTAGAGGTGGAGCTTGTTAACTTATATATTGTATGATGTAATAATCATGCTAGTACTGTGATGATAAAAGGAACTTAAGTAAATTATATATAGCATGAAGCTATTTAGTATTGTTATAAGATAAGTAAAAATCTGTTAGATTGACTTATCTTCTCCGGAACTGTCAGCTGTTGTGCAGGGACCATGGGATCGAATTGGTGTATACCTGAGACGTCCTCGGTGGTGATATCTCTCTCAGATAATGGTTTGCAACCACCATATCGGATTTCCAGAAATAAACCCTCCATTATTTCAATCACATTTGTGTAGAACAATTGTAGAAGTTAGCTAATATCATGAGTATTAAGCTCATGGAGGGTCGGAATAGGTCCATCCGCATATGCACGTAGTATGACAGTTCTGATCCAAACGGAGATATAGTACATGAGACTTCACCTGGCGTAAGTTGATGATAGAGGAAATAATCTGTTGCATTTTTTTTTCCTCCTGTTTGGTTCGGTGGAGATAAATTTACAGTGCTCTTTGGCTGGCCATCGATAGAATCATCGTATCATGGGGTCCAAGTATGTCATCCAGGATGTATTCATAAACCTCACTTGTGAGGTGTTGGAGCACCATATTCATATCCCCAGGTTGGGCGTGAAACTTCCGCTTTATTCTCCAAACAGAAGCTTAGTAGGTTTACTAACCATCTAGTAGTGTTAGTCACTTGATGAAATTCAGCTGTAGTCTGAACGCGGCTGTGGATTTAGATCCACTTATATCTTTCGCCTAGGTAATTCGCTCACGAAGTCCTTGACGATGTAGGTGCACAACCAGGTGTATCTGTCCTCGTTGAACTTTATGTAAAATCGCTTGACTGCCGATCCCTCGTGCCTTAACTTGACAGGGGAGGTCTCTAACTTGAAGAAGGCAGTCTAATCATGAATGTTCAGGTTAACTGGACTGTAATGAGGCTTGCTTTCGCTCACTGATATATAGTTGTCACTTGTGACGTAAGTCTTGAACTGTGAATTGAGATCGACCTCTGCGTGGAGGTCGTTGTCCCTCGCGATCCAATCAGAACAAGGCATTTTGATTCTGTATAATACCCGCGCTGTGATGTCACGGTGTAGCGGGAAAAAACCCACCCTTGAATAAATTCTTGTCGCCGTTGATATTAGCATAAACGTCCGGTCTTCACCGTAGCTTCCCTCGGTTATCCGGAAAGACCACGTGTTCCCGAGGTTTAATGGTAACCGCTGAAACCTCCGGTGGCCAAAATATCTGGCTCTGTAATTTTATGCTGGGTAGGTTATTTTCCTGGTTGTCGTGGAAAGTAATTTCAGTTTTGAATATAATTCCGACTTCCTTCTATATAAGGGTACAAACAACTTGCAAGTTGTGAGCTTGTAGACTGTATACATGAATGTATCGTCATAATTGTAGAATTAACATTGAACTTGTTGTCCATATTTCTTCTCAGAAACTTTGACGATTAAGAGTTATACTTTCGCTGTAACAAGGCTGCTGTTCAATTTTCGATATTGAATTGTCTGCAGATATCGCGTAATGGTCAGCATGTAGATAAACGTGTCGTCGTCCGGGATTGCATATTAGCAATTTATAACGAATAGTTGATTTCTGTGAAGATCTATGAAATGTCGCTGACTAAATAATACAGCGGCGCTCTGTGTTGTAAATAGCCTGAACAATTATCTTCGCAGTGAGGCTTATAGACAGCATCAGGCATACAGTTGATAATCAACTTATGCGACGCCTTGAACGGACTGACGAGTAGCTATATATGACGCCGGTGGCTGGTATATAGAAACCTTTGGAGGAGACTTCCTCGGTGAACGCTGGAGACTTCGCGAAGTTCTCGAAGTATCCCTTCTAGATCTTCTGGGTGAAGTAGACTTGGAGCCACTTTAGCCTTAGCGACCATCGCTGAAGGTATCGAAGTTAAAAGCCGATTAGTATATATATATATATATAAATATATATATGAGCTTTGCTTCGTGAACAGCCTCTGTGTTTAACAGGATGTGGGATCGGTGAAGCGGCTTGCCTAAGTAGGGCCGCATGGATCATCTTATCATTTTCAGAAGTAGGTTACGAAGTCTGGTGATAAGTGTCTAATTGATCGCTCTAGATCTATTTAGGCCAGCGAACATACCGCCTCTCGTCATGGATTCAACAGAACCAATATACGATTGTAGTTCTTATACTTGATATTGATGATCAACTTGTCTATGGGTTGATCTTCGGAGACTTGTGAGGGGAACGTTGATAGTTTCGCTGAAGCTCTTGTATAGTCCCTCGATGTCCTTCTAGATGATGATGATCTGGATTCAGGTGTCGCCATAAGATGCCTTGAAGCTTCCTCTGCGTCGGTCCGGGGAACGACGATATGACCTTGCGAAGGCTTCCGTGATGTCTGATGGTCCGAGTCCACATCTAGGGATGAAACGCATATGGTGATGATCTATCCTGCCTTCAAGCGAAGACCTTCGCTGGCTGTACATCTAGGTCCTTCCCGCTTCCGCCGAAGGCTGTACATCTAGGTCCTTCCCGCTTCGCTGAGGGCTGTACATCTAGGTCCTTTCGCCTTCGCCAAGGCTGTACATCTAGGTCCTTTCCGCCTCTCGCGAAGGCTGTACATCTAGGTCCTTTCCCTTCGCGAAGGCTGTACATCTAGGTCCTTTCCGCCTCAGCGAAGGCTGTACATCTAGGTCCTTTCCGCCTTGCTAAGTCCTTCGCGAAGGCTGTACATCTAGGTCCTTCGTCCAAGGTGGTCCGTGGACTTCCTTCGCTAAGGTGACATCGCCCTGGCTGCTCGTTGACGGGGTGCCTCTGGGGTGCTGTCACGTTGGAGCCTTCCTTGAAGGCTTCGGTCCCTGCTTATGCAGTCTGTAGTGGTCCCCGATCATGGTCATAATTTGCGCATCAGGTCCTCAGGGATGGTCTATGCGGTGAGGTCGCCGGTGCCTTATCTGCGTGTTAATGGAGGGGTCCACAGGAAAATCGTCCGACATCAGTGTAGAGGCATCAGGCTGCATGGTGATCTCTGCTGATGTCGTTAGCTGTCACCGGTCGTTTCTTGTGGCGATGCGCCGGGATGATGATCAGCTGATCATCGTTAGAGGTCCAGGTCATCGGCTGGAACAATCTCGGTTGAGAAAGTCCTAGTAGACTTCGCTGATTTTCCCTCAGAGGTTCGGCGCTGCCCTGGGTGTCGCGGCGCCTGCGCTGAGTGTTGGTAATGATGGGACCCTCAGGACGATCATCGAATATCAGCGTTGGTACATCAGGCTGCATGCTGATCTGTGCCGACATCGGTCAATCTTTTGATGTACATCAGGTATGATGATCGGGCTGATCATCATACAGGCCCAAACTGCGATGGGAAACGATTTTGGCTGTTGAGATGTAGTAGAAAACCCTCTAGTCTTCTGCTGCGGCGATGGGATGTCTGGGGAAGCAGGATGCTTCTTGGAGATGGCAGACTACGTCCCACACCTCTCCACCACTCTAGCGGAACACCACACGGGAGGGGAGTCGGCCAACAGCAGTAGACTGGCGAGGGTTCCGTGTATCAGTCATACTAGACTCTGCATCATGCCGACCTATCTGCTGTGTGTGCCAAACGCCAAAGTAAATATTAATAAAAAGGTAGAATTGGATAAATTAGTACCGCAACTGCAATGTGAATATAATGAACATGGCTACTGCACATCATATAAAGAGGTGGATCAGCAGCAGCATACAAAGCGTAATCTGCAATAGTACAGAATTTTCATCAACGTAATCCACTGAAACAAACACGCAAGCCCCATTGAATAAACTGTAGAAAAGCGACTAAATATCAATATATAATCGCTTGAAGGATACTAGCTAAACCTCTATAGATGTCTATACGAGGTAACTAACTAAATATAATTCAAAGGATATAGTGTGTAGGAGACACAGGCGCCTCCGATCCCAGCTCACTGGGCTTAAGAAGGAGAGAGTGAGGCACATGGGTAGAGGTGGCCCCTCGTTCCCGCGCTTGTGGAAGGGAGGTAACTTCGTGGTGAATACTAATTAGTGATTTTAAATTGAAGGGAGCTTCAATTAGGGAGATACAAGTGTTCCACTATGTTCGCAAGAAGAAGAAGACAAGCAAAAGAGCATGAGTCAGGATAAGAAAAAATACAAGATTTTCAAAATGATAACTCGCTCCTCCTCTGTGTATGTACCTTTGTCCTTGCCATCTTTGGCAGGTTTTTCCTTGCTGCTTCCCTTTTCCCCCGATTTCTCCTTGGCCTCGGGCTTCACCTCCTTCGTGACAGCATCCTTCTCTGACTTTTCATCCTTCTGGGCCTCCTAGGCGTCACAACAAACATGGTCAACATTTGGACAAATTCCAAGCTAATGCAAAGTAAATCCTAAAACACATACTCTGCCATCATGGCAATTGACGTTCTCTGTAATCTCTGCAATTCAAGCTCCTTGCAGCAAATGGCCTAATGTAAAATATTGATGCAGTGTTTAGATGTATGTGATGTAGAGTGTTTAAACAAATACCAAGATGTCTGGCAATATGCCTACAACCTAACAAGCTCATCATATTGTTGATTTGTTTTCAAATTGTGGTCAATAATACACACAGAAGTGAGACAAATCTGTTGGCTAATCCCAGGGAAAACAGTTTGATGTAATCTCTGTACACTGGCACACAAAGGGTATGATAAACCATATACCCCATACACCTACAACATATAAATAATATCCAATAATTTATTATGCCACAAACATTGACAAATCCTTTAGAAATACTAGCCAACAATTATTTGTCAGACATTAGAAGCTAAGGATCAAGGCCACTGTTAATTAGAGTCCCAAACAAGGACAAACACAGAACTCATTAATGTTATCAATACATGTTTTGTTAAACCACCTTGAATCAATGAATAACCGTACTGTCATCAATATTTGTCACAAAATATATGAACTCTGAATTAATTTTCGTTTTAGTATTATTTACAGTAACTTCGGGAATATGAATCATGATTGTCCTATTTTCGATCATGGACATGATCTGTCCTCCGAATTCGATAATCCGACAATTTGCTGTGCAACGGACGATGTCGGATTAATGCGACTTGACTGTTTTAAGAGAGCTGTTTTCTATATCATATCCTATCAAGGATCAAGGGAATTCTGTAATGTCTTCTCTTACAGGGACAAGCGAAAACAATGAAAGTTCAAATACACTTACTACTGGTGTAGTAGGGTCTTTCTTGATGGTCTCCTGGGTGGCTTCTTTTTCCCAGTCCTGTTCCGGCAGCTTCCACTCCGGCAGTGCAACACGAAGCAGATCCCACACCTCACTCATGTGACCATATCTGGGAGAAACAGACACATCAACTTACACTATTACTGGTCCATCGTACACACTACAATAAACATCTATGACAATCAAAAAGGAATTGCTTCCCCAAAATGATTTTACTTTGAGAAGAATGGGCAGTGTAATGCAATAATAAGAATGTTGCAAATGCACACAAATTACTAGACATATTTGTACATTTATGAACACACAAAAACTGTTTATCTTAATATTAATTGGCAACCTTGTAAGAAATACGAGATGTTATACCTTATAACAGATCATTTATCTTAATTTTATTATTTGATTTCTTATTATAATACACAAATTAAAAATAAGTTTCACAAATCCGTCAAATATATCTGTGATGCAATAACCTGCATTTGCTAAAACTTTCAGCTTCTACAATAAAAGAGATAGGACAGAGACATCATCCTTGCCTGACATCCCGTTTCTTACTGCCGGGGCGAGGATGAGCATCTGTTGCAGACTTGCTAGGATGCATGCTAAGCTGAAAATACTTTTCTAGCACTTGACTAGCAGTGACTACAGGCGAGGATTTAACAGCTGCAGAGGGACGGTCAGGCTGCAGACATGCGTCACAGTTGGAGATGTTCAGAGACTTGGGTTGTATAAAGCTTCTGTGATGATCAGAGGTGGTGAACAGAGTGACAGAGCATGGTGACAGGCTAGTGGTTTTGTTAGAGAGAAAGTCTCTTAAATGTCAGTTTCCAAATGAGCCAGTTTTAGAAACTTATACCCCTTTGTAAAGAAGGAAAGCACATTTCAACTTGTTTCATATTCCATGATTGCACCTTTTTTCAAACTTAATTTAATCATGTTAAAAACGTTAAAGTATATCACATTTCTGAATCCAATTCTTCTACTTTCCTCCATACAAATTCCTCCCATTTGGTATTTGTTGAAACTGACATTTTATAAAAACATGATATGGTACACATTCTATTAAACCTGAGAGAATATTTCAACAAACACACCGAGACATTAATTAGTGTTTTCACTTGGAAACACAGAGAAAACACAATTATTTGCACGATGAGGGATAATTCATCTCACAAAAATCAGAGATCAAAGGTTTTGCAATTCTCAAATATCAAATAAAGGTACCATGTTGTACTTCTCTCAGGCTTTAGAAAAACATAATAGTAGATAACCACAACCAATCTTCGTGCTTCATCCACCACATTACACCACAGACTGCTGGAAAGATGTCTACTGGTCATGGAGACATTTAAATTACAAGGACTTAGCCCCTATGTTATAGACTCAGAATCCTGATGAAGTGTTATTTCACGAGTCCTCTCAGAGTTTGCAGCTTGTCATGCTTAAGCTTATGTTTTTTGTCATTTTATTTCACTTTCAGTTAGTACCAAATCTGAAGCACTGAGAAGTGATAAAACATTTCAGCCTTCAAATGCTACAAGTCACAGAGTACAACCATTTAACTTGTCCTCAGCACAATTTATTAGTCTCAGACAAGTAGACCAGAGTGTTTCAAAGTCTGAACTGTCTTCCAGCAATCTTATGGCAAATACTATATTTGAATATGGAATATATACCAGAAGCAAAGTGCACAGTGCCCATGCAAAATAATTCAGGGGTAGACACAATAATTGGAACATATACAACAGTTTCATTACAAGTTTAAGGAAAATACAAAGTTTACAGCATGTACAGTAAAATCGCTTGTCAATGCTATCATTGACTCAAAGAGAAAATTTGAATATATACATTTCTGGGGACCGATATAGTTTTTATTTGTTCTCACTAGGCGGGGAAAGTTTGCTGTAAAAACATTATAAAAGACATGTGAACAGTTCTACACCATCATAGAGTGGACACTGTCTGAGACCAGCATCTGGGAACTCCAGTACTCCACTAAACAGCAAATTTGTGCTTCCAGGAAGAATTTAACAAAACATACAGTAAATATGCTTTTATCTTTGTCCCCATTTAAGTTTTTTATTGGAAAATGACAAATTCTGAGTTGTCAAGCAATATCTAAACCAACACATTTGACCAGTTCTGCATGATGCTTGTTTAGCCAGTGTCCACTGTAGTACCTAGCCATCTAATTACCCTTATCCATATATGTATAGTTGTGTCTGACCCTGTGCTACATGCAGATCTAGCCCTATGACAGACATGTTCCAGACGTGCTTCAGACATGCAGATGTGGAGAGTCAAGGTGAGCTAGCATGGTGCTACTTACTGTAGTGGGATGGTCTCGGGAAGCCAGCCATTCAAACAGTGGACAACGCTGAAGTCTCCAAACTCACAGCTGTTGCTGCCACCGGTGTAACTGAAAACAAGAATCAAACTGAAAGCCACGCAAAATATTTCAATTTTGGTGTATGATACACACCTGTCAGTAGTTTGGGAGTCAGGTCTATTGATATCAAGGGTTAATGTTAAATTTCTTGTTTGTTGTTTAATTCCAGCTATATGGTGGCTGAATAATGGAGTCTGGACCAGATAATCCAGTCATCAACAGCATGAGCATTTATCAACACAACTGAGATATGATGACGTGTGTCAACTAAGTCAGCAAGCCTGACCACCCAATCCCACTAGTGAGTGAGTGACTTTGGTTTTACGGCCGCTTTTAGCAATATTCCAGCAACATCACGGCGGGGGACACCAGAAATGGGCTTCAAACATTGTGCCCATGTGGGGATTCGAACCCAGGTCTTCGGCGTGACGAGCCAACGCTTTAACCATTAGGCTACCCCAACGCCCCAGTAAATGAATGAGTGAGTTTAGTTTTATGACACTTTTAGCAATATTCCAGCAATACCATGGCAGGGAACACCAGAAATGGGCTTCAAACATTGTACCCATGTGGGGAATCGAATCTGGGTCTTCGGAGTGATGAGCAACCGCTTTAACCACTAGGCTACCCCACTGCCCCCCGATCCCATGAGATGCCTCTTACGACAAGTTGTTTTAAGACACCACAAATTAGTGGTTGATAGTCTCAGAGCATTCCACATTATTCTTAGGTCTTGTTAGAACTTGATGAAGAAAGAATGTAAATGGAGAGTAAAATGCTGATTTGAGACAAACTACTCACTCAAGAGAAGCAACTTTGATCAATGCTTTGGCTAGCAACATTGGCCAGAGCTCCTCCTGTAGAGTGGTTGCTGGCAGCAACAGACGTTCCTCACTGTCAAATGGTAGACTGTCATCCACATAGATCTTCCTCCAGCAACCCTAGAAAATAAGCTCAGAAATGTTTGGTGGAACTCCAAGCTGGAAGTCATAAAAACCAATCAGGGCTACAGGTATCAGAAATATAGACACATTTTGCTCAGAACTTAAGGGTCCATTGCAGAGTCAATAATGATTGACCGTGAAGCAATGGCAAAGCTTTTGGGCATTTAAACATTTACACTGGTACATTTTTATTCAAAATGGATGAAATCAGACAAGACAGCACATTTTTCAGTCTAGGCCTAAGGATGAGTGTAGAATTTACTTCCCTAGTTCTTACAGTTTGTCACTAGTTCGGATTAAAAAGGCAAAACACATTTATTTTTTGTGTGTGTTTTCATTTTCTGAGAGTTATATTTAGTTTCAGATTTAAGCAGAGTTAAGAAGTTGTTAAGAACTAAAGCTCTCAACTGCTAATTTTACCTTGTCCTAAGCACAATTTAGTAGCCCTGGCACTAGACTGGCATAACTTCTTAAGGCTACAACAATGCCCCACACTTACCATCCAGTACAATCTGACGACATATTTCCCGTGAGAGTTATACAGCGGCATGTGTGGACCCTTCCCAGCCTTGCACAGAGCATAGATGTGCTCCCATGGCTTCCAGCTGTGACTGTCATCATCTCCAGCCATCATGCTGCCAGGATCCGGCGTCTTCACGGCGCTCATCTCCCACAGTGCAGAAATCTGGCTGATTATGTAGCGCATTAACTGAAAAAAAAGGAAATGATATTAACTCCTTCTTAGAATTCTGGGTGAGAATGAGGTTTTGTTATATGATCAAAATTTGGAACAACCTTGACAAACTCTTTGGACAAATTTGCATATACTGTATGTAACAGACAATTAATGGCTTTCCCAACCAAACATTTTCTAAATATATTTTCTACAAGCATCACCTCCATCTTCTGCTGTGCACGGAGAAGGGAACACATGCATGGACCTTGTGTTAACAGTGCAATTAGACATTCAAACCATTAGACCAGAGCATGGAGAATAGACATGATAACAAACAGACCTCACTGAGCATCTAGATTACATCCCAACCTACAGACCAGAGCATGGAGAATAGACATGATAACAAACACACCTCACTGAGCATCTAGATTACATCCCAACCTACAGACCAGAGCATGGAGAATAGACATGATAACAAACACACCTCACTGAGCATCTAGATTACATCCCAACCTACAGACCAGAGCAGAGCATGGAGATTATCCCAACCTACAGACCAGAGCATGGAGAATGACATAACAAACACACCTGAGCATCTAGATTACATCCCAACCTACAGACCAGAGCATGGAGAATAGACATGATAACAAACACACCTCACTGAGCATCTAGATTACATCCCAACCTACAGACCAGAGCATGGAGAATAGACATGATAACAAACACACCTCACTGAGCATCTAGATTACATCCCAACCTACAGACCAGAGCATGGAGAATAGACATGATAACAAACAGACCTCACTGAGCATCTAGATTACATCCCAACCTACAGACCAGAGCATGGAGAATAGACATGATAACAAACACACCTCACTGAGCATCTAGATTACATCCCAACCCTACAGACCAGAGCATGGAGAATAGACATGATAACAAACACACCTCACTGAGCATCTAGATTACATCCCAACCTACAGACCAGAGCATGGAGAATAGACATGATAACAAACACACCTCACTGAGCATCTAGATTACATCCCAACCTACAGACCAGAGCATGGAGAATAGACATGATAACAAACACACCTCACTGAGCATCTAGATTACATCCCAACCTACAGACCAGAGCATGGAGAATAGACATGATAACAAACACACCTCACTGAGCATCTAGATTACATTCCCAACCTACAGACCAGAGCATGGAGAATAGACATGATAACAAACACACCTCACTGAGCATCTAGATTACATCCCAACCTACAGACCAGAGCATGGAGAATAGACATGATAACAAACACACCTCACTGAGCATCTAGATTACATCCCAACCTACAGACCAGAGCATGGAGAATAGACATGATAACAAACACACCTGAGCATCTAGATTACATCCTAACCTACAGACCAGGGAGAATAGACATGATAACAAACACACTTCACAAAGCTCTCGTAAACCTAAGATCTCAGAAGATCCTCTTTTCTCAGAGCAATCGTACCTCCTATACTGTAACATTGACTTACGATAGTCGTAGCGCTACGAGAGCTTTGTGAAACGGGGCCCTGAGCATGGAGAATAGACATGATAACAAACAGACCTCACTGAGCATCTAGATTACATCCTAACCAACAGATTAGGGTCCCGATCCACAGAGCGGTCGAAGTGCTGTGACATTTGTAAGCCTATGGTAAACAATAGAGCTACAATAAGTTGTAACGTTACGAACGCTTGTGGATCGGTGCCGATAGACATACAAACAGAAAAGATCCTCAAGAAAAGACATCTGAACCAACAGACTAGACCATTGGGACTAGACATCCTTACCAACAGTCCAGATCATCTAGATTAGACATGCTGATAAAAAACAACAGCATCTCGATTAGACATCCTAACAAACAGACCAAAGGACCTATATAGATTACCAGCTTAGATACACTTACGAACAGACCACAGGATCCACACTAAACATCCTAACCAACAGACCATAATAATGAGATTACACATCCCAACCAGCAGACCGCAGTATCAAGTATAGCCACACTAACTAACAGACCACAACATCTGGATTGATCACTTGAGGATACTCAAGCGGCAAACATTTTCTCTATAAAACTGTCTGAATAATAAATTGCCCATGAACACAAACGAAGCGGATAAAGTATTAAAAATACAGTATAATGCATCAATAATTTCTACCTTCTTAAAACATTTAATTCCAATTTTATCAAACCAAATTCATCAACACTATTGACGAGCCAAATAATTAAAAGGGTACAATCAATGACGCTCTTCATGAGAAAAAAAGTTAACCGAAGCTCAGGTGGCCCTGACTACGGATAATCACCCAAATTAATCCAAATCTCAGTAATACGAAACAAATGATCAAGGTAATCTTCTTATCTTTAAATTCAATTAAGCAAGCACACAGGGCTTATAAATAATCATCTCGTGACAGGTCAATACCAATGTCAATCAGACCTCACAGCTGGCACAGATGTCTATTTCTCGTTCATTTCACCCACTACTGGGATGACATGACATTCAACTCCAGGCTTACTTCACTGCACGGGGATGTTTATTTCAGTAATTACACCAAAGGTTAATCCCTTGACAGTGAAGAACAACACTGGTTTCTTCAAGTCCTTTTTCAGTGCTCGTAAAACCATTTCCGAGTAATCGTGTACCAACCAGATGCCACTGCACCTTGTTAAGCCCGTAAAAACACATTCTCATTTCAGGTAATTCCACTAATGCTTTGAATTTCAAGACGTTACCATGTGACATTGCTGTGGCAATATTGGCATGCATGTTGTTTCAGGATTTTTTTCTTTCAGCATGAGTTCACAGAAAGATTGATTTAATGAAGAGATAATGAACAGTTAATGAACATTCAAGGCACTGAAATATGAATTTGGAAATTTGATATTTCAGAGCATCAAATTCTCAAAACCACAAAACATGAAACACATATATATTGCTATTGTTAATATGGAATGCTCTCTGTACTATTCAGCTGCTTTCTCTTTAACTTGTACTTAAACATCCATGAGATTGAGAAGTAGTATGATGTCAGTCATGAAACAAAGACCAACATTTGCTTCCACGATAACTATGGTTGCCTTGTTTGCAGAATACGAGAAAAGAACACAATTAAAAACCTTTTATCCAAAAAGTAAAAAGAAAAGGTAAAATGTGTTAAATATGACGTAGTCTCACAGAGATGTAAATGCATGTGTGTTTCTAATAATCACAGTAATGTATGTAGTTTATTACATTATTATATTATGTCCATATACAAGGAGTACAAGTGCTAACATAACTACGCCGGTCACTGGATCAATGTGCACTACAACCAGACGCTAGGTTAAAAATCAAATGACCATCTCATCCCACCAGGTACCCATTCACTGCTGAGTGAACAGAGGCAATGTTAACTGAGTCACTTGCCTAAGGTAAGACAACATGTGTAACATGGACACCCATCCAAAGACTCTCTGTCACCAACTTTGCGTAACTTCAACTGATTTGTCACTTGTGATTCTTGCACACAACCACACACTGCCACCTGTGTTAGTGTGTGTGTATGGCTGCTTGTTGGAGTCTGGGCTGATGCCGGTTCAATGGTGCTAGCCCACTGAGATACCCAGACACGGCTTAACAGGTATATTCATTAATCAAATGTGTATACATGTTTGGTGCATATTCATATATTTGGCTTAATATAATCACACAGGTTTGAAGCAAAGGTTTTTGATCAGGAAGATAGTATTTCATTGTATTCCAGTTACACAGATGAGTGAGTATGGTTTTACGCCGCTTATAGCAATATTCCAGCAACATCACGGCGGGGGACACCAGAAATCGGCTTCACACATTGTACCCATGTGGGGAATCAAACCCATGTCTTCGGTGTGACGAGCCAACGCTTTAACCTCTAGGTAACCCCGCCACCCCAGTTACACAGATGAATGCTCACAAGGTCAATCATTGGATCCTGACTCGATTTTTTCCAGAGCAGCATCACATAGCAGGAATATTGCTAGGTGAGGCATTAAACTTCAAAACAAAAACAAAAATATTGTGGAGCAAATGACATGAGAATTGTTAAAACTAGATCATACACATTACCTTAATTTCACTGACTAAGCAGATGGACAAACACAATGATAGAACAAGTGAAATGACAAATCTGCTGATCACGTTTTCACTATTAGTTACTTGTAAAAACTCAAACTGATAATAAATAATCTGTAGTTCATGTTCATTAAAAAGTTCTTAAAGTTACATCCAAACACATCAAAATGATATTTCTGTGACGAATCAAAAGATCAGGACAGACCATGAAAACCATCCTAATTACTCCCAGATTATCTGCTCAAAATAATGTCTTGCATAATGATAATCATTTTTATCCTGTCAAGCTGAAGAGAAAAGTTTTTAAAAAATCACTCGTGGCCATTTTCATTCACTTGACGAGGGAAACATGTTACTTTCCAAGACAAGAGCATGTCTCCTATTTATTATCATCAGTGTACCTAATTATTCCTGACAAATGAAGTATATTTCCAAATGTCCATAAAATTAAATATTTGACTTACTTCACTCTCGTGCAAATGCTCATTTGGCGATATGAGATCAAATCCATTGGCAATCTGTTCCTGATCAACAACGGTCAATATCTGAAAGATTTACAAAGATAAGACTTCATTGATACAGCATGCAAGTAAAATAAATCAAAAGAACTCTACTACCTCTATTTCTTTTTGTTCATTAAAAGACAAATAACATATCATTACAAGACAATACTAATTAAATCCAAATAACAAATACATGTTTTAGAGCAATTCTTGAAGTTACAGTTAATCAATCTACAATTCATTTTAATTTAATTAATTACTTCCCTACACATCTCCTTTGACGTGAGATGCATTCTTCTTCCTGAACCTCACTTATTGATGAAATCATTAAACACACAGAACAATTAATTTTCCTCTTCATCAACTCTGTTCTTAATGATTTCCTCATGAAAGTTCAAATTCACCAAGACCACTGAATATTCCCCAAAGACAGTCCCGAGGTAAACATACCTTATCGGCAATGAACTCGTGTGGTCTCTTCCAATGATCCACTTTGAGTGATGGCGGCATTTCAATTTTACCGTCCGGGTCATCAAAGAGATGTTGTGCCTAAACGAAACCGATGATATGAAATCAACGACCCTTCACTATGCACGACACAATGACAGGCAGTTTAAAGACACTCTAATCAGCACATCAAATACAAGCCACAGACAGTGTGTCTCTTTTTCAGCAATTAATTAAATTTAATAGTTTCAAGTAAATGTTCAATAAAAACACATAAACAGTGATAGTTTCTTTATGCATTTGACAGACATGCAGCAAGGAAAGGAGATTGTATGAAAAGAGAATACAGAACAAAAATATGAAAACTTTAGTATAATGGATGAAAACAGATGAAACAAATCAATATGAAAACAAAGAACATTATCAAGATCAGGCTGTGTTGCTAGTTGCTGTTTTTCCTCCTAAATGACAATTTCAATATATTTTTTGTAATCTCATTACACGTATATCATTTATTAATATTCTTCTCTGTGTATGCAAACAGACAAAACAAATAAATATGATTACAAAAACATCATTATCGAGCTGTGTGTTGCTAGCTGCTGTTTTTCCTTCAGAATGTGGCAATCTTTTCAACATAATTTTGCAATCTCATTACAAATATGTCATTTATTAATCTTCGTAACTGTCCATGACAAGAGAGGAGATGTAAAAATATGAAACCAAACGAACATCATAATGATCAGGCTCTGTGTTGCTAGTTGCTGTTTTTCTTTAAATGTAACGATGCTAACATATATATTCTACATCCTCATTAGAAGTATGGCATTTATTAATCTTCTTTTCTCATTATGCATTTTGTCTGGATGAAATCTTGTTTCGATTCATCCCCAATATGTTATATTAAGAGGTAAGATTCCCCCTTCACTCTGCAAATGCAATGGCATAAATTCTGGCAAGTGAATAAACCAATACCTATCTGTCTATTAAACTAAGACGACATTGGGCTCAGGGTTGTATTATACAAACATCTGTGACCCACCCCCATTTTAAGTAAGTATCATCTTTTTGTGTCCCCCACCCCACACCCAAACAATACAACCCTACTATTACAAATGACCAGTCCCTCAGTAGCATCCTGTTATAGTTCTGATAAGTTGTGACCAATCCTTTCTTCACTCTCTCATGTTTCATATGTTATATTCACCATTAGTGGTGAGTACTGGCCGAAACTCATTGCTCGATTAATCCCACAGAACAACACTGAAGTTGGTTCGGATTATCACTATTTTAGCATAAGGAAAGTCAACATTTTATAACTAGAACATGAGAAACTCCAAATATCTATGTCTGATGACTGCATGGTCATTACATGGCTAGCGTTTTTTACATAATTGTGGATGTTCTGAAATAGATTTTATAAGATTTTATATGCTGTTTGATTGCAAATGACTAATGTCCTTTTTGGCAGCTACTGACTTTGCACCAAAATGTAATCGATCAATCGGCACGTAAATTTGTCTCATTTAATTATATACCTGAGTTATCTTATTTGGACCAATCAGATTCAAGCATTCTTAGCAATGGACTGTTAGCATAAAGAATATTAACCTAAACAATTCTGAAATACCCTGGATAGTACACCTGGCATGTCCACATGGCACCACATAATGATCGCGAAGCGATGTCATGACTTAATCTACTGCAACTGTACAACACTCACCGCTGTAGGAGATTTCCCTTTCTTGTCATCTTTCCGTGCAGCCTCCTGTCATAACAAATGAAAGAAACATTGTACTCGCTGATACTAACATAACATTGTTGAAGACAGTCCCTGTCATAACACACTGCAGCACGCAATAGACGTTGTACCTGCTGAAATCTACATGTTTCTGCTTTAGAGTGTTACCATAACTTCAGTGTGTGCCAAATTATAATACTGTTCCAGAAAAATATCTGGACAAAGAGTTTAAATTTCTTTAATGTATGATAAGTATGTAAATCTGAAACATTCTTACAATAGTATCTAATTTTAATTTAAGTTTCAATGGCTATCTGTAATTCACTTGTGAACATACAATGAAATTATCAGTTATTTCAAATTATTTTCAATTTGCTCTCAAAACAAACATGATGAAAATGGCAAAATAGAGTAGAAGATCATTTAATTGCTTTTACATAATACATGTGCACATGCTTTCAATGCATTCCTCTAACACACCAAGGTGAGTGAGTATTGCCACTATTCTTGCAGTGGCAGCCATCAATGAAACATGCTTCAGTTTCATAGCTACGTTGAAAATCAAACCTGCATTTTATGTGTAATGAAAAGACGTTTTTACTGTGTCTACAAGTTTGTCTACTTACACAAGTATCTCGTTAACAAGCTAACAGCATCATGCTCGTAGAATTAGAATACAATCCAAAAAAACACACATGAATATCACACAAATGAATCGATCATGTAATAATGATATATATATAGCTTAAGAAGAAATTCAAGTCACGGAAACAGTTTTTATCGAACTGAAATAGCATCTGTCAGACTGATGGTATGGGAAATCAGCATTTGTTCAGGAACGAATGTGGCGTAGTTGACATGACATAAATATACCTGGTATCCAATCAATGTACCTGTGTACCGCTGGAACAGCGTGACATAACGATTGCAGGGAACGTGATCTGTATCGTCTTGTTTTCATTACAAACAGTTATACTCCAAACATCTTGCCGATCTCAGGAATTTAAGAGTGAAATAAATATTTAGGATAAACTGATTCTACTAAGAAAATATTTCGAATTCATCATGGGTTGCAATTGCTTCAGATTCTGGATCAAGTTCTTCAAGAATGGTAAAACCGGATGGTTCTCATTTTGCATATGGGCAGCTATAGTTTAGCAGTTTGAGATGTAAGACTGGGTGCATTTCATAATTTGAATAATCCAAGGTAAAATACAAATTACTGATGAAAAAAAGGATATTCAATATCATCTTTACTGTTGTCGAAATATACGCATGAAACCCATCAACACATATTGCACAATTAACTCAGTGAAAATATTATAGACTACAGAAATTGGTAATCATTAACTAAATATTGAGCGATTATCAATAAATATCAGAAAATTAACTTTGATAATAAACAGCAAAACAAGTCTGAAAGAAATCACTATATTTCAGATAACAGGTGAGTGGAGACAGATTTATGCATGGAGTACTAACGAAGAATGCCTGAACATAATTTCAAAGCCACTCTTCAATAAAGACCTGTGTATAGTGTGCTTTATATTGAAACTATACTTCATTAAAATATTTTATGAAATATGATATCAATGACACAATTTTCGTATATTAAAATTGATATATTATTAATATTTCCAATTATCAATCTTATATGTTTTAAGCCACTTTTAGCAATATTCCAGAAATATCTGGGGACACCAGAAATGGGTTTCACACATTGTACCCATGTAGGGAATTGAACCTGGGTCTTCGGTGCCACAAGCGAACACTCTAAGCACTAGGCTACCCCACCGTCCCTCTAAACTTTTGAGGTTGCTAGCCTGAACGGGGCTCTCAGCATGTGTTAACATATGGACTTTATGCTGAATATATTAGAATGAACAGAATCATGGTTCAGACCTGTGGTTCAGACTTGTCACTTAAGACACTGTTATATGGCTCTCAGTCAAAGCATCAACTTGTCTGTGAATTGTACAAATATTTTTCACAAAAATCAGGCAATACAAAGCTTTGGAACTTTAAAATTGTCAGGTGGCACATCAAACAATGGAACAAATGTATGTAACATAATTAATATTGGCACTGAACCAGTACAGTGTGACCACTGGATGTACACCATGTCTTTACCTCAGCATATCAAGAAAACAAGTACAAGTAAATGGAAGTTTTCATTGGCAGCTAACATGATCAAGAGTGAGTGAGTTTAGTTGTACGCCACACTCAGCAATATTCCAGCTATATGGTGGCGGTCTGTACATAATCGAGGCTGGACCAGACAGTGATCAACAGCATGAGCATCGATCTACGCAATTGGGAACCGATGACATGTGTCAACCAAGTCAGCGAGCCTGACCATCCGATCCCGTTAGTCGCCTCTTACGACAAGCATGGATTACTGAAGATCAATATTCTAACCCGGATCTTCACGGGTACATCATCAAGACATTCACATAGTTATAATACTATCTTTAAAAGTTTTTTTACTGGTTGCTTTGAGGAAAAACAAGGAAAATGCATTCACCAAATAAATATTACAGCTTGACTTAAATTACCAGTTCGTATGGTTCTTAGTCCGTGGTGCATGACTGAGGTACACAGCTATTTTGTGAAATGAAACTTCAACATCCTGCTGTGTAACATTAATCAAGCTTATTTAGTAATAAATAAATCCTGGAGATTGTGTGTCAACGTCAGCTGATCAGCGAGAGCTACCAAGCTCTGGTTCAGTGTTTAGACAAAACAATTTCCTGGTGTATACAAATTATCTGTAATGTTTTTCAGTTACATCCTTTTTCAAACCTATAAAGGAAGGAGGCTATTTTCTTTTTCAATAAAAAATGTTACAAAGGGTGTTTTTTTTGTCTATTTATTTATCCATCTAAATTCAAAGAACTCATCTGCTTTTGAGACTATTGAATTTTGTAAAGACTTAACACTCATTGTCAGCGGCAAGTCATCTATTCTTGTGTTTGGCCTGACAATCTTCCAGGAACTTGTTAAAACAGTCTGCAGGTATATGTTCTTCATGAAAAGATTAGAAAAAATCGGATCTCCAAATCCTATGTTAAGGGAAATGAAAAGCTTTGTTGTTGCCAGGGAAACACATCCTTTATTAGGTTTGATCATCACAATGTGTACAGAGATGACATCAGAGGCCCAAACACACATGAAGTCTTTCGATTTTTTTCCTTTAACAATTCTGGTAGTCATTTTAAAGTAGATACCTAAAAAAATAGAGTCAAAATACACAAAAACAACATAATGATTGAACAACAGATTCTATACTTATCCTAATAACTATTGCTGAATCTATCTCATCACAACCGATAAAAACTTGATAAAGACATTCAAGTTGTCACCAAGTGCAGACTAAATTACTGTACATTGAATCATAACCTGGGACGCAATTTTTAAAATTGAATATCAACCAAAGTACTACCTAATCAGCAACCATTACACCAATGTGTGTCTGTTTTCCTTCCACTACATGAACATACTTCATTCGTAACTACTCGTGTCATTCCGGCAAGCTGGATGGCATCTCGTAACTCTCTCGTGGCCATGTTTATGACTGAGCCCTGTCTAAGCGCAAACGGGCATGGAGATGAAAATAGTCTACTACTATTACAAAGGAAAGATAACTCTGAATTTCCAAACATGGCTCCTATAATATCCTATATCCCGTGGGTAAAACAGCAAAACAGTGATTCCCTTGGTAAATATGTTTCAGTTTTCAAAGTTTCTGATCCTTTAGCTCAAAGTTTATGTTTAAAGTGTGCTTAGCATAGATTAGCGAAGTTTCAAAGTTGAACGGTGCCGCCATTTTCATGTTTCGAAAAGTGTTTTACTACGTGTGATTTGATTGGTTTGCCACGATTCTTGGAAATAATGGCGTACGATAGGGGTACGAGTCTTCTTGTAGGTCACGGAAAGAGGTGAGTAGTTACGAATGGTACATACTTCCTACTAAAACAGACCAAGTGTTTAAACAAAGGGAACGGTATGTTATGCTTCGAATACACGATATACAAGAAGACATAATCGGTTGATATATAAACTGGTTGATATATGAAAATCAGCTATTGCGCTGCTAATACTGTCCATCATTATGAGGTGCTGATGCAAACCCATGATGCACATCTTCATGACTTTTGAATAAAGTCTGACAAGGCTGGGATGGGGAACTTGGTACCCAGCTGCTGAGGAAGTAGGGATGCCACGATACATCGATACTTTTTCTAAGACGATACAATTACCGATACATTCAAAACTGTATCGATATTTAGTTTTGAAAGTATCGTTTTAAATATGTTTATGTATCGTTTACATTTTGCAATTGTATTATGTTTTTTGATATTATGAGAGTTATAAATGATTATTTTTCATGCATAAAGATGGGAAATTTGAACTTTTTAATCTCTGAGAATCTTTTCATAGACAATTATAAAATATGAAATATTAATGTTCAAAATGTAACTAAATTACGCGAAAATAGGTATCGTGATCGAATCGTGAAATGGGTGTTGTGATACGTATCGATTCATGAAACTTATGTATTGTGACATCCCTACAAGGAAGGATATATAAACAATATATGGATGAACAACTTGTTTACTAAGTGAGAGTGATGTTTCAGTGTAGTTTCTATCACTGTTATCAAGCAAGTGATGAAGTTGTCAAGTGTAATGAGGAAGTTGTTCATCCAAATATTGTTATCCTTTCTTATTAGAGCGCCCCAACTTCTAAATGCTTGTCAAAGAAGTCACCCAGATCATGCTGCCAGGACCCACCTGGCCCGGTACCCAAGCTTCCTGTCAAATTACAATCAAATTTGTTTACCATTTGTCAATAGTGAGTGAGTGAGTATGGTTTTTCGCCACGTTTAGCAATGTTCCAGTAATATCATGGCTGGGGACATCACAAATGGGCTTCACACATTGTACCCATGTGGGCAATTGAACCTGGGCCGTTGATGTGATGAGCCAATGCTTTAACCAGGCTAGCCCCCTGTTTGTCACTATAAA